TTGTAGTTTGAGAGAGATTCCAGCCTGGGACAATGACTGTGGCAGAAAGAAATGGACCGCCCCCAAGAGCAGCAAGACTCGGAGACAAAAAAGTTTGCTACCAAGTACTCAAACTCCAAGGTGGGGCAATGCCAAGTATGGAGGTTGGTCAATGCAGGACGAAGGCGCTACAATGCCCTCAGCTTGAGGTTCAGGATGCCCGTGCCAAGCCCAATGCCCAAGATGCAGACAAAAAATGCTGAAATGGATGTGCAATATTGTGGAAAGGAAGACCACAGCCCGATCGGATGCCGTGAACAAGAAAAGAAGAAGGCAAGCGTTCTACGATGATCTGGTGGACTGTGACTAGGGTCTTCCAGGTTGTCAATTGGCAGCCAAGGCCCCATTGAATGGGAAGCCCTTGGCCGCCCTTTGATTCCCTTGGTGCTTTTTGGCAGGCTTTTGTGGAAATTTGTTTCCCAGTTCTCTCTGTTCGGAGCCTTCCGGTGCTTTTTGGTACCCATTGCCTCCCTTTCCTTTTGCTGATCTTGTTAATTTGGTCGGTGGTGTTGCCCATCTGGTAGCCTTTTTCACCCTTTTCACCCCTTTCACCATGAGGATCTTTTACGGTGATCCTCTTTTTTGGTGACTCACTACTGCTCTATTTGATTTAGCGTTAACAATCTAGCATTTGATATTCCCACTCTTATCCTAGTTTTATCTCGTTTTAGCTGGTTTAGTTGAAACTTGGCCACCTGCAGGTCCATTTTGGTAGGTAACGCCTCTGCGTTAATAGCCCCTCTGTGCAGGATCTATTGTTGTTGGGAATGCTTCTTCATGTTCTGACCATCCAAAAACGGATGGCGATGTGACTTCTTTTTAGTAGACAATGACTTACGGTTGGATACACCAATGGGCACAAAGGGTAACATACCACGTACTGAAGTTGTTTCCCCTGCCAGTAGTAGATGTAAAGTACGTCACTTCCCAACCTGGAGCACCGGTTGCCTAATTGGAACCTTGGACTTGGTTCGGAAGGAGAGGTTGGGATGTGCTTCCCAAACGAGACCTGAGGTCTCGTTTTCAGAATTACCTACAATTGCGCTTCTTAGATGTAATCAAATTAGTAATCAAGTTTGTGTTACTCAGACACTGTCCTTAGCCATAGTCAGCGCCCTCATAGCGATAGCCCAATGGATGGCCACCGCGTCAAGCATTCGAAGAGCAACTGTCGTTGCACTGCTTGAGATCGAATCGAAGCTGGATGAAGCCGCAAGGGAGATGCAACTCGAATGGTGGTTGCTTCTTCTTGCGATTGAAAATGCTTTTGATCTCTGGTCATGGTTGACCGTCTTCAGTAGTCACTGGGCGGCATGGCTCATATTCGCGAATGTGTTCGCAACCCCTGCTCAAGTGATGTGTCACGTTGGAGCAACCACATTGGTGACAGCAATCGATGCCACCACCTTCGCCATCGCGACGACGGAGATGTGCTCCATCGGACTCACGCTGTACGCCGTGACGTCCTGTCTATTCAGCTGGGCGATATGCGACCCAGGACCTCCGGCTTATGTTCCTAAGCGCATGAGAGGAACCAAACCAATCAAGAGGTGGTTTCGGGCGAAGAAGAAATTGATTTGCTCGGAAATGGGGCGATGTCTCGCTCAGGTCGTGACGGTCGTCTCCGTCATGATTTGCCTCGGAGATCTGGCCATCCACGACGCTGCTAGCCATCGCGAGTCGTTGGACGATGAGGACGATCCGGAAGGACCTTACAACGAGGCAGCCAAAAAGGGAGCAAGGAAGGCACCGGTCACGCTCTGGGACATGATGATCGATGGGCTCCCACCAGGACCAACCAAGTTTGAGCTGTTCATGAGGTTCCTCAATGCTCTGAAGGGCGGTCTGGCGATGTCGGTCAAGGAGCGAAGTCCCTTAGTCGCGTATCAGCTGGTCATGATGTCCCTGAATGGCTCGTTCAACAACAGCACATCCGATCATCAGTTTGACACAGATTCAGTGTTGATAGCAATCGACAACTGTTCGTCCAGGTGCATCACCAACTGCATGCTTGATTTCATCGACAAGCCAGTAGCAGTCAAGATATCAGTCCAAGGAATAGGCGGATCAGTCATGGCAACATACAAGGGAACAGTGAGGTGGTCGATCGAGGATGAGCAAGGCAAGGTGCATCATTTCACCATCCCAAACACGTACTACAACGCATCCACTCCCTACCGTCTCCTTTCTCCACAGCATTGGGCAGCAGTCGCGGATGACAACACCCCAAAGCGTCGAGGAACTTGGTATGCCACGTACCAAGACGCGGTCGAGCTGTTTTGGCAGCAGCGACAATTCAAGAGGGTCATTCCTCTCTCTCCAACCAGCAACATAGCGATCGTCTGGTCAGCCCCATCGTTTACCAAGCTGCACGCATTTTGCTCGCAAGTCCGTGAGACATGCAAGGATCAACCGATTGACGAATCGGATCTCTTTTCGATGCCAGCAGTCGAGATCTCTGACGATGAGGAGTCAGTCAGCTCAAGTGACGCAGACGACAATATGCCGACGATTCGCTTGCATCCAGACATCCCTTCGGAAGCAATGCACCAGAAAGAAATCAGTGAGGAATTCCAGAAGAACATGACGAGAAGCTTCGTCATGGGGAAGGACTTACACAAGATCAGCCAAGTACCCGTCGTGGATCATGATTACACGGAGTACAAGTCGCCAAGAGCCGACATCTTGGCATGGCATTATCGACTCGGACACATCTCGTTCGAGCAAATCAGAAAGCTCGCTGAGAGAGGAGCGCTTCCAGCTCACCTGATCAAGGCCAGAGCACCACAGTGTGCAAGCTGCATGTTCGGTAAGGCCACCAGGAGGCCCTGGAGGACCAGGACTCCACCCAACAAGATGCAAACACCAACTGCGAAGGGATCAGGAGATGTCGTTGGAGTCGATCAGCTCATCTCTGCCACTCCAGGCCTCGTTGGGCGGATGAGAGGACTGCTCACGCGCAAGCGATACACGGTGAGCACCGTGTTTGTCGATCATTACAGCGGCCTGTCATACGTCCATTTTCAGACGTCGACATCCGCTGAGCAAACCATACTCGCGAAGAGAGCTTTCGAGCGGTATGCTGCGTCATTTGGAGTCAAGGTGAAGCATTACCATGGAGACAACGGGATTTTCGACAGCAAGGCGTTCGTACAAGAGGTTCACAGCTGCGGACAAACCATCACGTATGCCGCTGTAAATGCGCATCACATGAACGGTCACGCCGAGAAGAAGATCAGGGCTCTCCAGGAAGCGGCCAGGACCATGATTCTACATGCAAAGCAGAGATGGCCCAACGCAGTGACAGCGAACCTATGGCCCTTTGCAGTCCGATACGCAAATGACATGGCAAATTCCACGCCCATTCTCAAAAAGGGGGACCATGCCACGCCCTTGGAAATCTTCTCTGGCGTCGACGTAGAACCAAAGGTGAAGAACACGCACACCTTCGGATCACCAGTGTACGTGCTTGACGCAAGGATCCAGCAGGGCCAACGACTGCCGAAGTGGGAACACAAGGCAAGAATCGGAATGTACTTGGGAATCTCTCCACGGCATTCGAGAAAGGTAGCACTGATTCTCAGCTTGCAAACCGGACTTGTCTCACCGCAGTTTCACTGCCAGTTCGATGACTTGTGCGACACCCTCAAGAGGACGTCAGGGAACCGGTTACCACCGTCGAAGTGGCAGCAGAAGGCTGGTTTCGAGGAAGATAGCGACGATGAATTACCATCGTTGAAAGTGTTAACAAAAGAAGGAAGAAAAGCGAAGAAATCGCAGGAGTCGCCCGTGACTGATCGTGACACGGAGCGCGAGCGGGACCCGCTTGATCAACAAGATTCGGAACATTTTTCGACGGCAGATCAAGATCAAGATGGAGAACAAGAGCTGGAATCCGACGACGATGTCGCGGAGGACGAAACGGTGATGCCTAGTCGCGGTAGCGACAGGCAACAGACCTACTCAGAAGGGAGAGTGACCAGATCGGGCAGGACGATCAGGCGTCCCAAAGCACTCAAGGAATTCGTCGTTTGTTCTGCGGAAATTCCTTGGGAAGTGTTCCACGATGGAGAGTACCAAATCCAAGATGAAATGGAAGACCCGATAGCGTTTGCAGCATCGTCCAATCCGGACATCATGTACATCGATGCAGCACTGACAGCAGACGACGCAGATCAATTCAGAGCGGCAATGCTCAAGGAGGTAAAGTCCCATGAGGAAATGGGAAACTGGAGAATAGTGAAGGCGTCGTCTATGCCTGCAGGAACGAAGCTCTTGCCAGCGGTCTGGGCATTCAGAAGAAAGAGAAGGATCTCCACGCAAGAAATCTACAAGTGGAAGGCGAGGCTCAACGTACATGGAGGCAATGCAATACACGGCTCTTAGCCTTATTCGCGACTCGATCCTAGATAGGGTTTGAGTTCGACTCATGACTGAGTCTCTCGTGAATAGTCATTTAGACAGGGTTCTCAATGACCGCTCTAGTCATACTAGGTTGATGATGAAACATCGCTCTAGATATTTAGCCAGCGTGGAGTACTTCCACGCTACTAGATAAATGCTAGACGAATCTTCCACGCGTTCCGTTTTTGGATCGTGGAGTGAGTAGGATTGCTACCGCAACCTACTCTATCACACTCTACAGTCTCCCGCGGGAGTTCAGATCTAAGATCCTTTGATTGTGGATCTCTCTCGTTGATTAGTTTTCATAGCTTTCTAATCCTCTCATAACTTTCATTCTCTCAAACACAAAACACTCGAAAGATCTTTACACTAGCTTTTAGCGTAGTGCATTTTGTTAACAAACACAATAGCTTTCAGCTACCCTCAACCTATTCCTCACCATGAAGATTGCCAAAGACGCGTACACCAGCTTCGAGTCTAAGCTGCGCGACAACCAATCCTTCCTCTCATCGACTCGAGATGAATGCAAATCGACGATTCTCGCTTCTACCACCTACAAACTTCGCACTGTTCCAGCAGATGCTAACACGCCAAGTACACCTCAAGGTCCAAATCATTAATGGATCTGAGACTCCACGTCAGACCATCAAGTGGCTACGATGGAGAAGGTCTCGTGGGCTCGCCATTGCTACGCTGACGACAAACATAACCCCCAAGGAGATGACTTCTAGCTCTGCAAAGAGCAGTTACGAATCTAGCTGTGAGGCCACCGTGAATACGTTGGAATGCCTTGCGCCAGATTGCAGTAACGGCATTCCTCCAGCGACATACGTGGCGGTGAGACGAAGCCACTTTCCAAGCACGTTTCCAGAATGCCGGACGGAGCAGCTCAGCCTGCTTTGGACGACTCTGAATTAGTTCGGCATAAATGCCTGTGTCGAAGCGGTCTGTCCCTACAGCTCTTGAAAAGCAGAAACGCTTCATGCGCCGCAAGATGCTAAGCCTGCTGATATGTCTACCGGGCTTATGTCAAACACCTCAGTCGGATGAACACCAATGAACTTCCTCGTCTACACCTTTTGGACCCAACCAAACGTTGAACATGACGAAGTCATTGACATTGTTTGTCATGGAATTCCACGCTCGTTGATGAAGAATGGACGAACACGACTTCGATCCTTTCTCAGCTCTATCGGAGAAACCATTGGATTCTGTGAACGCATGGAATCCTCCAAGACTTTGACAAAGGCGTGATACCAAGCAAGCTCCTTCGAAGAGAACAACAGCAAGATTACAAGTCTACTCGCAACAACGATCACTTTCCAAGAACGAAGAAAATGGTGGACTCACCACGAGTCCAGCACTCACAACACTGCTGACTGAGACCTGAAGAAGCTCAAAGCCAAGTCCAGTCCTCGTCAGACAACGATAACAAGCCAGCGTACAACAAGAACAAGACTTGGAAACGCAAGTCCGGCGACGCAAGACCTACACCAAGAAGGAACTCTCTGTCCTCATGAAGGAAGTTTCCAACGCTGCGCGTCAAGGCTGATCGCAAGAAAAAGCGAATGCAACCATGTTGCCAAGCGCAAATCAGAAAACTCAGACAAGAGGACGACTCCTCTGTTGGATCCTCAACATGATGGACAAGAAGATGGCTGCTTCGACAAGGCGCTTGCCGAATTCGACTTCAATCATTCGGATGGAGAATCTCTCTGAGGATTAGGCCAGGATGATGATTCAACGGAACCATGTTCCAATTTCTCATACCTAAGTGATGAAAGATAACTCACTAAATAGTAAACAAGATTGTTTGCAACTAACGAAGTTCTACGGCAAATTAGATAATTGTCCTAGCAACTACTCAACTAGACACTGACGATCTGTTCAGCATCGTTAACTCGTCCATGGCCAATCAACTCGACAACGTCCAAGACAAGAGACCTCAAACCATCGTCTATGTTAGATTTAACAGGACGAGTAGGAAGGAAACAAAAACCCGTCACACTCTGTTGCTTACTGATACAAGAGCATCCGGAACTTTAATTACTCAAACTCATGCTAGAGTTCACCTCATGAAATCATGGGGGTCCAAACATTACGGATGCTTCTATGAAGGAATTAAAACCCCCCACGAAGTGTAAGGGGACACTCGCGATTCCTGAGTTCCACGATGATAGAATTATTCAAATGGAATTTACACGTCACCAAGATTGGGGGCGCAAGACGTGATCATAGGTCAAGACACTCTCTGCGCCTAAGAATCAAGTTTGATTTCACTACCATGTCGTTGGGTGGAACAACGCATTTTCCCGGCGAAAGATGGCAATACCAATAGAAAGGAGAACTTCTCCATTTTCCGATCCTGCGCTGTCAGCGTACAATGCAGATAGTCTCAGAAGATTCTTGATACGACATACGAGCAAATAGACTTAAGGCAGATATGCCAGAGTCAAACCCGTTAAATAAGGAAGAGAAGAACTGCCTCATGCCTTTCAACCAGTGCTTCGACCAGTCGAGAGTACTTGGGAGAGTTGCGATTGGACGACTACGAAGTAGAACTTCGTCCCGACGTTAAATCTATTATCTAGGGCTCACCCTACTCCACGGGTCCATACCAACACTCTAAGAGGAGGTTGAACGTCTCTGCGAGCCAGAGTACTCAAGAAGGTGAACGTTCCGAGTTGGCGCACCAACTTTTATCATCCCAAGAAGAGGGATCTGTACGATTCATCATCTGATTTCGGGAAACCGAACAAAAGGATCAAGCGGAAGCCTTATCCTATCCCAAAAAACAGACGGCTCTTGAATCTAGATGGATTCAAGTGCGTACTAGTTTAGACCTGAAACACGGGAACACTACACATCGAGCTGTTCAACCTCACTACGGCAAGCACATGTACCATTGCACTCCCGAGGGGAAGACAACGATACCAGAGGTTGCCAATGGGGCCTATGTAATAGTCCCTACATCTTACAAAGGAAGAGAAAACACGCATGCATGACTTAGAAAATGTCCGTGCATACATTGATGATCAACTCATCCTAACGACGTCGATCCAGCGGATCGCGTTGAATAGTTAGATGACCCTTTCCAAAAGACTTCAAGAAAGTCGGGGTAAAAACACACTACCAAGGCCTTTCTCGAAGGAAGAACTGAGTATCTAGACATTGGACTACTCGAGAAGGATCCAACCCTTAACTAAAAAAGATAATAGTGCGATCCAACTATCGCTCTTCCGCCAACAGGAAGGAACTCGTGGATTCATTGGACAAATGAACCACCAAGGGCTGCTCCAAGACAGCAGACGGAGTAACCATCGTTCTGAAAACAGACGTTGGTTACCCAGTATCCATGACCGGTTGTCATGGACAGAGAACGTGAGTCCCGCGAGAAGTCGAGAAGACTCTCCGGATGAAATGGACTTCGTTGCAAGTTCACGCGCGTCAATCGTGAAAGATTCACCACATCCGTTTCAAAGCAAACCGGAAATACATTAAGGAACGTCGCCAACGACTTATCCAGAAAAAAACGATAAGGAGAACACGACACGTGTCCCTCATCAACACCATGTCAACGATACTATGATGATTCATCAGTATCAGAACCGTTAGTACGGTCAGCCAAAGGTCCTTACCACACAGACCGAGTCAATAACAATGGCACTGTACGGCTCGACATACTACCGCCAGTAGCGGCACAGTCTACCAGACTTGGAACAAAGGTATTTACACCCATACAAGGCCTGATCCCCTTGTAGGATTGCCATCGTCGACGCACATGTCTACATCCATCTCCGGAGAGTGCCCCGCACTTTAATTCATATGTTCTCCTTGTCCGACTGATGTCGTGCCTTCCGTGACCCTTGTTCAGGGGGCGAATGCAATACACGGCTCTTAGCCTTATTCGCGACTCGATCCTAGATAGGGTTTGAGTTCGACTCTGACTGAGTTCTCGTGAATAGTCATTGAGACAGGGTTCTCAATGACCGCTCTAGTCTACTAGGTTGATGATGAAACATCGCTCTAGATATTAGCCAGCGTGGAGAGATTCCCGCTACTAGATAAATGCTAGAACGAATCTTCCACGCGTTGTTTTTGGATCGTGGGTGAGTAGGATTGCTACCGCAACCTACTCTATCACACTCTACAAGTCTCCCGCGGGAGTTCAGATCTACGATCCTTTGATTGTGGATCTCTCTCGTTGATTAGTTTTCATAGCTTTCTAATCCTCTCATAACTTTCATTCTCTCAAACACAAAACACTCGAAAGATCTTTACACTAGCTTTTAGCGTAGTGCAGCAAGCAAACAAAATACGTGAATTATTGGGAGACCTACTCTCCTGTGGTTGGATGGGCAACGATCCGGGCACTACTGGTCCTGATGCTCATCAACAGTTGGAAGTCGAGGCAAGTGGACTTTGTCCTGGCATTCCCACAAGCCGACATCGAGTGTGAAATGTTCATGGAGATACCACAAGGATTCAGCGTCGATGAATCCACACGACAACCAACACTGCAACAGACCAGTGACAAGCGATGATACAGAGGCGAGCACTGCCTCTTGCTGGAGAAGAACCTGTACGGGCAAAAGCAGGCAGGACGCGTCTGGAACCAGTACATGCACGACGGATTGGTGGCTCGTGGTTTCGAGCAGAGCGCCGTGGATATGTGCGTGTATTACAAGGGGACCGTCGTCCTGATGATCTATGTCGATGATGGGATCTTCATCGCACCCACTGAAAAGGAAATTGATGACGCATACGGAGCACTATCACTACCATTCACAGACAAGAACGGGAAGGTACACAGAGCCTTCGTGATGACGAACGAAGGAACTCTTTCCGATTACTTGGGAGTGAAAGTGGAGCCTCTACCTAATGGCACGATCAAGTTGTCACAGCCACACATGATAGATCAAATCATCAACGATCTTGGATTCGACGAACGAACGAAAGGACAACCGACGCCAGCAGCATCTACAGTCAAGCTGCACCGTGACATCAACGGAGAGGAATTTGCCGAGGACTGGCAATACCGGAGCGTGATTGGCAAGTTGAATTTCCTCGAAAAGTCAACTAGAGTGGACCTTGCTTACGCCGTACACCAGTGTGCACGATTTTCATCGGATCCAAAGAAGTCCCATGCCGATGCAGTCAAGAGGATCGGCAGGTATTTAGTGAAAACAAGAGGCAAAGGGTACATCCTCAATCCGAAGTCATGTTCTTTCGATGTCTTTGTGGATGCTGACTTCGTCGGAAATTGGAATCGGACGACAGCCGATGTCGATCCTGGAACTGCAAGGTCCAGGAGTGGCTACGTGATTATGTATGGTGGATGTCCCGTGGTGTGGGCATCGAAGCTACAGAGAGAGGTAGCACTGTCCACAACCGAAGCAGAGTACAATGCAATGTCGGAGTCATTACGCGACACAATCAGCTTGATGCAATTGATTGAGGAGACGAGAGAGAAACTACAATGGAGAACGCACAACAAGCCTCCAGTAGTTCATTGCAAGGTATTCGAGGACAACAGTGGAGCTTTGGAGATGGCTGAGTTGCCAAAGATGAGACCAAGAACGAAACACATTTGTGTGAAGATGCATCACTTCAGGGACCATGTTCGAAATGGCAAGATCACAATACACAAGATTCCAAGTCGGTATCAGCTTGGGGATATAGCAACGAAGCCACAACCCGTGGCATTGTTCGAATCTCAACGAGAGAGTATTATGCAGTGGCAAACAGAAACAATGACGGCAGAAGAGCTACTACAACCGGCTCAGCATCTGAGGGCGTGTGAGATTGTGAGAGATTCAGAGATCCTCAACAACCTGGCTAGTCAGCATGCTTCGAAGCCTGCAGATGGCTCTGCCTCCTCAACTGCAACAATTGAAATATCAAATGACAACAGTTGAGTATGTATAGGTAGACAAGATAAACTATAGCCACAATGTAGCAAAAACCCTCATAAGTGTCTCTCCAGCGGTGGCATAGTCCGAGACGAACTTTGCTTTGGATTAGACTACATGTAGTTGTTGGAGGACGGTGCCGGTACGGTAGGACTCAGACATCATGGTCAAGAACAGTCTTCACGCCCAACGAAAGCAATTGGAGGAAGCGGCGTTGGCGGATGCTGCACAGGCAGCCGATGCCGCTGCACAGCAACAAAGAAGTCGCTTGACCCGTTGGGCACTGATCCTGATGCTGTCGGGTATTGTGATGGGCGCCATGACGCTGACGGAAGACCGAAGAGCCGTGTTGTGGAAGAACGTGGAAAGTGTCAAGTCGAGGAAAAGTTCGTCGATACGGATGAAGCCGTTTGATATGAGCCAATACGATGAAATTCATCTCTGGCACTTGCGAAAAGCGGGAGGATCCACACTCCGAAAATTCTTGATCCAAGTGGCCGAACATCACAATCTTACCTTCAAGGTGGACGAAGGCATGTGCTACACGGGTCCTCCTCCTCGGGACAACAACAACAGCAATAAGAGGACCTCTATGGTGACCATGCTCAAAGATCCAGTGGCGAGAGCTGTCTCAGCATACTGGGGCGAAGGAGAAATCGACACTGCCCACCCCGACACTAGTTTCAGGACTTGGGCCCTGAAAACCAACAATACAGCCTATAAGGGACTCCCCGGTGGTCATTGGTTCATTTGGGGATGTGTCCAAAATTGCATGACCAAAATATTCGGGAGCATGCCCGTCAATCTCACTCGAGCTCAAGCCACGCTGGAATCGGACTTTGATCTCATTGTGCAATCCAATCGGTTGAGCGATCCAGTCTATCAACAATGGTTGAGTCACATCATGGGCGCTCCAAACGCCAAGATATTGCACGAAAACAAATCCACCCGAAAAGATGTCAAGGAAAACCAGGTCGCAGCCCCAAAGGAAGAAGACTTGGAATTCCTCAAAGACATTAATCAACTGGACTATCAGTTGTTGGAGTACATTGTTCCCAAACGAAAGGAACTGCAAGGAACTGCAAGGAACCATATAGCTACCGTATTCATGCATGCATGCATGTTTGGTGGTGAAGGAAGCAAACAACAACAAGATGTCGACAAACTGCTGCGCATTCTTGGTTTTTTAAAAACCTGGACGAGCGACGACAACCGCCTCATCAATTTGCTTTTTCCTTCATGCAAGTGCAAGAAACAACGCATCAGAAAATATATTTCAATTCGGTGGAATGCAGGAAGATTTGTTTGCTTGTTCACTAGGATTCAACGTTGCTGCGAGACTGTCACTCGACTAATAGACGGATGGGTGAGGCAGTCATGACGTCATGACTGTAACATCAGGACACGGAAATGTTCGTGTTTCGGTGAACGAGATCGATCGTGTGTGGCGCCTTTTTGGAGCATCAATACAAGCGAAGATCACTGATTTACTTGCACAAGTCACAGATGCAGATTGCTGTCGGGTCACTCTTTGACCGCCCACACTGCGATATGCTTTGCCTATTTGAGAATTACCGGCAGCAATCTAGTACCGTATAGGTGGCTGATACAGTGTAATGGCACACTAGATAGCTGGCTCAGGTGGATCTCCTACCGTACCGATACCAGGTACTAGAGTGGACGATTGTGCTGTGAGCACCCGTGCAGACTCGGAGTGAAGCTTCAGGAACAACGAGCGAGCGAAAGCGGTTACCCGGCTACAGCAAGCTTTAGAACCGTTTTACTGTTTGTTATGGAACCTGTTGACTAGCTAGCTAGCTAGCTAGGCAGGTCAAATGGAAAAGCAGTCAGCCAGCGGATGTGGTCTGGTGTCTTCAGCCCCCAGGCACGGTCCAAGCAAGGATAGCCAGTGAAGAGGACATCCGTTTTACCATCCTGAGATCATTCGACTTCTTCCTCCGCAATGATTTGTTTTGGCAACCTTTCAAGGCCGCATGATACGACCTCAGGTGCCCCGAACCCCGAACAAGCCGAAGACGAACACGAGGGCTCCTCGGAACAACAATGATGATCTTTGCAAACAGTTACTGGTACCGATGCGATATCGGATGCTAGCAACCGCTAGCTCCGCGGGTTATACTACAGTAGTGGCTCCTTATTATGCAGTGGCCTGAGTCGGAAAGTCAGAATGCTTTTCCAAGTTCCAAGCACAGGTTCCACGTAGCGCAAGACTTAGTGCCCACCCAGTGGCATCCACAACCATCAATAACCATCCTTCACCAATCACCAATACAGGTACAGCTCAGGTACCATACCACACCCCACACCACACATCAACCGTCGTGCCGTCGTGGATAACTAGACTAGCTATTAATAGTAGTAGAGCCCACTACATGGTACTAGTACCGTATCGCACCAGAATACATCATTCTGTAATGACATTGTACTGGGTACGTACTGGTGTACGGTACCATTGTCGTGGATCATCTGACATATGTGATTCAATGACACTAGTTCTCTTTAGGTTTTAACATCCACATTTACCCTTTAATCTTTATAAGAGCACTTTCTGAAGGGCTTCTCACTAGGTGGTTCGTGTCTATCCAGTTTCGCAGGTAATCACGTAATTACAGCGTAATTAAGTGCCCGAGTTGGGTGGATGGCATAATGATGGCATTACTCAAGTGATTGTCTACTGGTGTTTGGTAAGCTGTACGGTGTACTAGCACGGTACTCAGTACTACCGTACGCTGTACATTGTCTTTGAGGTTCGGACTGACTGGATCTTTCTCACAAATCGGGTTCTCTTAACTAAAATAAATAATACGACGTTTTGGATTATCTAACTGTGAACGCTTTCTCGGAGAATTTTTTGTACCACCGACAATGATCGACACAACCACCATCCAAGGGGAGGAGGCCTCTGTTGCCTCTTCATCCACTACCGGTACTGCCTCTATCGGACGTCGCTACTTGCCGCACCACTTGCTCTACCATAACAGTGTCCCCAACTCACCTCCGGACTCGACCACTTTGGCGTCACAGCGACGCAAGGATCAACTGATAGTAGTAGCTCGCAACATGGAATCTCTACTCGAAAAGAGAGCGAGTACAAGTGCGGGGACTAACAGTGACGAAAAGTCCCTTTCGTCCTTGGAAAAACGCCGCCGGTTGGCTCAACTACAAAACGCTCATGATGACACCGACGCCGATATTTCCCGTGATCCACACGCCGCAACCATAAAGGAAGAGACTACTACTGAGGTAGCTTTGGGTATGACCATTACTGCATCTCACCACCACCATGGTACCAGATCGAGGGATTCTCCGTTGGATACCACAATTACGGTGAAAACTTGCTTTGGCGCTCCTCCTTCTCATATAGAAAATGCCAAGACGGCAAACGAAGAAGATGATGATGTTCCTGGTCTCATTACAGACTCTTGCCACAAAAGGCAGGGTTCCTCCCTGATTTGCAAATTGCTCTTTGAGGAACTTCAAAAAGAAGAACCCAAGTCAGTGGCTCGGGCGGCAGAAAAACTAGGTTCCATCTTCAAGCATGGAAATCCTCAAGAATGCTCTCAAGCTGTCTCGTTAGGAGGTCACAGCGTGCTCATTTCGGCCATGAAAAAGTGGTCCCAGCATGAGCCAATTGTGTTGCACTGCTCCCACGCCATATTTCGCATGATTGGGACCTACACCAAACGATGTGGTGGTGACAACGATAGTCAGAACGACGATGACGAAGAAGACGAAGACCGATTTGATCTGATTGAAGGCTTTCTCGTCGCGGGAGCGCTCGAAGTCCTCGTCAATGCCTTGCGTAACTTTCCAAGGTCGTCCGAAGTGCAATTGTTTGGGATGGGTGCCTTGGGTAATCTGTTGGGGGCGGGTATGGCAGCAGCACTGGTCAGTGACACGAGTCGCCAAGCAGCTCGGGAATTTGTGGAAGAACACTACGGGGTCTCACTCCTCGTCACGATCATGACACGCTTTGCACACAAGCCAAAAGTACAGGAGTTTGGTTGTTGGATTGTAGCTCGGTTGGCACGCATGCGCCGATTCCACGGTATCCTCAAGAGAGAAGCTTTGGTAGCAGTCTCGACGGCGGTGCAGAACAACCCAAAAAGTGCCACCATTAACAAGCAGGCGTCGAGTTTCATGGCATCCATCTTTCGACTGCGACCGGCATCCGAGGAACAAGGAGGACGGCAGGGATAGCTTAGCTCTTGGGGTTGTGGTAATTGGGTAGGACAGAACATACAGTACCGTTGTAAAATTTAAAGTATCTCTAGATCACCGGAGCCCTAGAGGTGAAGAAACTTTGCTCCCGAGGTACGAGCCCTCCAGAGGTGCAGCATTTTGCCCCACCGGCACCGGTAGATGTACAGAGTGTCCACCGAGGTGCTCTACCTACCGGTACGGGTAGAGGTGCAGCATTTTGCCGTCAAGGTGGGAGCCCTGGAGGTGCAGCATTTTGCCGCCGAGGTGCGAGCCCTACTAGAGGTGCAGTTGCCGCCAAGGTTGAGTCCGAGTGGTCATCATTTTGGCACCAAGGTGCAAGGCAGCCCAAGAGGTGCAGCAGAAATTTCATAGCTAACTACTTGTTGCGGGCACACTTGCCCGTTGCAGAATGAATGGAATGATTTGATTCAATCTTCAACCGTTGGCACACGGACTTCAGCGAAGAACGCAGACAACCACAGAAGCTTTCCACAGAAATGTAAGCAAATCCTATTAGCTAGACCAACGGTCGTAGTCTGTTTCATGGAGGATTGTTAAGATTGTGCTGGCGAGCTAGCTAGGTAAGCGTGACTGTGGGATGCAACGAAGAACAATTGAAATTCAACGATGAAAGAGATATTCTACCAGCAGCAGGTCCCCGGCGGACGGAGTGGACAATATCTCGTTTCAGTCTCAACGTGCAGCAGTGGCTGTTACATCGTGCGCGGCTTATTATTTCAAGAGAGGCAGAGAGGCAAGAAAGGAGTTTTTTCGGCGGCTGTTGCTTTTTTTAACCTTATTGCCCCCCAGTCAGGATACATACATTGTGTGCAGCCACTGCCTGTCAGAGGGAAAAGGTTGCCTCGTTCTCGTATCTGACCTTCAGATTCTCAACTAATCGAAGGTAGGTCCTGTGCTGCGCTTCTTCGGGAGTGGGAACCAAAAAGTAAGTGTCAAGACGGTTGGGCAGACCCATGCCAATCTCAAATTTGTCCCTGAATTGCTTGGGTAGAAATCGTTTGAAGGTAGAAAGCGTAATGTTCATGAACATGCCTGAATGCATGGCAATGCGAATGGAGACACAATGGATGAGAACAGGAACATTCACAATCACTTGAGCTACCTCTTTCTTGCTTGCTTACCAGCGTTATAGAACTTGACCACACGGTGCAAAGTGGGATAATGTGCTGAAAACTCCATGGAGAGTCTTTTGGCAGTGGCCAGTCCGCCCGATTTGCCCATGGTGTAGCCCTCACACTCATGGACCATGACAATGCCATTTCGGATGCTCTGCAAGTCAGGGTTCATTGCGTGGTGCATATAGTAGTGCCCTCCTAGCATGATGCCCCATTGCTCGTCGGTTCTAAGCAACTCCTTATCGCAGGCATTGTTGTCAATAAACACAGCATAGCTCCCATACTCAAGCCCATAGGAGAGGGCCAAAATCATTTTCTGGTGTACATCCAAAAAGTTCTTGACAGTACGGCGGGAATCCTTGAAGGTATCTCGGATATCATAGTCCCTTTGAAGGTTTTGCATGTGCAGAGCACGACTGACCGCTGATCTAACATTGGTGCCTTCCACTATGGCAAGTTGGGCATACATGAGATCTGTCATGGATTTCAACTCAGGGTCGTTCTCAATGGCTGTCTTAATGGCCAGGGCATTTTCGCGCTCTTCTTGGGTGACGGACATCCTGCCGGGCTCATCATCTTCCTCTTCCTGTTCCTCCCTGCACGAGCTGACACTTGCGGCATCTTCCGCAGCTACAAGACCCAGATTATGGCCATGATCCACCTGAACTGCCAGCAGTTGGCGGAGTCCCTCCTTGCTGATGCCCCCTTCAACTCCAAGGTCCTCCAGCTGAAGGGCGCACCCATTCGCACTTCCACTTGCTTCCATTCTGCAGTTGAAACCACCAGCCAACTAAACCAAGATGAAGTATGAATGTTGCAAGGATTATAATAGATAGCACGCAGGTTTCTATCGCTCTTTCTGTCTTTCTATTGTTTGCTGGAATAATGGCTTCCCCAATGGGCCCCAACCAAGGCGAGAATTCTTGTGAACTCCTGAAGACTTTGGTTGAAAACCGTGCAATCATCAATCATCGCACTGCAACCCCACACTCATGTTTTCCTATTTTATTAATTAATAGCACGGATGACCACCGTACCGGTGTTAAGAAACAAACAATGGTCTTTTAGGCAGTCACAGAAAAACAGACATAAAGGCCAAGCCCCCACCTGACTGTTCGGTGTCGCCTTTATATTTTTAATTAATGATCCACGTGGTCCAGACTGGTCGAAAACAGACATAAGGCCAACGACTCCCACAGAACAGGTCTAGTCGCTTTAAAATACCACATCGGATCAAGACTGGATTACATTTCACATTTACTGCTTCATGTATGCATATGGCATATCCATCATGCTTTTGAGCTACTCCTAGACCTAGCTGTAGCTAGCTAGACTCTACCAGCTAGGCCAGCTTGACCGACACCGCGCAAAGCTCCAGCATCTGCCTGTGACTGAGAGACAGCTTTGCTGGTGATGCCTTTTGTCCGCAGTCAGCATTGGCCAGGAAGACAGGTCCGACGAACACAACCAGCCATTTTGATCTTTGCAGCCATGCTTCCAGAAATCGTTCGAGGAGACAGCGCAACGTAGCATCCATAAAGCAAACTGTTGGCATGGGCCAAATCAGTCGCCCATACACCGTGGCAATTGACACGGGCAGCCACAACCACACAGAGCAATCAAGCAAACCCCAAGCTGGTGGTTTATCAAGAGAACAGATGGCTGCCCGCCATGTTGGCAGTAATAGATTGTGCACTGGCAGAATAATGCTCTTGCAGAATGTGTTTTTGATTTTTCCCAGTTCCAATGTACAGTAGCGAGATCTTCACCTCTTCCATCTACTTCGATTAATCTTAACTCTTCCATTCTTCATGGTGCTGTATCCACACTCTTTTGTGACTTGGGCCAGGTACCGGAACCATATACTTCATGCTTTCATTATTATTTAGGGCTTGTAATGATATAAAGACATTATGTGCACTGGCTAGGTGGGTCCAGCAAGCAACTGTCGAATCCGATGTTTATGGATACCCATGCTTGGCTCCAACCGTTAGTTTCGCTCTACTGAGTAGCTAGTCTAGAAACAAAGTGTCCCCACAAAGACAGCGGTCATGGCAATCCATCCAATAAAGGGAGCTGTATCCATACCAGCTTTTTGGTATTGCTTGGTGATAAAAACACTCTTGATAAGCGCCAGGGTAAAGGGAATAAATGCATACCCCACCACCTTGGTTGCCTCGATGCCGGAGGCTACAGCCAGCATCATGGCACCACCTCCCGAAAGGATAGCTCCGTGAGCTTCCACCATCAAGGCTGTTTCCGTGGACAGTGGCGGTGCTGCAGCATTGCGGCCGTACAATTGCAACCCACGAGCTGGATCCGCAGCCATGAGTCCACCCGAAAGTAATGCCAAAACAGCAATGGCTTTGATACCATAATTGGTTGCCCAATCGGCATTTTTCGAGAGTCCATAGAGGACGGCACTGTCGATGGCCAACCATGCAGCAACCCCACTCGCTTTGGTTCCCGTTTTGGCAGGATCTTTATTGATCAAAGCCGCTAAACCACCGATCCAATGAACGGCTAATCCCGAACACAAGGCGGTATTGGAGTCTGCACCGGCTACCAAATATTGATAATTCATCCACGTGTTTGCCAAGGCGGCAAATCCGGCTCCCTTGACGGCAATCACGTTTTGTGCATTGGAGGTAGACCACCCATATCCTTCAAGGACCGCTTCGGCACAGAGCAAATTAAAGGCGCCTTGGATACCACCCAACGCCAGAGCTGTTTTGGCGACCGTGTTGGCATGAGCATCGAGTGGACCAGCACCTCCACGAGGGATGGAGAGTAGTGCCGATGACGACTTGGTAGGGGTAGTGGGGTTTGTTGGGATCTTGAGAGCTGATACCGTCTGTGCAGCGCAAGATCCAAGAAGAAGGATCGTCGTCGTGGAGAGGAGAAAGGTACGCATCTTGGTTTGTCTTGTCTTGTCGAATCTTTTTTGTGTTGGTTTGTTGTTTGTGCATTATGAGAGTGAAGCTACCATTCCTCGAATTGCCTGGCTGCCTTATCACTGATCCAACGCACAAGTCTTCCTGTATGCACACTCGTTTGCTAGTTGCGATCAAGACGAAAATTTTCCATCAAGGTTCTTCGGCTCAGCCATGTGGAGGGCAACAGTTTTTTTCGCCACATCAGTCCTCTGAAGATCTCGTGTCAACAAAAAAGATCTTGCCAATCAGTAAAAAGAAGCTAAACTACAATCCTCCCTTGAGCTTTAGAAAGACACTGAGTGACGAGCCTCAGTCGGTTCCTCAGTCGAGTGACGAGTCAGTCGTAGTCCGAGTATCCGGATAGTATGCGGTAGCTCATGATGATGTAGACTTCTCCCTTTTTAGAAGACGCCTTGAGTACATGTAGTTCACGTGGGCTTGGGCTTGGGACATCTTCTGAAGCAGCAACTCACGTAGTTGTACTGAGAATCTTCTTAGGGTGCACCGGCAACATCTTTTAGCTTTCTTGCCATTGCAATTGACCATTGTATACCAACCATGTGCACAGCTCAGATGATGAGGAGCCACCACCGAAGCAAAAGAAGGCAAAAGTGCAAAGAAGCCATTTGGGTACAAGGCTGCAACCAACAGTTATAAAAAGAATCCACGGGCTGGTAAAATTGAATCTATCCATCCAAGTTGGCCCAGGCAAAGCAGTTGGTACCATAGCTGGCAGCTCTTGTACCACCGGTAGCAATCCACATTGTACTACCGTACGGTACGGACTCCTTTTTCTGCTGCATGGCTGCCAAAGGGGGGACATCCAAAAGGTCTTTGGTCGCTAAATGGAGCCTGGAAACGAATGAGAAAGCCGCATTCGTCGCACCGGTCCTTATTCTATTTTGCCTGAAGAGTTTCCATTTCTAGCTAGTATTCCATTTTGGCATCATCCAAATAAAATCATGACGTACAGACTGCATGCGGAGTATTCAACATGCCTGGATCCAGCTTTCCCTCTCGATGTTCCACCCACAAGCTAGAATTCTGACAACAATTTCATCTGACGAAGCAATCATTCCCTGCTGAGGTACTGTACTCAGAGTATACGTAAGGTTCGAGTACTACGGCACTGTACGAACTTTTTATTCGAGCTAGCTAGTTGGGTGTTTTCGCTCAGTCTGCCCATGGTTACATCATTACTTACTATAACCGAAAGCTGGCTTCGTTGGCATACCGTCTACTGAGAGCGTCCATGACTCGAATGTAGTTCCGTTGTTGTGCATCAGCCGCACTTGGGACCAAATAAAAGGTGTCTAGCCGACCTTGGAAAATGCAACCCACTTCATTCCTGGCAGTGACACCTTGAGGCAAGAGTGGTTTTGAAACGGCCAAGAGCAGATTCATAAACATGCCTTTCCAAGTAAGTTCCAGTGTTATTATGCGTATCATACACAGGGAAGGAAAGGTCAGAAAGTCGTGCGGGCTTGTAAAAGAACAGCAGCATGTCTTGTATCTCGCTCGCCTTACTTACCAGTATGATAGAATTTGAGGCTCTGATGTTTGGTAGGATAAAATGCAACAAAATCCTTGGTAATTCTATTGGCAGTCTTGATCCCTCCCATTTTGCTAAATGTGAATCCTTCACATTCGTACACCATGATAACCCCATTCCGCATACTCATCAGATCTGGGTTCATGGCATTGTGCATATAGAAGAACCCTCCAAGATTGGTTTGCCACTGTTTTTCCGTTTGAAGTGCGTCCTTATCACAGGCTGCGCAATCTATGCAGCAAATGTAGGATCCATGCTCATAGCTATAGGAGAAGGACAAGATGTGATTCTCAAAGAGACAGAGATATTCTTGCACAAGTTTTCGAGCATCTTCGAGAGAATCGCGGATATCATATTCTTCTTTGAACCATTGCATTTGTCGGATACGATTGAGGGCTGCCTCCATGTTGTTTGGTTCCACAATGGCAAGTTGGGCACAGAGAAAGTCGGAGATATTGCTCAAATCGGGATCGCCCTCAACGGCTTCCTTAATGGCCAGAGCCCAATTGCGCTCCTCTTCTGTGATAATCATCCTACAGCTGTGATAGGGATCCATCAGGTGCATTCTGATGTCAATGTCGCCAATGTCGTCGTCATCATCATCACTCCCTTGGTCGTCCGCATCCTCTTGGTTCCACATATTGACACCTGCACCGTCTCGAAGAGCCGCCATCATTCCAGCCTGAATGTCGTGGTTGCCATGTCGCTGCAACAGTGCCGCCAGAGGTGCTGGCATCAGTTGGGGGTCCACTGCATCTGCAGCATCAGGGGCTACTGCTTCCATTCCTAGTAGTGGTTCCATAGTTGCTCGTTGCTCGTTGCTATTGGTATTGATACCAATTTGGTACTTGGTCGTTGTTATTGCTGGTGCTGGGCTGTTGAGATGCTGTTGGCCCGTTCACTTTGGTGCTGCTCGAAGTACAGTCAGTAACAAAGTGCGAATGCGAAGCATGGTTGATGCTTCTCATTTTGCACTTCGAATTCAAAGATTGCAAGAGCTTTCCGAGTCGACTATTTAAAGAATCTTGTCCCAGGTAAAGAACTTGGTGCTCCTCAGTAGACTACAGTGTACTCAGTACGTACCTGGTGCGTAGTTCTAACAAATCAATGTCGCTTCAATCGCAATGACCTGCACCTTCTCAGAGTACACTAAATACTGTATTATATAATACACGAGTTTAAATATCATAATACCGGTAGCCAGCTGTCATGTCGGAGAACTCATTTCATTGTACCCATAGTGACGTGTCATACTGGTTTGGTTAATCGTAGCGTAGAAATTTGGTTCAGAAAGTGTAGAGCCAAAATTTTATTAGAGAGTTGTTCTCCACGCAACTAAAAGCGCGCGATTTCACACAGATTACTGGTACCGCTACTCAAGAGCAATCCCATGCTATCGGTAGAGGTCTACATAGCTGGTAGGTGGGCGGTATCTGGTAGCTTTGTTGCGTCTCCCAGGACACAGATAGGGTGCATGGCTGTAGTACCCCGAAAGATGTTCGAAGCGTTGCAGCTAGCCAGAGTTCAGAAGACATGAAACATCTTAAAAAGATAGAGAGCTTGCTCCAGCCCATCCAAACAAAAATGTGGCTCAGTATGCATCAGCTAGCTGCCGGCCGTGACATCGTCCATCGCCATGACATTGTGGACGCAGTTTCGGATACTGTATCACCCCTCTCCACGTGATGGGAACCATTATCTGCATCTTCTCGCGAGATTTAACTACCTATTCGACGCGCAATGGTGGTGGCAAATTCCTTCTGGGGCATTTTTCTAGAGGGAACTGCGGGCCATCCCATTGCTTCCAGGAACAAGAATTAATGGGTCGTCTGTTGTCACGAACTTGCCACTCTTGGCCACAGGCATTGGCTGGTGTCCTAAAAAACTGTCATCCCACCACGAGCAATCCGCTGTGAAAGGATCCCATGATCCCTATACTTTAGAAGGACTTGCCAAGTCCTTCTTCGGCGCCCCTTGCAATTCCACACGCAGCAAACCAAAAGGTGTACATGTACCGGTACCTGGTACGGTACCACCTGACAGGGCCAAGATTGAGAACACCTCAAGAGGCTAATATCCAAATCAAACCGCTTGACTGGCTTATATCAAAGAAGACCAAAGACCCAAGCGAACCTTGGAACCACGAAAAGAGATCCAACCAACTTCTACAGTATTCTATCGTCCACAACAACACTGAGCTATCCACATCTTGCCATCAGCAGAAAGACCATCAGGCCACGGTACTTTAGTTGCTACGATAATAGGGCTACTTACTATTTGACAAGATGAGGAACGATTCTAGTTTTCCGTGCATGGTAAGGCGGCACAAAACCAATTGATTGCGAATGAATCTTGCCTCATTCATGGTGTGTTGGTTGTTGTTCCATAATGTACATAACAGGAAGACCCGTCCCGGTGTTTCATTGTGTCTGTTCCAACAAATGAACAGGAGAAGGAGTATGCATTGAGCTGCACGCGCAAGGGCGAATTGTGGGCTTCGACGAATCGCGGTCGTTGGGAACAGTGGTGTTTAATTCCCGTGGATGCGACCGCGGGAGTGTACCGATTGGTCAATGCGGCTCACAAACTCGTCTTGGAGTGTCGATTGGGAAGCGATGACGATGAAACCGTTGTCTTGGAAGGAGTGGCCCACAACAAAAAGAAGCCAGCAGCGTCAGACGAAGGAGAAGAAGAAGAAGACTTGGACGAGAATTCCGTTTGTTGGTGTGTCGAACGAAACTCTCACGATGCGCCCGATGTCATGCAGTTGAGGTCATTCGGAACCAATTCCTACTTGGCATGTGGAATGGTGGACAACAATCACCAAAAGCCAGTCATTCACTCCATTCTGCCACAACTCGAAATAGAACAATCCACTACTACATCTAATTTCACACTACTAGACGAAAATGGAGACGACGAAGACGACCAACCACAAGAACCATCTACTCCTACTACAAGCCACCCTTCCACAACACAATGGAGACTGGAATTCCTAACGGGAGAATTGTGCTACATTCAACTGGCGCATTTCCCAGAACCGGGAAACGAAAAACTCCTCTTGTGCGATAATTTTGGAAAAGTCAAACTCTCCAACGTTTGGGGGGGATGGGAAGTCTGGCGCATTGTCGAAGCCGGCAATGATCGCGTCCGGATTTCGTCGTGGACCCATTACACCTACTTTTTGGCGTGTACCACACGCGGCAACTTAAAACTGTCACGCGGCATTCTCATTCCGACAGCTCTAGTGATGACGATGAAACGCTGTGGAAGATACGCAAGGCACCCAAACATTTGGAGGGTGTCATTATCACATCCGTGCCGTACGGACGACTCTTACGATCCGATGGTGGATCCACTGTCACTACGACGGGATTCATGGATGGAGTCGCCACTACCTGGCAATTGACCGCCGCGCATCGACAACGATATACCATTTCCCATGTCGGATACGATCGACGATTGTCGTTGGCATTCCAAACCAAGGATGCCATTCGAAGACGCAGTAGTACATTACTGAGCAATCTGATGCAGCCACAACCTGCTGCAAGTCCAACGAGCAGTAGTAGTAGTCTGGATGAGCCACAACCATTGCTCAAAACCACCAAACATCGTCGCGATTGTGAAGTATGGTTGATTGAAGATATGGATCATGGGTTTGTCGCGTTGCGACATGAAAAACACAGACGTTGTCTGCAATACGATCGTGCTGGAGGATTGGGGGTATCCAAAGAACAAGATCCACAATTTTGGGATCGCAGTTGTTTTTGGCGCATTGTTCCTTCTCCCGCCAACGCTGGTGCCGTTTGTTTTGTCAGTGCCACGGAACCCTTCCTGGCACTCTCTTGTAACCACAATGGAGAACTCGATGCCGTAGAACACCACGGTCCCTGGGAAAGTTGGGCATTGGAACCCTGCATGCCCCATAGTCTACAAGGATGGCAAATCAATCTCATGATTGGTGGTGCCGTGGGAGCCGCATTGGTCGGACCGGTTCTAGCGGCAGGATTGATTGGCGCCGAAGGTGCTGCCGCCGTTGCAGGAGCTGCCGCGGCGGCGGAAACGACCGAAGCGGTGGGACTCGGATTGGCCGGGGCGGCCGCTGCCATGGGAACGGGAGCTGCCGTCGGCTTGTCCGCCACGGGATTGGCCACGGTGGTGACCAATGCGCAACGACGTCGCGCCGAAGGAACGGCATTGATCATGGGATCGGAAGAACAACAACTGGATCGACCATTTTGTGATTGGAAGTCGTGGTAGTAGCGTGCGGTAGTAGTGAAGAGTTTTAGTTAAAAAGTGGGCATTCGGATGGCCCAAATCAAGCATGGTTCGTCCTGTCTAACGGTGGTTTACTCCACGAACGCAACTTATTACAATAGAAAATACATTATTTTTTGAGATGTTTTTGAAAGCTGCATTGGAAGAGACCCACGGAAGTTTCGAGCGCACATCATTCCTTGCGTTGTTTGTAGCTAGATAGCAAACTACATGTAGTTCCATCACCACACCAATCAAGTCCTCCTCGCGCCACACCAGCGCCGACCGAAAGTTTTCGTTTCTCTCCGGCTGCGACGGTGCAAGTATGAACACGGTGCAACATCAATGGAAGAGATACAGGTGGGAGGCATCGCCCATACAGGAAAGCAATATCAAGAAGTTTACGCGTTTGGGCACCACCAACCGCAGAAAGAGACCAAGTTCCAGATTTTAAAAGAGTCACTCTGTGGATTCGATTCATTCCAATAGCAGCAGGACATTGGAAGGGACGCCTGATCACTCACTTGCTCTTTGTGCTTTTTTGGAATGTGGCCGAAGTAGGGATTTTGCACGTGGGTACGTGAAGAAATCTTGGAAGATGAATCCGGAAATGTTCAAAAAATAGTGTCTCCGATTTGAATTTTCTGGTTCTCTACTCTATGTGACCATTACCATCAACATGGACAAGAAAATACGCAGGAGATTGCTCAGAGTAGTCAGAGTTATTCCATTGTTAGTAGTGTCTGTTTGTGTGTAGTTTCTTTCAGTGTCCACAGTCAGTTAGTCCAAGTCCAACAGTCCAACAGTCCAACTAGCTAGCATGCTAGAATCTCTTGCAGGTAGTATGACATGCTCCCATATCCAAAATGACTTCGATGCGATATTCTCCGTCTTGTTGTACACCGAATTCGACCATTTGCTTGTCCAAATCTGTGGAAGGTTTTAACGTTTTGGGTCCCTTGCCCGGGAGCATGAGCATTAGCTTCCACTTTCCGATCGGCGATGATTCAATGGGAGCCACGGCTTGATAGAGTTCTCGCACAGTGGCATCTAACGGTATATCAGAGATCACTTGCAGTTGTCCCTTGAGCGTCTTGACTTGATAGCTGCAGCTCATGGTTCTATTGGAGGCGAGGAGGGTTTGTTTGGGTGGGCGATGATCGTGAGGGTCCTACTACGTAGTATCCTTTTTCTTTGAAAAGTATCCACGAATGGAAGATTTCTGGGCTTCCGAAACCACCGCCATTTTTCTTTCGGGCGCCACAACAATTGCTGTTTCGCAAAACAGCAATGCCATCAGGGTCCCTAGACGCCTACTAAAGGTCACGAAAGGAGGAAATCTACCGAGCTAGCTAGCTACCAGGCAGCCAAGTCTTCTCCTGTGGCCTGCCTATCGCTGCCAGCATTCTCATCAGACAGTATTCTTTCATAGGGTGGTCGCAACATCCATGACGAAACCTCCTCCAAAGCCAAACCAGGCCGCTGTCGGCAAACGTCGTCCCACAGTGCCTCGCGTATCCTTTGTGACGGATCAGCAGAAGGATCGAAGAACCACCACCTTCCAACCGGGAAGTCTTTCCAAGGTTATTCTGGAAGATTTGCAAAGTCAGCAAGAGCACATTGTCCTTGCCGCGCTCGAGTACTTGAGTGGACTCTTTTCTCCCGATGCAAGCCCTGCTGACAACAGCACCAACAAGACGAATGGATCAACAGCCCATCGCAGTAATTGTCAACACTTCTTCAACATGGGTGGCCATGGTGTTCTCCTCGTTACCATGAAGCGTTGGAGCGAGAATGCCGCCATTCAATCCTCCAGTTGCGAATGTTTGGCCAGGTTTATTCATGGGTATAATAATAATAATAGTGTTCCAACGACAATCACTAGCACCACCACCCGAAGCAGCAACTTGAGCAACAACAACAACAACATACCAGTGACGGACACCTTGCTGGAAATGGGAATCGTCGAGTTAATCCTAGGGGCATTGGAACGCTTTCCCCATTCTCCCACGCTGCATTATCGGGCCAACAACGTACTGCGATATCTCGATATGAAACGCTTGGTGGATGATTTTGAGGGCGTCACTATGGTGTTGAAAATCATGACCACATTCCCAAATGTGGCATCGTTGCAAGAACTGGGGTGCCGATTCTTGCAAACGAGTCTCCAGTTGGGGTTTGTCACGGCCGCTGAGATTCGCAGCCGCGCCATACTGGTGATTGTGGCAGCCGTCACGGGACACCCACAGCACAAGGGAATCAAACACAGTGTGGGGGTCATCCTGAAACGAGTCTCTAGCTAGCTAAATATACCGGTAGCTAGCTACGTAGTGGGGTGAACGACGACTCGACTCAATTTGGATCCACGAGAGGGCTGTGGAGGGAAGCGAAATAAATTGATGTGGACGAGCCGATAAAGATAGAAAGAACTCTTCAAACCTCCCACAGTGTCCCTTCATTTCCTGCCGTAAAGTCCCCTCCATCGCCAGCTTACTAACTTGCTGCCGTTCAACTTTCAATTACCCGAGAGGGGCTTGCTGGTACAGTATTTACAGACGACCGAGACTCGGCATCGCTCAAATGCTACCACCACTTATTGGGTGGGCGAATCTACGAGATGGATCTTCACTCCTCTTCACTGGACCGTACGTGCGGTTGCCAGTTTCGCAGTGTGGGAGGTTTCTCGGTTGCAGCTTCGTACAGCTCCTCGTATGTACCTTGCTTGAAGGCCCCACCCCAAGGCAATGCAGAGACTGCAGAGTTGGATGCGCTGAGCCATGCTTCTGATGGGGTGCGGGAGTAAAGTTTTCGAGGAGGTGATCTTGTCAATCTTTGTCATGCATTCCGAATCATAACTGGTCAGTCTAGCTAGAATGGAAGGGGTTTACATAGGCTTAATAAGAAAAGATGAAATTCAGGACTGGCTAGGTTCCATGGGATCAGGCGCAATGAGCTGGAGACCAACACGGGGGCCAACATGTAAAAGTACCTTCTTAAAACTTAATAATTGAGAATGGCTAATACGTTATGGGCATGCAAAAGACAGCAAAGCCCTGCCCTCTGGCACAATATTACTCCTTCCTTGGGGCATCCTACAACAAGGCATTCCTAGTGTCTTCCAGCTTCTTCATGACCTCTCCCACCGTTCTGTCAAGCTTTTCCGCAATCTTGCTCTGTTCGGTGTGATGAAGGGAGGTGAACGCACTGCAAAGATCTCCATCCACAACATGGATGACAGGTGAATAGTAAGACCGGTAAGCAAGCGGATCCCTGCCTGTAGGTCGGTCCACATCCATCCTCATATGTGCCTCCAGCTGGGAGAAGAAGTCCACATCATCTCTTGACGTGAACGGCACTAGAGCCCCAATTCGTCCCGAAACCGTCACATAGATCAGAGATTCCGCACCTCCAGCAACCAGAGATGAGCGAGTCATTCCTGTGACAACTTCGCCTACGTAGAAATGACACAGTTGTTCCAGTCTCGGAGCAGCATCTTCTCGGGACGAGCCCCAAAGAGCTCGTTGACCCGTAAAGTCCACAGCGCCAGTGTCAGAGCCACGAGGAAGCCTCAAGATTGAAATATTTCCGTACTTGTCCCCCACGGCAGCTGTGTTCCAGTCTAGCAACTCTTGAGAAACGATTGGTCTTGGGTTTGGATCAGCAGCAACCAGTACCAGGCGGTTGGCGGATGCGTCGTACCGAACAATATGAACCGATTGCATCATGTCACCCAAGAAGGCTCTATCCCCTGCCGTTTGCAAAGTTTTAACATAGGTAGGCAGTCCGCGAAGTTCACATTTTCGGAGCAGTTGCCGCTTCCCCATCTCGTACAACTTGAGTGATTTGCCAATTCCAACCAACAGTCTTCCCTGAAAATGCGCCAAAGCAAGGACTGGCCCATCATCGACAGCAGTTCGGTGCAGCAATTGCAGTCGTTCTCGGTTGACAACCCTATAAAGAATGATGTAACTCGCCGTCTGACGCAAGGGTTGCAAAGTCATGTTTGTCACAGTACCAACAGCCAGCAGAGGCTCTCCTCCCTTTGAGTGAAATCGCACAGAGGCGCAACAGAGGGCAGCTTCATTGCGGTTCATCTCAACACAGTCCAGAGTTCTGCATGCATCGGATGGGTCGAGCAAGCGAACACACGAACCCCAGTGGCCAGGCGCATTTGGGACGGGGCCTCGGATTGGGGTCTTCCTAGCCTCCTTTTCCTCGGGATCCATACCATCACCTTCTTCAGTGTCCATTTTCTTGTCACCTTCATCGTCGCTGCCTTCGTCCATATCCATGCTATCGTCGTTCGCCTTGCCGCCACCACTAGATGCAGCTGCAGCTCCACCAGTTCCATCAAATCCCATTGCAATTTTGGCCTCCTGACCGTACTCATTGTAGTCACTCTCCACAACTGCCACAATAATCTTTCGACTCTCAGGTGCGCCCGCGGGGTTACCCGTGCCCGCTGATAAAAGAGTCATGTTTCGCGGTGTATAGCGCAAATCGATCTTCTGGGTATTGAATGCTTCTTCCTGGCCACCTCCCATGCCAACCGTATCCACCGATAGGATTCGCAAGGTTTTTCCAGCAGTGGCGACAACTCCTTCTTTTACTGCGTCCGAACGAAAGGAACAACCGTGATCCAACGGTGTGTATGATAAGGGAGCCATAATGTGTTTGCCAGAAGTTGGATCCAGACGACTGATCCATGGACGAGATGACAAAAGCAGGCTGGACGCCCTCGATTCCAAGCTGATACGTGAAACCGCAACTGGCCGGGCTCCCAGAAATCGCTTTGTGTGACTGGTGGAGATTGACCCCGTCACAGAATCCACAGTCGCACGTAGAGCACTTCCATCATCCAAACCGATTACCAGGACAAGCTCGTCCAGAATAGCATTCTTATTTTTCCCGTCTGGCGCTTCACCTGCCATGCGTTGTAGAATGCACGTATGTGGCCTTGATTTCAAGGCTGTACTGCTCTGCTGGTGAAGCAGATTGCCAGGTTCAAGGCTCACGATCCGAACTGTCTGATCACGACACCCAACGACCGCAAAGAGACTTCGTGACGATCCCTCTGGAACAGTACCAACATCCAGACAGCACACATCTGCGCCCATGTCTCTTGTGGCACACTCCGTTAAATTGCCACTCTGTGGGTCTAGTTGAAAGTAGATGACTTCCCCACCCGAAAGCGCAATGAGAACTTGGCTCTCGTTGGAGCTTGCGCATTCGATACGTTTCAAACCAGGACAATGCCATTGGCGGGCCTGCCCATGCTGGATGTGTCTTACTCCGGCAGGATGGACCTGACAAAGCGCTCCATCATTGCCCAATGCCGAACACGCCAAAGTTGGTGCGTTGGTTAAGAATCCCGATTCTCGTCCAACTTCTTCTACCGTTTCTCCGACGCTCAAGACAAGTGTAGCATCGGCAAAGCTAACAACAATGTATTGGTCGTTGCGGTTCGTACCCGTGCTGCCGGCTGAGTTATCGGCAATGGTAAAGATCCCTCCAGGGATTCCAGGCAATTCACTGACTGCCAATTCACTGACAGACGCTCCGTGTCGGATAATGCGAAGAGCACTTCGTGGTCCTGATCCAGTCAATGTATAGATTTGAGGACTGACTTCGTTTCCCGCCAATTCACCCACCATTACTGCAGTTGTAGGAGAGGGATTGTCAAGTGTGAATAGTTTGCGTAGATTCTTGAGCATGGTTGGTTTGAAATTTGGCGCCAGTTGCGCGGCAGTGGTGGTAGTAAGGAATTTGGCCCCGCCTTCTTTTGTAATCAATTTTTGATAGGCGGCATTGGCTTGTTCGTAGGTGCATGTTTGAGCGTCGGGAAGGTCGATGCGCTCAAACTGGTACAAATGATGGTCGCCTACCTGTGCTGCCAAAAACAGCATCCCCAGCTTGCTTACATTGAGAGCATTGGCAATGGGCAGCGTGTCGAGCAAAGATATGACCATTCCGGTGGCCTTTGTTTTATCAGCTGGATCCAATTCAAGTGTCACTTTGTAGACATCGCCCAGTTCCGATTGTGCCAATGCAAAGAACTTGGATTTTTTCTGTTTGTGTACAGTGATTTTGGTGATGAGGATGCCCTTTTCTGTGGGATGCAGAGTTCTCCTTGGAATGGTCGCTGCTAGACGTGTAAGGTTGTTGCTGTCCAAAGTGAGTCCCTCGTGCAGGTATTCAATCCAGTCTTCTCCTCCCACGAGGACTCCTCCTGGTCCATCGTTTCCACCAGGCAATGCAGCGAGACAACATGCCGTCCTGTGTGTGGTGGTCGCCCATCTTCTACTGACATGATTCAATCCTAGATCCAGTTCGTAATATGCCAATTGTTTTTCGACTTGATCGGCATTTGGAAGTTCTGCTGCATCTCCAGATTCTGGATATTGGAGTTCGATAGCCGCAAAAATGGGGTTGTCGTATCCATTGTCCAAGCCAACAGCATCGAAAGTGATGGCTCTGCCACGGTGAGCTTCTAGAGGACTGGCAATGGTAGGTTTTCCCGTGGCATCTCTGTTGAGAACATAGACGAGTTTTCGTTTTTCAATGGCAGCAATCATGACAGCTCTGCCTTTGGGATCAGCTGCCACATATTGTCCAGGAGTGGATCGTCTACATCCAGTTTTTCCGTAATCACAGCAATGAACAATTTTCCCCGTTCCTCCTCCTTCAAAGTCCAGTACGCTCAAGGCTCCACCATCGGCACCCACGGCCACCACATCTCGTTTGTCACCTGTTAATCGGACAGTACAGAGCGATCTCAGAACCGAGCGAGTTTCCACGCGGGCCACCAATTTGATGACCGTTGGCGGATCTTCTTCGTCGTCTTCTTCGTCTTCCTTGTCACTCTTGCCTTGGACAATCCGATGCAACTCCAGAGTTCCTCCCGATCGAGCAATCACAATCTCGTGATTCCCAGCAGCCGTAAACTCCCCGGCCACAGATGTCACAATCGCACTCGATGGCTTCAGCCGCATATCCAGCAGCTTCATGGCCACTGAAGATACAGGAATCGCATCCCCTCCATCTCCACTCGTTTTCGCCTCGTCCACAGCCATCTGTGTTACAATTAGGGGCCTACTGGGATGTAGACAGCTTACTAAGTGTCAAAGTTTGCGTTGTTGCTCCCTCCTTGATATTCTTCTTATTAAATTGTATCGGAAGACTAGCTAGCTAGAGTTACTACAGTCGTGTGCCCTGATGAGAGGTCGCTGGTGGCTGTGTGCCGTCACTGCTGTTTGAGGGCCGAGGACTCGAGATCGGGGGTAACACCCAGATCTCGAGGCCTGCTGCTGCCGAAGCCAACCGTACGGTAGAGCAGACCAAAGGCAGAATTAACCTTAACGCTTTATTCAGTCCTAATTGTTTTTTCATTGCCCTCGCATGGGACAGGGACCGGCAGCATGGAAGCATTGATCTCTTGGCAAGAAATAAATGGATCTGTCAGAGTCTTTAGCTTGGCCATGAAGGGTTGCAACGAGCGCCAATGGGAACATCATCCGGAAGTTAGTTCCCGCCACATTGGAATGGAGTCCCTGGAAGACAGTTTGAAAGCATGGAAAATGAGTGCCCGGGTGCCAAGTCAAGCTAGGCTGCCAACAATAGTAGTATGGGTAGTGTGATCATCAGCTTTCTGATTGAATTCGTTCATCGCTTCAACGAGTGCATTGATCAGGGGGTTGCCATGAGTTAGTTGAACGAGCTAGTTGAGTCATGCTTCTGCTGAGGTGCCGGAGTAAAGTTTACAAGATGGTGAACGTTTCTGTCCATGTTCTTGCTTCAAATTCAGAATGCATCATTGGAGTGAGAGTCCACCGGTACAATACTTCATCCAACAAAGTTTCAAAGGTTTGTGTTGTTCTCTCTCCTTCGGCAACAAAAAGTGGTGGCCATGTGCATCTAAAAGAGCTACAGCGAGCATCAATTAATTTTGGGTGAAAGAACGATAATTTTGGCCAAAATCTTCCATTTGGCACACACGCGCCGTCCCCGCGAAAAAATTATTTACACCTGAAAAGGCTTCAGATTTCAAATTTCGGCTCAAGGACAAAAAAGGGAAAATAAATGGTCTCGCAACATCCCTGTGGCAGGAGCACGAGCTGATGATGTTTCAAATCGTCCCATAAAGCGTATCAATGGTTCGATAACGCTGCTGCTTTTCATTCATACACTCCTCTCAATGATGAATGCACTTGTGTTATCTGTCTTGCTATCTTGCATGCTTCCGGCCGCTGCACAGCGTGGGTTGAATAGTACCGGTACTGATACTAGTAGTCCCGAGGCTCCAAGTCCTCGGCAAAGCCCCATTTTGGATGCTGCCGCTCTGGAGGCTGCAGAGTGGGTTAATGACTATCCGAATCAATCAACTGTAGAGCAACGCGCACAACTCTTTGCGTTGGTGGCTTTTTACTACACAACGCAGGGAGACTCATGGCAGATCAATGACGATTGGTTGTCTTACGAGGTGTCTGAATGCGAGGTAAGCGAGCTACAAGAATGTGGATCGAGATGCAAGCTCAGTCCTTATCCAAATGGTCTCACTTTTCTTTTTCCTGTGTTAATCTTAGTGGTTCAATCAAGCTGAAGAAGATGCATGTGACAGTGAGTCAAGACTTGTGGCGCTAGCGTTGAGTGAGAACAACTTGGGCGGCTTGCTGTCTCCCGACCTTTCCAGATTAAGTTCCTTGAAGGAACTTGATCTGAACGACAACAGAATTGGAGGGTCTTTTCCAAGTGAATTTGGCCTCATGACTGATCTGGTAATTTTGAGTTTGGGTGACAACTTTCTGAATGGAACCATCCCGACCCAAATAGGGTTGATGAGTTCGCTGGAGGTTCTAGAGTTGCAAGGCAATGAGCGACTTGCTGGATCTCTCCCTCAAGAGATCAGTGGCCTGGAGAACTTAACAAGCTTGAATTTGATGAATACGTCTATGACAGGAACTCTTCCTCCAAGCATCTGCAATATTACCGACCTAAGCTTTACATGTGGCATTCCAGGAGGGCTGTGTGGTTGCGGTTGTGAATGCGCCGAAGCGGCCCCGCAACCAACCAGTGCACCTACCTTTGAACCTTCGGTACGGCCCTCTCAAGTGCCCAGTAAAGAACCCACGAGAAGCCCAACAAGGAGTCCAACTAGAAGACCGACCAGACGTCCCACAAGGCGGCCCACGAGGAGACCGACAAGACGTCCGACTAGAAGGCCGACCAGACGACCTACCAGAAGACCCACAAGGCGGCCGACTAGAAGACCAACAAACAATCCCACGCCTCTGCCAACCATAGGGCGCATCTTGACGCCGGGTCCAACTCGTTTTCCCACGCGTCGTCCAACGCAGGAACCATCGGCTTTCCCCACGTTCAGTTGTGAGTGTAGCTTGGAGCCAGGCCCCTGTGTGAGAGAATATGAGCTCCAATGGTGCGAATCCCTCCTTGCGGATGGCAGATGTTCCTGCATTGCAACTTACGATACCTGCCCCAGGACATATTTATGCATTCCCGATGTGAATGTGGAACGAATTGGGAACCCGCCCCCTTCATAGTAGTTTAGTTGACGGCGTTGCATTGCGGGTTCCTACGACGTTTGCTTCTTTAGGATTGTAGCGTTTCTTTGTTAGAGTTGGAAGGCTATAAACGGAGAGTCTTAACTTTGAAATTTTGAACAATCAGTACGACAGATAGCAAAGGCATGGTCCGTGCAGCCATTAAGTAACTCCTGGCAAGTTGAAATGGAAACCACTGCAGCAGCAACTGATTAAGAGAGGTCACTGAGTGCCTAGGGTTGTTATCGGTATCCATGTACTCCTACTGTAGCCAGGGCAAGGACATTCACAAGGAAAATGGGAGACACTACGCTGCTAATACTGGGCAGTGGTGTCGGGTTGTCCTCGCCAACGGCATAGATCAGATACTGGGATTCATTTGAGCAGGGAGGAATGTTCTACATCGTCAGCAAGAACTAGATTCTTCCTCCCTTGAACCCCCCTGCCCTCCCCGTAATGTATTGCGAGTGGCCAGAAGCCAGATCGTAGGGCTCTTTCCAGCCCACAATCGCACTTCCACGCCGTCGATTGATAGATGCTCAATCCTGATTTGAAAGCCATTGAAGCTGGCTAGACGAACTCATGGGTACACTATGAAGGCCGAACTTGGCCCGGGCAAACGACATGCACAGCGTGCGGTACACTGGAGTTGGCCACCGCCTCCCGCGCTCTTTCTCGGTCTACCGTGACAGTCGCACATCCGGAAGAAGCCCAAGGACAAGATCAATCCCAATTCAATCTACACTGATGTCGCAGCTTCGAAGCAGTAAGCTCACAATCTGCTCCGAGAGACCACCAAAAAACTACCCGATACACCGAAGAACTACACAACAAAAACCATGAAGACTTCAAGCGTCGTTTCGCTCCTCAGCGCCCTTCTTTTGGTAGGCACCACCCATGGGGCCCACTTGAGGTTCAAAGGCAGTGCGCCCGTCTTTAGCCGCCATCTTCGTGAAGAGTGTGACTCCGATGCCGAGACTGACACCTGCTTAAAAAACACAGCCTGTGTCCAAGGACAATGTCGAAGTCCACCTGGATCAAGTTGCAGCGAACACGGGGACTGCACTTCTCTCTACTGCGGAAACAACGGCTTGTGTGCCACCCTTGGCATTGACGATAAGATAGAATGTTCCTCCAACAGCGACTGTAATGGCGGATTGATTTGCGGCCACGGGCGTTGTCGCGGTGACACCGGAGCAACGTGTTATGTTCCCTATGATTGCGCTACCTTGACCTGCGACTCGTTCCAGCAGACGTGCGAGGCTCTTCAAGTCTGCCAAGAAGGTTCGGCTGAAACTTTTGAATGCCCTGTTGGATACCAGTGCCAGGGCCGCGACGGGGCCTACCGCAAGCATTGTCGTCTTCCCGTTGGCTCCTCTTGCCAAAACAATGACGATTGCGTCACCGATTCGAACTGCAACTCCGGAGTGTGTGCCCAGATTGAGCCATTGCAAAACCGTGGCAATGATTGTCAGTTGCCATACAATAACAAGAACGGGCCCAACTATGTCCAAGCTCAGTGCCCTGTTGGACAGGTTTGTTGGACGCATACGTGTGATCCACGCACCAACTCGTGCAATGGAAACTGTGGCCGCAACCGTGGAGAACTCTGTACGGAGAATGGGGACTGTGCCGATGGAATTTGCAACATTCTCAGTCGCATGTGCTACCGGTAAGCAACTACGCGCTCGTACCGGTAGAATAAACGTAACAAAGAAGCAAATATTAGAAAGACATCATAGTCTCTCCTTACCGTAGCTTTTGGGCCTGTGCATACAAATTCGACAGCCCTTTCATGCAAGCAACACCAGGCCGCCATTGCAAATTATCCTGATCCCTATTACACCGTACCTTTACGTATCCATGCGAGAACCCCAAGGCTTCCGGGTGGTGTCAAGTCACAACTCCGGAAGCTTTTGATCGAAGCGTTGTTGCAATTTTTTCCCAAGAGGGACAACTTGAACGATTGGATGCGACGGTCACTGTGTCACTTCCCTTGCACTCATTTTTGATAGATCTTCTTTCGATAACCCAAAGGGAAATCGTCTCATTTCCCTTGCTTTCTTTGAACTATAAGAGTACGGTACAATAGAAGTGCCAGCCAAGTACCAGCCACCGGTAGCATCGAAACGACCAGTTTCATACTCCTCTGTTGTTCCTTACCTGAAGAATTACAAGCTTTCAGATTAGTGACAATCATGTCCAATCCTCCTGTGGTACCACCACCAGCTCGTCCGAGTGGAGCCTCGTCCACTCCCTCTCATCATCGAGGACCCCACGATGTGGCCATTACCATTGACAATGATCATGATCATCATCATCATAATTCTGTCTTGTACAATCGATTTCGCCACGCATCGGAACGAGATGTGGATTTTGACCACGATGTGTTGCATCGGGGCGTCCGCGATGCCGGACGGTGGGCGTATGGAACCATTTATGTGGAAGTCTGGGTCTGGAATGAACACAAGACCCGTTTGTTTCGACCTCCCGGTGGATGGTGGCTCGATCCCGTCTTTCATCAGCAACAACATGCTCGTCTCGAACAAAATGTCGATGGACAACAAACCACCAGTGGTACCACTACTACTGAGTTGAGTCATCGCGAAGATTGTCCACTCTGTCAATTGACCGATCCCACGTTGAAAACATATGTACCGGCACTCCCACTGTCCATTGGAGAAGGACTTCCGGGAGTGCTTTGGGCCGAACTAGAAGGGGCCGCAACCAGCACATCCACAGAGCGTCCTAGTAACTCCGGCGCTTCGTCGCGACGACGGGCGTCTATAAGGGACTTGCGTGTTCCGCCACAAGAACGTCCTCTAGTATGGCGACAAGTCCAATCGATTGCCAACGATCCCGATCAACCCTTTAATCCCCGTCTTCAATTGATTGCCGCACAACAAACGGCCTCGCAAGTGGGATGGGCGGCCGCTGTCAAATTCAATGACGCTCATGGCGGTTTGGTCATGTACTTTGCACGCTCCAACATTTCCCTGGAACGACTTCGCTATCCGACCAATGAACGCTATCTTCGCCAGTCGGCGGCGTTTATTGGATCGGCGTATGCCTTAAGACAACCGCGACAGGCGTGTATTGCTCTGCGCAAAGAAGAAATGCATGCGGCTGTCAGTCATGTCAAGGAGAAAATTCGAGAAATTGGACGAGAAGCACTGGCGGCTAAATTGATGAAACCAACAACATCCAAACGACCCACTACAGCAGGCACAACAACCACAATTCATCCAGAACATCCACCCGAGACTACTACAACATCTACTACTACAACGTGCCAAGACAATCGCGCCTGGCATTTCGTGTCACACCATTGGACTCGTATTCTGCGCAAGTTGCAAGGAGGCAACGCTCAACCACCCCCCGGGTTTGGATGGACCCAAACGGCGTGGACATTTACGGGCGTCTTTTTGACACTGCTTATGCTGACACGGACCAATGTCTGGATCAAGGAGATGTGGGGGGACGACAAAGTCATTGTCCTGGGACCTTTTGGAGCCCTCATGACACTCATGTACGGACTCACACAGGCGCCGGCATCGCAACCGCGTAATGCCTTGTTGGGACAAACTCTTTCCATGGCCATTGCCATTGGTGTCTCGGAAATACCTGACATGCCAAGTTGGATCAAACAGAGTTTGGCTACGGCACTCGCTGTCACGGTCATGGTCAAATTGGGTATTACCCATCCACCGGCCGGAGCGGCCGCACTCTTGTTTGCCACGGGAAACTTTGGATGGTACAATTTCTTGGCCTGTCTGATTGGCAATGGTCTGGCGGTGGGGGCCGCAACGCTCATTAATGATTTCAATATGGATCGACAATATCCGACCTATTGGGGAATCAGTGATTACAAGGAAAAGGTGCAATCTACACTCTTTCGATACAGTAAAGTGGACAGTAGTGATGAGCAGGAAACTACGAAGAAAGAAGTGGAGATGCCCGAAATGAAAAAGGCTTGAAATGGAATGGGAGCAAAAATGAAAGGAACCATTCGTTTTTACTTGCGTGAGCCCAAAGAAGCTCTGTAAAATAGGACCCAAGAATTGGTACTTGTCTGATTCAAGTGCGATTTATGCTTGCCGGCACTACATTAGCTACTAGTACCGGTAGCTAGCTAGTAGTACCGTTTCAAGGGTTTGCTAAAAATACGGTACGATACTGTACGCTTAACCAGTTCCACGCTCCGAAGTCTTCCACGTTCACAGGTCCAGGCGGGAGTCCAATTAAGCCGTCAGAGCCAGAAATCGAGGTCGAGTCTCAGTCTGTCGCGGGAGTCAAGCCCGGCCGACGACTGGCGATTTTGTTTTCTAACAAAACTTCCGTTCTGCGATTTCCTCCCCGCTCAAACGCACCCTCCGCATGGCTTGGATGCACATCACCAAGGCGACCAACGACAATGGACTTTCGTCCTCGGACATGCCAGCACCAACACCAGCAGTAGAGAGATCGAATATATACGAAGTAGCTTGACTTTCCTCCTCCTAGAAACGACCATGGCGGGAGAAAGGGAGGCAAGGCCAGTTCCATCTCGCCGGAACATGGATCGTAACGATCGACCTAGCGGACACAGACGCGGCCGGAAAGAACCGCCAAAGCCCAAACTTATTGATACTTTTGGTCGTCGTTGTCAGATACCATGGACGTCCGAAGAAACCGAGCATGCGCAAGAGCTGATGGAATATCTGACGGTTCAGTTAAAAGAACAGGAGGGTACAAGCAATCTTCCGCAAGAAGAAAGTCATCAGTTGCTCTCGACACTGCAACAATTCCTGAGACAAGACGAGCTCGATCGAAACGATCCACTACTGACAAAAATTGCCTACTATTTCAACGACGTCAAGTGCGTTGATCTCGACAAGGTTGGTAAACTGTTGAAAATGAACCAACAAGTGGGCAATTCTCTCAACAACAAGGATGTCATTCTGCTCTTGGGAAATACGAGCAGTGGCAAGACAACCACATTGCATTCTATTGCGGGGACTACGTTTAAGGAAGTGGTAGTGGATGGATTTGTGCATCTAAAACCAACACAGTTTTTGGATGCTACCGTCGCGGGATACGAAACCTCCGGCACTCGCAATTCGGTCACAAAGTGCCTCCAAACAGCACATCTTAAAGTGCAGGACGATGAGTACGTCATATGCGATACCCCCGTTTTTGGCCAATTCGACTCGCTTGAAGAGGAAATTGCGCATAAACACGGGTTATGGGATGCCATTTGCCATGCCAAGACAATACGGCCCGTCTTTGTTCTGAGTCAAGAATGCCTGGGGAACCGAATGTCAGGACTGCCAGAAATCTTCAACATGATGACGAGCTACTTTGACAATCAGATTCTGCTGGATGAGTTCGAAACATTACCCTTTCAATATGTCTTTACACGATTTGATGACCGCCATAGAACTCGTCTTTGGAAGATGTTCAAGTACTACCACGAGAGAGCCAACCCCTACCAAGGAGAAAACCCGGCCCTGTTTGACAAGGTAGTCGATGATTTGATCCAAAAGACATGCCCCGAGGCCAATGTCGTCTGCCCAATCAGCGATATTCCACGGTACTTGTTGCGATCATTGCTCAAAGATTCATCTCTACACTGCTCACCCAAAGACACTCTCAAGAAAGAGGGGCCCAGTTCTGCATGGAACTTGTTGCACATTCAACTCAAATTGGACTTGTACGGTATCATGATGCTCCTCGCAACACAAGATTTTGAAGCGGCTGTAGAAAAAATTACCAAGTTCACGGAACTTGCACAAGTTCTTCCCACTGCCAAAACATTTCTGGAATTGGCGTTGAAGGCGTGTGAGCGGTATGCCATTGTTTTGTGGGAATCCTACAATACCAGCATGGAAAAGAAGGACTACATCACGGCGTTGGTGTTTGTGAGTCGATCGCTGGACCTTTCGGAGGCGCTGCCGGACATGGATGACTACATTCGGCTGTCCTACGAACTCTTTTGGCAACAATTTCAGAGGACAGAAACAATGCCAGGTCAGAGCTTGACGCAGGAATTTCTGCAGCAGCTACGAGAAATCACTCAGCTAAGTCCCGACATGCACGCTGAAGTCATTGGGGGTATCCGGTCTATGCGGGGTGCGATTGTCAAGGAAATGTCCAGGTCTCAGGAGTTTGCTCTCCTTCTCCCACAATTCAAGTTGCTAATGAACCTGAGTTCTGTCTTTCCAGAGGCGAACAAGGCAGCGACAGAGATACTTGACCGACTGGAAACTAGAATCATGGATCGTGTCAAAGAAAAGGATTTTCGAACCTCTACGGAAGAACTGCTAGTTATTGGACGCATGGCGCAGGAATTTCCAGAGCGGATGCGCTTTTGCATGCATGCAGTCAAACTGTACAAACACGCGTTGGATCAGGCTATCGATAAGCATTTTTACGAACAAGCTGGAGACACCATGGTTTTTCTGTCGCGGTTACAAGCCGAATATCCCGATGCTGAATGGTATGTGGAGCGGGGGCTTGAAAAGCTATGGAAGCAATTCAGTGCATCCATCAAGCAACGAGAGTATGCCACCGCCGTTTGCATCGTCAAGCATATGAGCAAGCTGGCACACTCTTCTGATACTGCGTTTGAAAGGTCACGTCTTGGTATTGAAGTAATTCGGGATAGATTGTTCAAGTCCATCGAGAGCAAAAACTACGGGATGGCCCAAGTACTGATGCAACAGTTGACCCGCTTGGAGAAGGGACTTCCACAGAAGCCCCTTCCGACCAAGACCAAGGAGGTGCAACGACCGCTGTTTGACGATAGTGAAAGCGGCTCAGGATCTGGTCTCGCTGCCAGCGATGATGCCGCCAGACGAGTGAAGCGTCATCATCAACCGACAAAAGAACGTAAGAGCAACCCACTTGCGAGCAGTCCACCAGCTACCCCACTCATGCGTCCGACCAAGGAGACTGCCCGTGCTCGAATAGAAGGCACTCCTCCAATGAAGAATCGCAATCACAGCGACCGTGACGAGTACAACAGTGCCGGGGGCGAGGATTCGTCGTTTGATGAAAAGCGTGACGACTACAATGCGCGCAAAAAGACCACCAAGCGACGGGGAGACGAAGAAGAGGCATATGGATATCCTGCCAGGCATGGAGCTGTCGACCGGGATGACTACGGAGCTAGAGCAAGGGACCAGGATGACTACAAAATCAAATCTTTGGCTGAGGAAGAATACAGAGCAAGGAAAGCCAGGGACGAGGAAGCATACAGAGCTAGGGCACGGGAGGAGAAGGACCCCAGAACGAGGGCAATAGAAGAGAAGGGCCACAAAGCGAGGGGCAGGCGTGAACATCGAAGTAGTGGAAGAGACAGGGAAGCAGAACGCTATAGAACGAGGAGCAGGGAACGTGATATATTGGAAGAAACGCGCGATGATTACCATGGTCGGGAATCTTCGGAAGAGGAATACGATGATATGTCTGAATTGACAATGAGTATCATTGACTACAATCGAAAGCACAAACATCGACACGATCCCGCGGATTTGGCAAGGCATGAACATCCGCCTCCACCAGTAGCGAGAATCGGCATAACCAAAATGCCCAAACAAAAGCGACGCGACTCACCTCCACGAGGCGATCCTCTTTTCGAATCGTCACCACCGCGGACGGATCGCTACGATTCACCACAAAGACGAAAAAGTCGTAAAGAACCACCTGTTGAGACGCGAAGACAGAAACAACGCTATGACCCCCCTCCTCGTAAGAGCAAAATCAGACCACCGTTGCCTGGGAGTGAAGGAACGCAGGATCCTCCTCGGAGGAGCAAGAGCAGACCACCATCCCCTCCTCACAGGCAGAGGGAACGCGATCCTCCTCGGAGGAGCAAGAACAGACCCCCATCCCCTCCTCCCAGGCAGATGGACCGAGATCACCACCACAGAGATCCTCCCCCTCGGAGAAGGAGCAAGAGTCGCCAGGACTCTCGTGGCAAGCATCGCAACGAATCACCGACTCGTCGACGTCATGAATCCCCTGTCAAACGCCGCAGCACGTCCAAAGGACGTGCATCGTCTCCGCGTCGCAAATCTCGAGCTTCTCGCAAGTACTACAAGAATCGCAAAAATGTTGTCAAGTACGATGACTACGATGCCTATGACGAGTACGAAGAGAGCTCCAAGCCCTTTGATGAGTCTAGCTATCAAGAACGCACCACACTTCCCTCCGACGAGGAATATGGATTCAGCTTTGGGGATGACAAAACTCCAAGACGAAGAAGCGATGGCGGTGACTACCATGAGTACAAAGCCAAACAACGTTCCAGTAGTCTCCCCAAACTACACCGCAACAGTGATCGTCATCATCGTCACGAGGACGAAGGGGATTCCCAAGTGAGCTCTGTTGTTCAGCAAGAGAACACACGTGTTCTCCGTGACAGGATGCTCCGTGTGGCAGACAGCTATACAAGTACCGCTACGGAAGACTTGATCTCTTCTTGGGATCCTTGATGGCGCAGTTCCGAAAACAGATGTGGCAACTTGCTAGCTAGCTAACAACAATAAGAGACGCATCTCTCTCTATCCAAACCCTCTAATGTGCCCTGCTTGGGATTGAATGAATCCATTCATTCATTGATTGCTTATTACAAACCTATTTAAGAAACCCTCCGGTGTTTCCCCACGCTGCATGATGGTGGGTTTCCGCCACGGCTCCGGGACCTTGCCGGTAGGAGAATCCCAATACATTTCGTTGGGAAGATGCGCATGCATCTTTTCAAACCCGTGGAAATGCCACATTTGAACCACATCACAAGTCTTGAAATATCCTGCATTTTGGACATGGGACCAGAGTGCCCAGTAGGCCGCATTTTCGGCCCCCTCTTCGTTCATGCGAAAAAAGTCTTGGGTTCCTTCGACCGTGTTGCGCATGAAATCTCGCGACCGAACGAGTTTTCCTTCCAAGAGTGTTCTGTGAAACACAAAGGCATCCCATGACAGCATGCGTGGTCGACATCGGGCTTTAACTCCTTCAGTATAGTTTTGACTGGTGTGGCCGTGAAGAAACAGGAAATGTTCGTGGGCGGGTGATGGGACCAGATCCTTGTTGAATCCCGATGTTGGCACCAGTAGAACCGCATTTTCTCTGAGTCTACGAGCCTCTTGGACGGAGCTGTCAAATGCTTGGTCTGCATTGGCCACAATGACAACGTCGCCAGCCACAACTTTGGGACTGGTGGCATACAAGAACATTTGATAATAGTTGGGTTGCTTGTCATTGCGGCTCACACACGTCAGGGTGGGCCTTTTCTTGTTTGCAATACTACCAGTATCCACCACAGTGATATTGTGCTGTTTCAGCTGCTTGTGAAATTGAACATTGAGTTGGTCCATTCTTTCCTTGAAATGATTGCAATTGGCATCTGAGGAAGATCCATCCAGAATAATGGCAACCTGGTCCAAGTGTGGATTGTTGATGTTGTTTAGTATTGCTTCTTCGATTTCTCTTCGATGGGGACTCACAGGCTGTTCTGGTGATTGAGCCCAAAAGCTGGTAACCAGAGATATGGTTATTCTTGGTTGTTTCCCACTAGTAGAAGGGGTATCTGAGGCTTGCTTGGATTCTGGACTTGGCAATACTGCTGTGTTTGCTTGTGTTATGACCTCACCATTGCGGATGCTGCTATCACTGATGTTGTTGTTTCTGGAAGCAACATCTTTGGGTTTGGTAGTATTCCCAGGAGGAACGCCTCCATTCTGGGGCACCAATACCACCAACAAGACCAGGCCCAAGAGAACAGTTATTTGCACCCCACGTCTAGAACCTGGGGGCGTTTTGGTCAAAGGACATGATCTACTTGTCATTTTCCAATAAAGCAAAATCAAAATCTATAAAGGGTAGCTAGCTGGCTGCACAGTTGCATTGGCAATTGGCAAGGCAGCTTTAAGACAAGAGACGAGAGACGCGGTTCCTGTGTGGGAAATAAATAAAGAAACGTCAGATTTAAACCGACTGAGCCGTTAAAAAAGGGCGCGGTGTTCCTGTTGGCCCTTGGGTGCGTGGTAGCTCATCCAATCGCATTATCTGCACTCCCAAAGACACCCTCAACCAAAAGCATATGGACGATGAGGACAGATTCATCATCCCAGGAGCGCTTGCTAGCTAGCTAACAAGAGCCGCATTGCTCTCTACCGACCCAAACCGTCTGATTTGCCATTGGGATTTAATCTATTCCTTCATTCACTGCTTATTTAAAAATCTGTTTAAGAAAACTCTCATGTGTGTCCCTAGGCGACATGATGGTGGGTTTCCGCCGCGGGTCCGGCACCATGCCGGTTGGAGAATCCCAATACGTTTCATTTTCAAGATGCGCATGCATCTTTTCAAATCCGTGGAAATGCCACATTCGAACAAAGCAACTCTTGAAATATCCTGCATTTTTGACATTGGACCAGAGGGACCAGGTGGCAGCATTTTCGGCACCATCTTCATTCATGTGAAAAAAGGCTTGGGTTCCTTCCACCGTGTTGCGCATGAAATCTTGCGGTCGGACGAGCTTACCCTCCAAGAGTCTTCTGTGGAACGCAAAGGCATCCCAAGACAGCATGCGTGGTCGACACCGGGCTTTGACTCCTTCAGTGTAGTTTTGACTGGTGTGGCCGTGAAGAAACAGGAAATGTTCATGGGCAGGTGATGGGACCAGATCCTTGTCGAATCCCGATGTTGGCACCAGTAGAACCGCGTTTTCTCTGAGTCTACGAAGCCCTTGGACAGAGCTATCAAATGCTTGGTCCGCATTGGCCATGATGACAACGTCGCCAGTCACAACTTTGGGACTGGAGGCGTACAAGAACATTTGATAATAGTTGGGTTGCTTATCACTGCGGTTCACACACGTCAGTTTGGGCCTTTTCTTGTTTGCAACACTTCCGGTATACGGCACAGTGATATTGTGCTGTTCCAGTTTCTTGTGAAACTGAACATTGAGTTGGTCCATTCTTTCCTTGAAATGATTGCAATTGGCACCTGAGGCAGATCCATCCAGAATAATGGCAACCTGGTCCAAGTGTGGATTGTTAATGTTGTTTAGTATTGCTTCTTCGATTTCTCTTCGATGAGGACTCGCAGCCTGTTCTGGTGATTGAGCCCAAAAGCTGGTCACCAGAGATATGGTTATTCTTGGTTGTTTCCCACTAGTAGAAGGGGTATCTGATGATTGCTTGGATTCTGGACTTGGTAATACTGCCGGCTTGGTAGTATTCCCAGGAGAAATGCCTCGATTCTGGGGCACCACCACCACCAACAAGACGAGGCCCAAGAGGAGAGCTAGTTGCACCCCCGGTCGAGAACTTGAGGGCGTTCTGGCCCAAGGACTGGATCTGCTTGTCATTATTTTCCAATAAAGCAAATCTATGAAGGGTGGCTAGCTAGCTGGCTGACTGGGCCCTTTGAATGAAGGCCTATGCAGCTAGCTAGAGTGGACTATGTGGGTTTGTTGCATTGGCAATTGGCCAGTGAACTGGCAGAAAACTGGCACACTTCAGACTTCAGAGTGAGACGGCCGGTCTGGGGGCGGAGGAAAGAAACGTCAGAATTTAAACTGGCAGAGCGGATAGCTTCTCGGACGCACTTTTGATCCATATTTGCCATCTCCCCCCGCGTCTCTCCGGCGATGCCACCTCGCATGCAGCTCTCCACTTTTTGTTGGCGATATCCCGTTTGCTCTCTCTCGCAGATTATCAAGTAAGTCACCTCGTCTCTCGACGCTGTTGGGCCTTTCCGCCGCACCACCCAACGTTACGCAGCTCCAAGAGGAACGAAGAACCAACCAAGCCACGGTACGGTGCAAGCAAATAGAATAGTGCAGAAGAGACTTGGTTCAGAGGACCCCACCCGTGGCTTGCCTTGAGGCTCTGTGGTTCCAAACAAGAGCACAAAGGACCAACGACGCCAGACACTAGCTAGACCATACTTGTAGGGCATTGTAGAGCATTGTAGACAATAGAAAACTAAAAACCAACTGCAGGGAGAGGACTGAATTAAGTAAGTCTCTCTTGTGCCACAACTGACTGGTTGATGGTTGCTCCACAACAGGAACAGTTTCTCACGAGGAAATACCTGGACCGCAAGATGAAGGCAAGGACGAGCTATTACCATTCGAGCCGAAAGATTGAACAAGATCAGGACGGCGTTTTGTTGGAACCTGGTCTTCCAATCTCCGACGCTTCAATCGTCATCCAAGAGTCCTTCACCAGCTCCGAGCAGCCTCAGCCGCGTCAGCAGCAACGTCCGGAACAGCGGGAGCGGTCGCCAGAGAGACGACAACCCTCTCCCGATGAGCGCCGAGTAGCTCCATCCCCCGAACGACGTCCCGTCAAGGAACACCGACAAGCATCTCCCGGACAACGTCCCGCGCCCGAGCAACCGCGTCAAGCGCCGTTCAAATTTCACTTTCGGCCGTATGCGCAAGAGCAGCAACAGTACAACAACAATAAGAAGGCGAGTCATAATCGCTCGGTCCATCGTCAGCATCCCAATAGGCAGCAGGTCCGAGCCAATGGTCACAGCAACAACCATCAAAGCCGGAGCAACAGTTACTATTCCAATAGCTACAACAACAACCACAGCAACAACAGTTCGAGTGCCCAAACCGATAGCCGCGATGACAACCGCAGTTACGACGACCGTCGTCACAATAACCGACGGCCGCTTCATGGTTTTGACATTCGACGACAAGACGCTACTCGGGAAGAAGAGGAGATGACAATGACGGCAACGGATGAAACATCGGCGATATCCATTGAACAACAACCATTGGCATGGACGTCGGCCGAGACGGAACAAATTGTACAACAAATGGAGTTTCTCACGGAAAAGATATGCGAAGATCGAGACCGATTTCCCAAAGACATTGTATCGCAGCATTTGCGAACACTGCAAGCCGTCATTCAACAAGACAAGTCCAAAAACAAGAGACAACGGGGTAAACTCAACAAGAGGCATCACAACAATAACAAAAACAATCAAAAAGACATTCTCTTGTCGCGCGATGATCCACTACTCGTGCAAATCTCGGCAGGTCTCCGAGAACTTCAGCTCGTGGATTTGGACAAACTGTCGTCGTTCTTGGAGGACATTCGACGAGAAGAAGAAAACTTGGCCGGCAAGGACGTGCTGCTGCTTTCCGGTGTCTCGGGATCGGGAAAGACGACTACGCTTCATTTCTTTGCGGGCACGGACTTTGAAGAGGTAGAAATTGAGGGATTCTTTCATCTGGAACCACGTCGGTGTCCGGATCCCTCCGTGGCACGCTACGAAACGTCATGTTGTCGCTATGGTGTCACACAAACCTTGCAGACTGCTCAGGTCCTCGTGGATGGCAAAAAGTACTGGGTTTGCGATACTCCTGGATTGGATACGCTGGATTGTATCGAAGCAGAGATTGCACATGGGATTGGTACCATTCGAGCCCTGCAGAAGGCGCGCACGGTACGGCCCATTTTGATTCTCTGCAAGGACACATTGGGACATCGCTTTGTCAACTTGGACAAGACATGGGGGGTGCTCACTCGGCAATTCGTCTTGGGACCTGACAATGGCGGTCTCAAGCCATTCAACTACATCTTTACCAAGTTTGATTCCAAACATCGGACCCGGCTCTGCCAACAATTTGCCCACTTTCAAGAAGACATGGCCAATGACAAGTACGGGACGCGTCACAACAAGAGATCGAGCAGCAAGGCGAAACGGTACGCGGGTCGGTCTCGACAATCGGAATGGAATACGGAGGAAGAAGAGCAGGTGTTCAAGACCTTTGTGGATGATATTGTGGAAAAGACAACACCCGAGGCTCAAGTCGTCATGCCAATGTCGGAAAAACCACAGGCCATGCTGCGTCAGTTGGTTCGCAATTCCTATCCCGTCTCCGATCCCGAAAACTTTTTTGCCCCACTTGCCACGGAGGCGTCCTTGTCGAAATTTCAAATTCAACTAGAGCTGACCGTCCATGAGCTCTCCCTCTCGTTGGCACGGGAACAGTACGATGCCGCGCTCTATCGTCTGGATCAGCTAATGAATATTTCCATGCTCATGCCCGAGGCGGAACCATATTGCACTCTGGCCATCGAAACTGCATTACGGCATTCCAGACTCGTATTTCAGAGCATGCAGGAGCTACTGGAAAAGGATGACTATGGAACAGCGATTACTCGGATAGATGCCTTGCAAGAACTATCAGAGGCCGTCCCAGAAGTTGCAGATTACTCGGAGCGAGGAGAGGAACTCTTGGTTCGGTCCATCATGGCGGATATGGAATCCCGGGACAATGAAAAGGTTTGCAAGGCCAGCTACCTGCTCAAACACTACCCCAAAGCCCAGGAGGCAATCCAACAAGGCCTGGAGACCAAACAAATCAAAATTCGCAACGCGATATCGACTGGTGACTGTACCGAGGCCACGGATTTGATTATACAACTCCACAAATTCGTGTCCTCGTATCCCGAGGCTAAGACGTACATGTACGCGGGATATCACATGTTGAAAAACGAAATCAACCGATGTATGGAAGACTTCACAAAAGTTGACGATTCCAGACACAATCTCTCGCTCTTGGCGCGACTGATGCCGCATATTCCAGAGGCAGCGGATTTTGGACGCCACGGACTTCGACAACTGTTCAACGCCGTCGAGAAGAAGATTCACGACAATGAATACTCCGTAACAGTGAACGTAGTCCAGGGCTTGTTGGAACTCGCTGACGTCTTTCCAGATTCAAGTGAATGCGTCAATCGAGGCGTGCAGATCATTTGGAACGTCTTTGGACTCGTTATGGAGGACAAGCACTATATCCGAGCAATAGGAATTGCCCAAGTTATCGGTGAGATGGTCAAAATCTCACCCAAGGCGTTTGAATATACCAAGCTGGCAAGCGAGGTATTGGGCGATCGGCTCCTAAGGTGCATCCAGATTGGGAATTACAGCATCGCCATGAAGATGCTCTTGCATTTAACCAAACTCGAATGCGAACTTCCGGAGACCTTGAAGTCAGAGTGTGTAGCGCGTGGGTTGAAGAAGATCAAACAAGTGGCTGACCAAGCCATCCAAGACAAGAACTACGGCGTGATGACAGAGTTCTTCTATGATCTGATTCAGCTAGAATCTGAAGTACCCGAGGCTGGCCGCTGTGCTCGCGGCCTCCTGAGCACCATAGAAAAGGAACTGGAAAAGGCCATCCACAAAAAGGACTTTGCACTGGCAATTGAGCTGATGAAGCAGTTCGTCAAGCTCGAAGAACAGGTGGACGAAGTGAAGGAGTTACTTGTGAATGGGCAAGAGGCTTTCCAAAAAGCTGTGAAGGACTCTTTATTAGATCTAGACCCCATCGACGCCCTGCAGCTGATTGAAATGATGCTCGTCAACAATGACACCTTCTTCATCGCAGGAGAGTGTGCGAGGTTTGGCCTGAATCGCTTCCGAGACATACTTGAAGAAACCATTGACCAAAAAGAATACGTCAAAGCCGCGGAGTTATGGGACAGGCTGTACTCGCTGTCACTGCAGTATCCGAGGGTGAAAAAGACGGTGCAAGCGGGGTTCCTCATGCTACGAGAGGTACTGTCAGCGAGTTTGAGTGAACAAAACTACAAAACTGCAACCTTACTTTTACAACATTTCGCCAAGGTGGAGAATGAGCTACCGGAAGCTGACAAGTGTTCCAAGCAGTCGCTCATGGTAATCAAGAATGCCATCATGTCGTCCATCGATGAAGGTGCATATGACACAGCATTGGATATCTTGAAGATTCTTTCAAAGAACTCCAAGGTGCTCCCGGATGCGTTCAAGACCGCACAGTTCGGCATCAAACACCTTCAGAGAGTCGTGGAAACCAGACTCATGAACAAGAAAGATTATCGAAAAGCACTTGAAGTGATGGACCAAGCCATCAAGCTGTCTGAAGGACTCCCGGATGCACTAAAATGTGCTCAAGGAGGGCTCAAGATAATCTTGAAATCAACAGAGAACGCCATAGAGAAAGGGGACTACGGTCTGGCTGTGGACTTGATGGCTGAAATTGAGAGGCTCACTAACAAGCTCCCCGAGGCATATTTGAGCACCGAGATCGCACTTCAAGCTGCCATAAAGCATCTAAAATGGCTCCGTGAAGCAGTGAAAAGCATCGTTGATCAGTTGGGACCAGATGTTCCCGAAGAAAAATTCTCCAAGATTATCTTTCACCTCAGGAGCCTTGTACAGGCAGTTCTAAAAGCTGAGACGTTACGATATGCCTGTGTGAAGCTACACAAAGAGCCACTTGCACTGGACGCCGACATTCAGCCTGCGGACGAATTTTGCTCTGAGCAACTGCGAAGGCTCACGGAGTCCGTCGTTTCGGAGTTGATAAAACTCGAAGTCGACAAGAGCAGCTCTCCTAGCCTAACCAAAATGAGGGAATCGCTTCTGGCTACGATCGTTCGTCTCAGAGTGATGAACGAACATTTGTACCAATGTCCAGGAGGGGATCTTGTGGCAGCTGCGTACGACGAATCATTTCAAGACTTGTACGTGCTTCTTAACAGCGTCCTGAGAGATGCCGAAAAGCGAGAAAACAAAGTCGAGAACATGGAGTTGATGGAACTCCAAACGTCGTTTCTCTCGCACGTAATTCTTGGTTTGGCAAACTCTGAACAAGAAATCATGGACGAAGAACATTTCAAGATTCAAGGCTTCCAGTCGCGGCTCTTGAATCTCATGAATAACTTTGAAATCGAGGTTGCGGCTACCAAGGACGTTTTGGCGAATTACAAACCCCTCGAGTCTGTTGGAGGAAATCCTTCCTTTTCCTACATTCAGCGTCTAGACATTTCAACCTTGGAGGCGCCACGGAGGATACTGCTCGACCTTGGGAAACGCCAATCTCTGTGCGAGTTGCTCCCGAACGATTTCAAGGGGACTGACTACATCATCTTTGTGAAAAAGTTTGACTTGTCCATGGTGGACTTGATGGAGCAGATCATTATCTTTCTCGAAAAGGAGCACATAGAAATCGTCAAGACCCAAGCAACAATCGCAGACGTGAGCTTGATAGAAAAGATGGCGACTGCCCTCATCAACGACATTAGAAAGGTGAACGCCACCATCGGTCGTTTGTCGACATGGTCCGCGGAGGTCGAGAATAGATGTAGGGCTCACACTATGCGTCTCTACAAACTCAAGCAGTCATTGACCGAAACAATCACAAGAATAGGACCAATCCGTGACATTGGCAAAACCTTCAACCTGGGAAGTCCCAACAGTCAAAATTCCAAAGCACCCATCGGGGCTACGCCAAGGGGTAGTGGAACGACTCCATTTGTGTTTGGGGCAGCCACTGCCGTCGCCACGCCCAAATCCGGAATACCTATGGTAATCGGAGGCACCGCAAAGGCGGGCACTCCGCGAAAGAAGACGAGAATGACACTAAGGGCTGGAACTGCGGTCGAAGGTTCGTCATCAAAACCAGAAGGTACGCTAAATCCATTCCAATGCTTCTGTGCACGACCCAGTTGAGCGTGTCGTGTGCTGCCCGCTGCTAGGGAAAAACAATATTATTCATTCATTGAACATATGCTCCTGTGATTTATTTGTTGAATCAGAGAGGAGGAAACGAATACCAGTTGTATTCAGGTTTACGCCATGATTTTGCATTGGATAAATAAAAGCAAGGAAGAGCTCATTGAAAGTGGAAGGGCATCCTCGTCAAAGATTCGCCTGGGGTTTGGAGGGGCAAAGGGGAACGGTTCCGTTTTTGCTACTAGTACAGTATGAGAGTGTCGAAGAAGAGCATGATCATAGCACCATGTAAAGAAAATCCTCTAGAGAATATATCATTGTCCCAGACTTGAGAAACCTCGTACCGTATCAAATGACACCGGTTTGTGCTGGTCCTTGCGTCTTGGCGTATGTCAGTATGATATGTTTAGTTCAATCGGTTGGCTACGGGGTACAGTACCGGGAGCCTCTCGGATCAAAGCTGAGTACTATCTGCTGTTTCCTTGCATGCTTTGCTGTGGCTTCTCCTCGTCAGCGTACAATGTGGTAGCAACCGGTATGCATAGCCGCCAGATGGGAGCAAGCAAGAAAGAATTCAATCTTTACAATAGAATGGTACCATTACGATTGTATCTTATTTTGTGACCACGAGAATGAGAGGTGGCCGGCACTTCGTTAATTACAATGTTGGGGAAGGCGGGGGCATCGCTACATATCCAAGTGGCGATGGGATGCCTTAATCTCCAAATCGTACACATGCTTAACGCGTTTCGAGATTAGATACTTGCGATCAGAGTGCAACCAGCTCACGCGCATCCCACGATGCCACGAAAGAGCCAGCATCCAAGACGTGACAGGGTGGCACCATCTCGGGTCTCGCTCAATGTGGAGGTGGTACCGGTAATAAGGAAGCAAACAAAACGACGAGAGTGACCATGGACGCCGATAGCGTAGCGAATACGCAGATTGTGAGCAATGTCGGCGGCGGCGGGCCCCCCAGCACTGCTGGTGTTCGTGGCGACAAGGGCAGCGTCAAAACCGCGCTTCCTCCCACAATCGAGATTGAACCCAGCTTTTCCAACACGTCCTCTCAAATATCCTCACGAGGCCCCAAGCCAAAACCGGGGAGCAAAAAGACTCGTCAAAAGAGGGCATCCAAGGAATCGTTGGCTTCGAAACCTCGCAATTCGCGGTACAACGAGCTAAAGCAAGCTTTGGCAGCGGCGTCCAATGGCACGATGGACCTGAGCAACCTTAGCCGGGAACAACAGCAACAGCTGCTCAACCAACACAGCATTCCTTTAGCACAGCCACCACCACCAGCATCGACGGCACCACGAAGCAATCCATCGCCACCAGGCGTCGTGTCGAGTACCCATAGTCGCAATCTGACGGCACAAGCCAGGAGCAACCACAGTCGCAACTCTGGTGGAGGGAGTCGTAGAAGTCGTACGAGTCAGCACAGTAGTAGTCGCTCCATTCCGATTGCTCCTTCAGCGCCACACGGCAATACTAGTAGTAGTGGGGTCGCATCCGAGTCTGGCACGTTGCCCACCACAATGATGATGGAATCCGTGGACAACAGTGGCAGCCGCCGAGGCAACAGCATGGCAGAGGCCGTGGGAGCTGTCATGACGCCCACCACTGCCAAGGTTGTCAATGACGAATACTACAAGGCAATGGAGGAAAAGCTCAAGCATGAAGAGATCATGCACCAAAGACAGCAACAAGCCAAAAATCAACAGCATGTGCACACCAATATGAATTCGAATAGTACTACTGGTAGCAGTAGTACTACGGCTGGCAATGGTAGTATTGCCAATCGACTGGGGCAGTTACCTTGGACCGAAGAAGACAGCGACATTTTGCGAGATCAGGTGGCCTTTTGGAAGAATTGCTTGGTGGACCATGAAGAACGTGTCCCCCGTGACGATGTTCGTGAGTTACTCAAACTACTCTACACGGTCTTGCGACAAGAAACACTGTCGCGGTCGGATCGGACATTGGTGGAGATTTCGCAAAAGCTAGAGACTCTGCAACGACTGGACTTGGAACAACTGATTGAGTTGATGACTGCTCATCAGCATGCTGGCGAAGTCATGGACGGAAAGGACGTTATTCTGCTAACAGGTGCGGCGGGTTCCGGGAAGACAACCACCCTGCATTTCCTGGCGGGTACCGAGTTTGCGGAAACCGAGATTGATGGCTTTATCCATTTGCATCCAGGAGGTATCAAGGATCAACAGCTAGAAGACTACAAGACTGCGTGCGGACGAGAACCCATAACCCGGACTTTACAAGTTGCGTCGGTGCCTCTCCCCAAAAGCAACCAGGATGTCGTGATTTGTGACACTCCAGGATTCTCGATACCCGCCACGTTGGAGGAAGAATTGGCCTTCCACTACGGCATGAATGCCGCCATTGATCGGGCCAAACGTATCAAGCCAGTGGTAGTCTTCAATCAAGAACTCATGGGATCTTGCTTTTCCAATTTGCCCGACACGTTGGCCTTGATGATGAAAGATTTGACAATCAAGACACCTCGTGATTTCAGAGCCCTAGACTACGTTTTCACGCATTACGAAGAACGGCACCGGACTCGCTTGTGTCAACAGTTTGCTTCCCTCAAGCATCACAAGCCTCCAACACCGGAAAATGGGCGCAAGCATGACCTCTTTGATGACTTTGTCAACGATATTATCATCAAGACCACTCCCAGTGCCAAGCTGGCAATGCCCTTGACGGACAGCCCCCAAGAAATGATCGAAAAACTGTGGCAAGAATCATTCGTGGACGAACCAAGAGACTACTACTACCGATCTCCGGCTTCGGAAAATGCTCTCAAGCAGTTCCAACTTCAGTTGCAGATCACTCTCTCAGAACTACGTACGGCCCTGTCCCGAGAGGTATACAGTATCGCACTCAACCGAATGGTGACATTAGATAAACTATCAATTTGGTTCCCACAAGCCAAACAGGCTGCGATCTTGGCAAAGGAGGCGGCGTCCAGACAAGTCAAGCTGATATGGGATTGGATGGCTGATGAGATTGGCAATGCCAACTATCAACGAGCTCTCTTTCGAATGGAACAAATGAGTGACTTTGGTCTCATCTTTCCTGATGCCCACGATTGCTTCAAGCATGGCCATGATCTCATTTGGGAGTCTCTGGTGGCACCCATGGAAGAAAAGGACTATCCTCTCACCATGGAGCGGATTGGAAAGCTCAGCGTCCTCGCGAACCAATACAGTGAAGCGAGCCATTGTGTCAAGCGGGCTCTCCGGCTCTTGCGAAAAAAGGTAGAAACTGTCATTGAAATGGGAGGCTTCAAGGACGGTGTTTCGTTGCTCGTGCCCTTGAGCAGTTTGAGTGCCGAGGATGCTCCCGAGGCTGTTGAATGCGCCAGGAGCATTCTTGCCTGTCTCAAAGATCTCATGGAAGCTACCATTGCGCGAAAGGACTACTCTATGGCTTTCCACATGATTCGAAAGTTCAGTACGTTGCAACCTTTGTACCCTCAAACGGAACAAATGGCGAACCGAGGACTCCAGCTGTGTCGGCAGACACTCGAGACGTCAGTCGCCCAAGGCGACTACGACTCTGCCCTGTTCTTGGTGCAACACATGCAACGGCTCCAGTTGGAGTTCCCACAGGCCGGAGAGATTGCCCAATTCGGGCTGGCCATCTTCACCAGCACAGTGGAAGTACTTATCCAACACAAGGACTACAACAAGGCCATTGCTCTCATGAAGAAACTTGGCTCGGAAGTAAGAGGAGCCGATGTATGTAACAACAAAGGCTTGGGCGTGTTCCAGAACACTGTTGAAAGTCTAATTCAAGATGACAAGGACTACAACAAGGCCATTTTTCTCATGAATCAAGTTCGTCTCGAGGTGCCGGGGGCCACCAACGAGCACACACAGAAGGGTGTGGGCGTTTTTGGGTCTGAAGTGGAAGGTCTAATCGAAGGCAAAGACTACGGGAAAGCCATATCGCTCATCAAGCAAGTAATAACGGAAGTGCCAGGGTCAGACGAATGCGCCAAAAGGGGTTTGGGTGTCTTTGGAAACGAGCTTGTGGCACTTATCCAAAGCAAGAATTATATTCAGGCCTTTGCGTTGATGAAGGCAGTCGGAGCTGAAGTCCCTGGCCCTGGATCAAATGACTGTATCCAGAAGGGCTTACGTGTTTTTGGAAACGAGGTTGAGATACTCATTGAAGGCAACGAATACAGCAAAGCCGTTTCGCTTTTGAAGAAGCTCGCAGCTGAAGTCGACGGAGAAGCAGAAGATAACATCATTGAAGGGCTGGCTTTGATGAAGCTCAAGTTGAAGGGTGCAATCAAGCAGAAGGACTACGAGTCTGCATTGGAGATCATCTACGAAGTGAACAATTTGGCAAAGGCGGTTCCTCATCCTCAAGCGGACGCCTGCATAGAATACGGTTTCAACTCCCTCGAAGAAAGCATTCTAATCGCGATTGATAGACAAGAATATCAAAGCGCGATTCATCTGATGGAGCTACTCACGGAAGGAGAAAACAAGCTACCAATGGCGAAGGAGTGCACGCGTGTTGGCATTCAAGTCCTGAAGCGCAATGTTGCCAAGGCCATTGAAAAGAAGAAGTACAGCCCCGCGCTGGAAATGATCCAACAATTGAGCGACAGGGGCCACAAGATCCCTGAAGTGGGCGAATGCAGTAGGCGCGGGCTTGAATTGTTGAAGAATACAGCCCAGCAAGCCATCGTAGACAAGGACTATACCACGGCAACTGAGATCATCACAAACCTGAGCGAACTGTCAGTTTCCGTTTCTGAGGCCAAGGTTTGTACCCTCGCCTGTCTTCACTCCATCGTGGACCACGTCACAGATATGCGGCAAGCTGTCGAAAAGACAGTGGAAGAAATCTCCCATATAAGAGATCTGAAAGTGTTTGTTGCCATGCTTCTGAAACTCAAGTCGCAAGTTGAGAAAGTGATAAAAACAGAGCCCTTGCGAAAGCTTTCTGTGCAAATTCACTACAAGAAGAACTTTCGAGGGAACGAAGATGATTCTGGTGACAACGTTCTCTTCGTACCGCAACTGTACACAAGCCAAGCGTTCTGCAGCGACCACATAGAGTTGCTAGCTGGAAACATACGAGTGAAGCTGCCAGAATTTGATGTAAACGATGCTTGTATGGAGAGCCTCATCCGCAATCGAAAGGGAATTCTTTCTGTCATGATTCGGCTGAAGGCTGCACACAAGATCCTTCATCCTTGTCCTGGAGGAGACAAAGCCTCAGAAGTGTACGCGGCGACGTTTGAACAGTTCTACGCTTTGATTGATACCGTTCTAGCAATCGCCGAAGAATCCTTAAAGCCTCCCATTGACATGCGTCTATTTGAGCTTCAAGCTTGGTTTTTGTCCGTTCTCATCAAGGGATTCATCAAGGACAAGATCGACGTCGACAGCGAGGAGCGCAAACAAATGGAGGATCTTGAGAATCGACGAAAGATCTTGATGCTCCAATTCGAAGTTCAGATAACGGAGGCATTGGAAATTCTTGCGGAGCCACAGTTTTTCGACGAATCAAAGCAAGAGGAGGAGGAAGCAACCGCCGTGTCAAGTCTTGCTCTTGTGAGATTTGAAGATCAAGTCATGGAGAAAGACACTGCGGAAAGCGAAACAACCAGCGGCGCCGATGCCTTCATCAAAGACGGACACAAGAACAAGGGACTCACCGCGGCGGCTCTCCATCAAATTGACTTTGATTCATTTGTGGCTCCACGAGACGTGCTGCTGTCGTTGACAGAAAGACCTGAACTCTTCAAGATGATACTAAAACCCCTGTCGACAGACGATGTGGACACTACTGTCAAAGCGTTCGACAAGCAATTGGTAGAGTTTATCGGACAACTGGTGCTCTTTGGCGAAGGCGAATACAACAGACTGCTTGAGTTTGCCAAATCCGGTGCCACTCTCACCGAAATATTAGAGCGTGCAAAGGTTCTACGTGACATAGCGGAGAAGATTGAGGTCCACATTGCCATTCCACGAGGTTGGGATCCTTACTGGGTAGGAGAAACAACCCTCCATCAACAACGGCTCCTGATTTTGAAGAAGCGAATCGAGTTGGCTACCGAAAAGCTGGAAGCAACCATCAAGACAGAAAGTGAAATAGGCTTTGGAGCATTTGTTTCAAATATGGCAAGTCCCTTCTTCTGCAACGGAAAATGGTACGAGGACGTGCCAACATCATTCTTATAACATATAGGTTGACACTAGAACAGTGTTGCTGCTTAGTTACTACGTACGCTGTATATCATACAAGGACTACACAATGAGCCCTTCGAGCTCCCACCCCCTCCCCTGTTTACATATGGAACACACACAAATCAGGGCGGCTTGACAGTGATCATGGTGCAGATCCAGCTCTTTTCTCTCATGCACTCTGCTGGCAGCTGCACCCACAACCACGCAGTGAATCTGTGCAGTCAAATAACAAGAAGCAATCAAACATCTGTTGCCAGTAGGAATCCATAAATTGACAAGAGCTGTTCTGCAAAAAGCAAAGCTCTGCTGGCACAGCCCCCATCAGATTCAGGCTCCCAGTCAGATTGAGCTCTCCCAGTCCAGCAGTTAGAAGACCAAACTCTTGTGGAATTTCTCCACTCAGCAGTGGCAGATTGGACAAATCCAGAGTCTGCACATTGGTCAATTGTGCCAGCTCACTAGGTATGGTCCCACTAAAAGAGTTTCCACCAAGTGACAGCTCAATCAAGCTGGTCAGCAACCCCAGCCACTTTGGAATCCCGCCAGTGAGCTCATTTCCTGATAGGGTGAGATTTTTCAGATTTGTCAAGAGGGCCAGCTGTGTGGGGATTGTTCCAGTGAGTGCATTGAAATGCAAGTTCAGATGTGTCAATTGAGTCATCAGGCCAAGCCATGATGGAACGGTCCCTGTCAGATCATTATTGTCTAAACGTAGACTTGCAAGTTCTGAAAGAGATGCCAGCTCCTTGGGAATGCTGCCATCAAGTCTGTTGGCTCTCAACCAAAGGCCAGTCAAATTAGACAGAAGCCCCAGGTGAGTGGGAATGCTTCCAGTAAGGGCATTTGTGTGGAGGGACAGCGCTTCCAGATTCCTCAAGAGTGCAATTTGTGAGGGTATTTTCCCAGATAGCTGGTTTTCATGCAGCCGAAGCCGCGTCAAGCTGGACATCTTGTAGAGCTCTGGTGGCAGAAAAGTGGCCAGATTCCCATGTATTCCCGAATATGCCAATAAAAGAGTCTCTAAGGAGGTCAAAAGCCCTATTTCTTCAGGAATAGAAGGAGTATGGTTGGCAAGATGCAAATCTGAAAGAAAGATGGTGGTGAATTCTCCGTGGCCATTGCATGGCACATATATTGCTGGTAGAGTAGATGATTCAGAGTAAGCATCAAACTGAAAGTTCCCAAAAATGCTGGAGAACCAGTAGCATTCTTCAGGGAGTTCATAACCAAACTGATCATAGATCAGAAAGTTATCCCTAATCTCTTTGCGCCAATGGGCCCCCTCCATTGCATAATAGAATGATGCCAATGCAAACAGCTGCTTCTTTCTCCAATTTTCCAGACCTGTGATGTTGGGATATTGCAAAAGCCAATCATAAGCCTGTTGCTGTGGAGTGTTGAATATATGGACATTCTCAATACTTGTTTTGGGTAGATCTAGCAAGAGCAAATCCAAGGCTCCAGTTGGAGCAGGCGTGCCGGGAGATGATGGGCCCTCTGAGGGTGCCGCTGATGGAGTAATTGTTGCAGTAGAAACTTGCTCGCTGTCTCCCTTGATCAGTGTCAAAGGGATGGCAATGGCTACAATCAAGAGTGGCACAAAGCAAAGTACCAGAAGTAGATGATTTGCTGGATAGGTCTTTGGTGATCCCACACGTTCCCACTGTGGTTCTGCCCTTGCTAGCACCACTTCCTGCACTGGATTTGCCACGGCAAGATTGCTTGTCCTTTGGCCCTCCTCCAATGCACTAGATGCCAAGGTGTGTGGTTGTGGGGGTCTAGAGGGGAAGATTCCTGCCACTGCGTGCGCCCCAGGAAGAGATTGAGGGCTTGGCGAGCCAAGAGTTGATGCTCTCCCCAAGGCTAACCCTTCTTCAAGATTTGTCAACACTGGGTGAGCAGTTGGTTTTGTCTTTGGAGGATCTGTCTCCATTTCATGACGTTGTGGAGAGCTATCATTTAAGTTGTCAAGGTCCTCGGCGTGCTTAAGGATTACTGATCTTGAATCTTTACGATGATCCTCAGTGACCAGACTGTCGCCGTTTGTCACCATAAGAGGCTCTATCATCACAGCCACTGATGATTCTTTTTTCAAACTCTTGGAAGCAGCCTTAGCGGTTGCTTCATAGCGCCCCGTTGTTGCCTGTCCTGCACGGACTTTCTCAGTGTGGGTTGAAGACATCTCTCGACTCAAATAGGTTTGGTATGCGGTTAAGCCGTCTTTCGTATCGAGAATATGTGGACCCTGCCCCTGCAGCAGTTATATGAGATTGGGAGTTACTATGGATTAGAGAGAGCTAAGATGAGGATGGGGACAGAGCTCGAGGGGAGGGCACGATGCAGTTAAAAGTACGGGTAGCCTCGAGTGCAACAACGTGACTGCTTCCAACATCCCCACAGGAACATCCTCAGTGGGGCTTGCGGCCTCGTTGCCGCTTGCTTGTGTACCAGTTGGCCGTAGTACACGGGGTCTTCCTCGAAGGATGTCGATGCCAAAACAGGTGGCAACATATCGCATGCTTCCGATCTCCACAGAGGAACCATCGTCAAGGTTTCTTACAACTTGCGAAGTTGGTGTGAGAACGGTTGCAGAAAGCTTTGGTTCTCAACGTGACGCGTGTGGGCAAGGAAAGATTGCTTAGGGTTAAGGCTTTCTTTCATTCTGCTCTGCGCGTGGGGGCTGTACGGCTGTACTGGTACCATCCGCATTCCGCAGTTCAACTCCCGAAGCACGACATCCTCCTGTTGTTGTGTCTAAAAAGTGAGATAGCACTTCCAATGACAGCGAAGAAGAGGACCATGAGCCGCTTCAATTCAATGCAATTCAAGGCAACAGACGTTTCTGCTCAAGCGCGCAACAGGGCTACACGATGACAGGAACACTCAGTGTTCTCATATCTACGAAAGACTACTAGTATGCATGGAGATTGGACATCGCGCACCTTGATCCAAAAAATGACCTTTGAATTTGGTGATTAGAGCGTTCATCGCAATCTCCTTTAGGCAGAAGTGACATCGCCCAGAGCTCTCGATTCCGTTGCAGTTTAAATGCTCTACGGTGATTAGGTGATAAACGGACGCCGAGGATGCGTTGGTAATTAAGTGATTGTTCGTACCAAAGCGTTCGGACTCTGCCTCCAGGGGATTGTCATAGACCCAAGCAACTCAAATCGAATAGAAGACAACCCAATAGACAGACGAGCACCATGAGCAAGAGTGATCCCACAGACCTTGCGGAAGCAAAGGAGCTTATCAAGAAGCTCTCCAAGCTTCGCACCAAACCAATCAAAGTCTATAACGTAGGGACCACCATGACAGCCGAGGAGTCAGTCAACCAACAAAACAAACATAGCGACAAGAGTGTGAAGAGTTCGAGAAGCATCAAGTCGCTCAAGAGCATCAAGAGTGCTCCTGGCCATATATCAGGTGGTTCTAGGACGACAAGTAAGGCCAGCTCCGGAAGGAAAAGCTATCAAGGCAATAACACCAACAACAAGAAGAAACCCCCGCCTGCCAGGAGGGACGACATTCCCTCGGTTAGTAAAGAACGCACGAATGCTGCTGCTGCCTCGAACGGTCGAGACATTGCGTCTTATTTAGAAAAGATGACAAACACGTCCGAGGTTAGCACTGCCTCGCTAGACTACAACTACGAAAAGGATGGGCTGCAGATCAAGCAGTTGCCCTGGACTCAGCAGGACACCATTCAAGTCATTCAGCAATTGACATTTCTGCAAGAGGAGCTTCTGGGAAAAGGAACGGGGGCCTTCAATGAAAATGTGGCCTTGTGGAAGGAAGGAGTGGAAGATTTAGATTTCAAAATACGCAAAGCCTTGGGAGGTGGCAACACCAACAACGCCGCCGCCTGTTCAGGGACTATGGACCGCGAAGACCCACTCCTTCAACGACTCCTGTCCACGATGCGTGGCATTAACGTGGTAGACATGCCCAGGCTTTCAACGCTGATGAAAGCCAACCAGAAGGCAGGAGATGTGATTGAGGGCAAGGACGTGATTATCTTGTGTGGTGAAACGGGATCTGGGAAAACCACGACATTGCAATTCCTTCTGGGTACCACCTTTGATGAGATTGAAATCGACGGTTTTCTGCACTATGGACCGACAACCTTTGTTGACCCCAATCATGCAGACTTCAAGACTTCGTACAGTCGGGAACCCACTACTCGAAATCTTCAGGCGGCAGCTGTCAAGATGAACGAAGGCGATGAGGAAGACGGTCAGCAAGAGATTGCGGTTTGCGACGTTCCAAGCTACGACGTGACCAAGTGCCTCGAAGAAGACATTGCCCTTGGAATAGGAATGGTCCAAGCTCTACAACGGGCCAAATCGGTTCGACCTGTCGTGGTGTTGAGTCGAGATGGTATGGGCAATCGCTTCGGCAACCTCTGTGATACCATGAGGATTGTCATGCGTCTCTGCAATGTCACCGAGAACGAAGATTGGAAACCTTTCCACTATGTCTTTACCAAGTATGATGAGAAACATCGAGAGTTGCTTCACAAACAGTTCGTGGCGTTGCGACGAAATCCTCCCAAGATTGGTCAAGGACATTTGCAGGAACTGTTTGAAGCCTTCGTCGGTGATATTGCAGAGAAGACTTCCGTGGAGGCCACGGTAATCCGCCCCATGGAGGACCACCCAGCAAACGTCTTGCCTGTGCTCGCCGGAGACGATCCTTCTTGCAAGGTGAATCCGCTGGAGTTTTGTGCAAACTTTGCCTCAGACTTCTCTGTCAAGCAACTGCAACTTCAAATGCAGGTCCATCTCAACGACTTCCATGGTCATTTGCTGGAAGAGAACTACTACTCTGCAATTAGGGCTATGGAGGGAATCAAGGTGTTGGCTGACATGTTCCCTGATATGCAGGGATACATCTTGCAAGCCAAAGAAGCCTTTGTGCAGCAAGTGGCGCTGATCTGGGTCCTTGTAGTTCGAAGCATCGGAAAACAAGACTACCACACTGCTCTCTATCGCATGGAGCAGCTTAGCTCCATGGCCAAGGACTTTCCTGATGCTGTTGAGTGCTCAGAGCTTGGACGTGAAATGCTGTCGCAAAGCATCGTGGAACCAATCACCGAGAAGGCCTACGGGAAGTCGATTCACAGGATGAAACTATTGGGAAAAGTGCGAAAGCGTTTCCCCGAGGCTGTCGAGAGCATAGAACTTGGATTGGAAGCATTGCGAGACACGCTTAACGCTCTGGTGGAAGAAAGAGATTTTGATACTGCCATTGACCTCATCACGCAACTCGGGCGAGCAGAACCTGACATTCCCGAAGGCTTCTCTGTCGCACAACATGGACTGCACCTGGTTCGTGAAAGTTTGATGGGTATCGTCGAAGAAGAAAACTACGAGGATGGCATGAAGCTCACAATGCGAGTGAGCGAGCTAGGGCGAGACTTTGCAGAGGCCAACGGCTATGTCAGAAAGATCTTGAAGATCATTCGGAAGCGCATCGACCAGTCCATCCAGCTGGGGGACTATGTCAAAGCAGGCTTCCTCTTGCGACATCTCTGTGAACTCGGGAAGGAGCTTTATGACGGATCTGAGTACGTTGAATACGCATTTGATACGGCAGCCCAGCATGTCTGCGAACTGCGGATGGAGGTTGTCAATGCTTTTGAAACGCTTCTCAAGGTCAAGGACCAAAAGAAGTACCTGCAACTCTTGGAGTATGCTTCCGCTTCCATGTCCAATCTGATGAAGTCAGAACCCATGAGGCTCGTATGCACCGAGTTCTACACTACTCGTGGCAACGTTCCGCGGGACAACGACGGCTACAAGCCCAACTACCTAGTCATCTTGTGCACTCCGAAAGACTGTACAAGCGAGGCCTTCTGTGTTGCACAGGTCCGGCATTTGGTTGAAAGCGTCTCGACAGAGCTCGACATGTTCGAGAGTGAAAACACTAGCATGGAATATCTTATGGCGAATCGCAAGTCTCTGTTGTCAATTCTCCTTCGTCTCCGTGCCGCCAATCGAGTCTTTCAGGATGGACCCGGTGGGACCATGGCAAATGGGCTGTACGAAAAGGCCTTTGTAAAGTTCCAGGCTCTCATTGAAGGAATTATTAAGCTGTCGGAAGAAAGCTTTGCTTCGTCCATGGAAATGAAGGAGTTTGAGTTCCAAGCGTGGTTCCTCGCTTTTCTGATCCAAGGCTTCACCCGAGACAGCCGCAGTGATGATACATCTGTTGACCTCCAAGCCATGGACAAGCTGGATCACCGCCGCGTGACCCTGATGCTTCGTTTCGAAAACGAGATATCAGAGACAATGGACTTGCTCACGAACTACAAGTTCCCTGATTTTAAGCCTGCTTCAGGAGGCCCTCCAGACTTCTTGGCATACTTTCAAGATATCAAACTTGGCGATTTGGAAGCCCCGCGACAGCTGCTTTTGTCGCTAGGCCAGGCACAACAATTATGCAAGATGATGGCTACCGTGCTATCCTGTGAAGATGCACAGAAAGCTGTCCATGCCCTCGACAAAACGGTGGTCCAACTGTTCCAGCACATCGTCGAGAGCCTGGAAGAATCGTATGGACAATTGGTCCATGACATCAAGGAGCAACGAGTGCAATACACGACAGCGGTTCGTGACGCCAAGATTTTGAGCCAATCGATCGACGCGACGATTCGACCTGAGATCTGTGCGGTCCAGAACTGGTCGGATGACACGTTCCCAGGGCTCGGGCCTATCTTTCTGCGATTGGCCGAAATCGAGCTTACGTTGGGCAAATTGACGATTAAGCTGGAAGAGAAAATCCAAGAAGAGGCAGACATTAGCCCCGTGGCATTTATCTACTCTCTCTTCTCCGGCAGGTCAAGTAATGGAGAAGGAGGGCCCCTCGGCTGTTCATGTTTGGGAGGCGACGGTGAAGACTTCTTCATGTCGACTTTGCCGGAGCTGCCACCGGCCAAGGGACCGAGTGACACACATACCACAAGTGGCACGCACACCACAGCAGTAGAAGAGGATCACACTGTATCCACAGCCAGCGTTCAACACACCACAGACGGTAGCCCCTCCGTGACAGAATCTGCGATGGAAACCACCTCTTACTACACAAAGAGCACAGGCATGGCTACGGGCATCGATCCAGCGGCGCCGAGCTCTGTCATTGGTCACGCTGATATCGAAGCAACTAATACCGGCAGGGTCGGTACGTATGTTGTCCCGGAGCAAACGGACTTGGAAAGGGAGCTGATTATACCCACACGATCCCCAGTAGACTGTTGATGACTTCCGCCGTCGTATCCAAGAAGGTTGACTATTACTGTGGTAGTTGGCAGACGGCAGAAAGTTTCCCGGCAATGTCAGTGCAAAGTCTGATTCTTTTGAAGCATCGAAATCTGTGTGAATGTACAAGCACACACAATTGTAGAACAAGTAACCCACTGCACGTAGATTTTAAAACTTGCTAAAGTTAGCTCCCAGAGCATCTTTGATTTCTGTTTTTGCTAGCTAGCACATTCGAATTGTTCTAGTTTTGCTCAGCAAGGGCAGTCACAACCACACAACATCTCAGTGCATTCAAAAATTAGCCCATAAGGCCCCTCACATTCTTCGAACCAATCAAACACACAAGTTTTGTTGATGGCACAAAGCAAGTCTGGCATTACACCAGAAAGAAGTGAGTTCCCTTGAACATGGAGACTGTACAGCGAACGTTGTAGGGGTGCCAGGTCCTGTGGTATAGTCCCACTGAGAGAATTGTTTGCCACAGAGAGCAATTCCAGCGATGGCATCATCCCAAATTCAGACGGAATGAAACCAGTGAAGCGATTATCTGCCAGGGGAAGCATATACAACTCTGACAGGTTGGCAAGCTCCGTCGGAATTGTGCCAGAAAGAAAATTGGATTCCAGTGATAGAGTTTGTAGAACTGGCAGCAAACCCAGCTCGGATGGAAGAGTTCCTGAAAATGAATTCCACCTCAGATCCACAACACCAAGTGAAGAGAGAAGGCCAAGCTCTGTAGCAAGAGTCCCCTCGAGCTGATTACCATACAAGGAAAGGAACCAAAGCCTGGGGAGGGATCCAAGCTCAGTTGGAAGTGTATCCGAAAGGTTTCCAGCCACCAAGACCAACCATTCCAAGGATGTGGCTTGCCCCAGCTCTGTGGGAAGGGGCCCTGGTCACGACAGAAATGATAGAAATTGAGAAGAGGGAAATGAGTGGCCCACTGGTGGATTCAATAACCAGTGAATTGATGTAGGCCTACCAGAAAGATCACATTCTTCAAACAATAGCCACCTCAGCTTTGCAAACGTCCCCACCTTTGAAGGAATTGAACCTTGTAGCTTGTTGTTGCGGCCAAGCACAAGGAATTCAAGGTTGGTAAGTTGCCAGATCTCTTCTGGCACGGTACCTTCTAGCTGGTTGCCGTACAAGGAATTGACTTGCAGTGATGACAAATAACCCATTTCACTTGGCAGCGATCCAGACAGCCCCGCAGATGCAATGGCAAGCCCCTGCAAGTCACTCATATGCCCGATGTGGCTGGAAATTGTACCATAAATTGGATTGAGGCCAGCCGACAATGTTTTGAGGGAGGTCAAGCTAAAAACTTCTTCAACAAAAGAACCCACAAGATTGTTCTGATCCAACCAAAGATGTGTGTAGATTCCCTGATTATCACATCTACTGTCAGGTAGAGGCTCCAGAAAGCCTTGTAGGAAACCAGGGTAATAATTCTGCAGGATTGTCTTTGAAGCAAAGTCTTGATTTTGGTACCAGTCACATTCGTGTAAGCTGTAGCTTCCCCAGCCAGTCTTGTTGGTCCATTGAGTGGGACCGGCAGTGGCATAGAAGAAAGACATTAGGGCATGTCGCTGAAGAATCCGTTTCTCAGCATATCCATAGACATAGGGATCTTCAAGGAGCCATTCAAATGCCTGGTATTGTGGCGAGTCTTTGTCTTCCATGGCTTTGACAGTGTGATTTGGCAACAATGATGAAAGATATGATTCCAGTGAGATTGGTGAGGTCGGTGCCATGGACGAAGCTGCTGCTGGGTAATTGGTTGCTGTTGATTGATCGGTGCCTGATACAAGGAATACAATCAAAAGCACAAGCCCTCCCATTAAAGCAAGCCCGGCACAAGTGCAAATAGCAACCCAACCATTATCCTTTTGGTCTCGTTTGGCATTGTCGCTGTTTGCTTCTGATGGCATGGCTTGAGGAAGACTGAGCGGGTCCACTTCTTCCACAGCATTGGCTACAGCCAGAACAGCTCTGCTAGGTGCTGTTTGTACAGGGGCGTGAGTCCGTTGCTGGTTGCGGTAGCCCTCCCAATCAAAGTCATCTGAGCCATGAGCGTTTGCTTCCACCGCTGTCCTGAATTCTCCACCTTCAAACAGGTATGCACCCGGAGTCAATTCCTCTGTTTCAGTAATATTATTTTGTTGCATTTCTGGCAGTGCCATGATTCCATGATCTTTTGGAGGAGGATTCTGTGTGGCACATCCATCGCACCCATATCCAGATGACGATTTATTCCCATCATTATCAGTACCCAGTGTCTGTCCCAAAAGGGAGCTAGCTTTCTTTGGGTCAACAGCCGAATTGGTCCTGCGTCTGGTTATTGGTACCTTCTTGGCAGCAGCATCCGCATCCTCTAAATCAGCATCAGCCAATTCCTCATTTATGATTTCACCACCAACAGAGTTTTCCTCTGGTGAGGCAGCTCCTTGTGGATCTACAATGTCATTGCTCTCCACGGTGGACTTCATGGCTTAGCTTGTGCTTTTCGTGCTTTTCCTTTTTTTTTTTTTGTGGGGGGGTTCAGCTGTTTTGAAGGCAGCGCTGATGATCCCTGCGTTGATTTTCGTTTTGCAGGGGGGGCAATGGCGTTGCTTTTTGGTTTTTTGGTTGGGGAGGCTGGAGCGAGGCTGGAGCCTGGAGCGACTTGACTTCACAACTTCACAGTTCTTATCACGCGGTTCACGCTTCACGATCAATCAATTTACGGAAGAAAAAGAACGCACTAATTAGGGGGTTAAGGAGAACGGATACATAAGTGCTTCTTGACCCATTAATTCAATAGGACTAAAAATAGCTGGCTGCCTGACTGGCGTGTTTCATTCCGCGCTGGCAGCTGGCAGGCTGGAAACGATGAGCTTGTGGATGCTTGTCGCTGCTCGTGGCATTGGAGTGTCTGAGCTTCAAAAGACACAATGGCGGCAACGATGGCACAGGAAACGGCTCATTGAACACGTCGAACGGAACGAATGGACGAGTTGGAACCATGAACGACGACGATCGCGAAGTGCACAAGGAAAACAACGACGAAGAGACTCAGTCAAGCTAGCTAGATGCGAAAAATAAACAAAACGTATTATGTATTCTTTAGTTCAGCACATGTGCAGTTTGTAGCACAAAGGTTTTATGATACGTGTTCTAGTGTACTTGTCTTGTGCACCGTTCCAGCTCCACCTGAGCTTCGGCTGGGACCGTGTGTTTTCACCTCTATTCTCCCTCCAAACCTCACACAGAGGGTCCCGAAATATTGTTCATACAGTTGTAGTAGTCAGAGACAGAGTTCGTGAAGGTGTTGATGAATGCAGAAAAGCCAATGTTGTTCATTTCTTCAGCTTTTCTGGTGAGATCGTTCACCGTGTCTTCCAGGACTTTCAGTCGATTCAAGAATTGCGGAGAGTCCATACTGTAGTATTCGGTCGGCCATTGGCTGATGGTAGTGACCTCTTCCACTACCTTTGGGACATCCTTGCAGAGAGCTTCGATTTGCTCCCTCGATGTAGGAAGGCCGGATTTGGTCTTGGGCTTTGCGTCGAGGGAGGCCTTTTCTTCCTCCAGTTGCAGAATCAGATTGTCCAAGAACTTTTCCAGTGTTTTGTCAAAGGATGTCAAGGTTCTCTCAGCACGGTAGATGTCGACATTCTTCGATACCAGTTCCGTCAGTTCTCTTGAATTGACGCAAGACAAGAGCACTTCTCGATGCTTGTGCACCTGAGATACTCGCATGGTTCGAATGTACGAAGACATCTTCTTTCTGTCATCCTTCTGGAACAGCGGGAAATTGTAGTTACCCAAGACTTCGACGGCATCAGCGATCTCAATTTCAAAACGAAGTAAGAGCCTTGTGCATCGATGTTCGAGGTCCTCGACTTTTTTGCGTTCGTCGCTGTGGAGCGTAGTCTTCAATTTGGAAAGTCTTTTGATCATAGACTTGACGAGAACGACGTGGTTTTCAAAGTCCTTGAGATTCATTTGTGGCATAAACTCAGTCTGCGCCAAGGACACAACACCATCAATGAATGAGTGAAGCTTTTCGAAATTCTCCACAAAGGCTGCATTGAGAACCCCTGCACCAGGACAACCGCGAAGTACTCTCCGCAACAACAAGAGGCGCTCGAGAATGAACATCATTTCTTCTTGCTTCTCTCTGGTCAGTTCCTCGATGGAGTCCGCATCAACCATTAGCGTAGGGAACTCGGAAACGATTTTGTCGGACAGCTTGCGTACTTGCTCCGCGCAATAGGTCTCGCTTGTTGCCAGTCTCACTGTGCATACTATTCCTGCCGTTTCTGCCTCGGAACCTTGCGTCTTTTCCCACTGACTGCAGAAGCTTCGGAGCTGCTCTGTGGCCATGACCATCTCGAGACTTTCACACGTTGTTTCGAGCAGCTTTGCGAGGAGAGTCATGTCCTGAACTTCCGCTAAGTCCTCAAAAGAGGTAGCTGTTTCTTCACGGAGCATTACCATGTGTTGAACCGTGCTAGTAAGCGCACCCTGGGTGTAAGTTGCAGCTTCATCGATCTCGATTGACAGTTTGCCAAACAGCTGCAGTAGATCAATTACATTGGAATACTGTCGCTTCTCGACTCTCTTTTCGACAGCCTCCTCCAACTCCTTCAGGCCGAAAAAAGTGCATTCTTTGATCAGTGTAAGCTTGTGAAGTTGTAGGTTGAATGTTCTCATCATGTCCAGCACTATCGAGCATTTCATATCTGCGATGGACGACTGCACTTTGTCTCTGAGCATCCTATAGCCGGCCTCCAAAGTATCAGTAGCTGCAGGTGAAGACATCTCCATAGTTGACAGCGTTATCAGCACATCAAGAAATGCCCCAAACTCCTCGTCCTCGATCGTGCTCAGGAGTCTTGAATGCAGAATTTCGACTTTCTCGTTTTCGAGCTCAGTCAAATCTGCCGACAAGTCATCTTTCTCCCGACCACCCACGTCAAGTACTTGTACCTCGCTTTCGTCCATGCTCGCAATGACCTGCTGCCGTGGGCCATAAAGGGAGCAATCACTTTCCTCCGCTGTTCGTTCAGCCGACCGAGATCTCGTCTTGACTTTCTTAATCTTTATTCTCATTGCTTCTTCCACAGACCTTTCAGTGGACATAGTGGTCTTTCCGTAGACATGTCTTAAGTGGTTGCTACCATCATCTGCGGACAATGGGCTCAATTCGTAGGCTCTCGGGCGTATTGTTGTCGTAGGTCTAGATTCCACCGTTTCAATGCCATCGTCGATAGATGTCTCAGCAGACAGGAGAGATGTTCCTAACGACTCTGGAATTGGAGATTCCCTATGGCTAGTCATGCGAGCAATGATTTGTTTTGCCACTGTTTCAGTGCCGTCAAGCGACACACCGGGTGACTTCGACATCTGGCTCTTTCTAGAACCCTTGGTGATATGAATGCGTTTTGATTCCACTGTGTCGCTTCGGTCGGGCGTCGACCCTCTTGACTTCGGCATCTGGCTGGCCCAATAGCCTTTGGCATGATGGCTGCTAACGCCTTTTGATGTGATTGTTTCGTTTCCATCTACGGATACGTCGGCAGTCGTCGGAGACTCTCTGTGATCTTTGCCTATTTCAGTAATGTGTCTGGATTCCATGGTTTTATTCTCCAATGAATATGCAGGAGGATTGGGCCTGGGTGATGATGCAGATGTTCGATAGACTTTGACATCATCTGCAATGTGCCTTGATTGGACTGTTTCGATGCCATCGTCAAGAACGATAGCTGAGGGATCGGGCTTCTTGGCGAACTCATCAGATCGTCTGGATTCCGCTGATGTGTTAGTCTCCACTGTCACCACGGCATCCGTGGGCCTTGGGCTGTCGCGTTTGATTTGTGATGCAGTGTCGTCATCTACCAGTATCGGCAGCTCTACTGACCCAGGCCTCGAGTTAGGTTTCGACTCTTGCCTTGACGCAAGTCTTGACGCAGGTCTTGACCTAGGCCGCGACTCTGGCCTTGATCTGGCCCTTGATTCTGGCCTTGCAGGTCGGGACTCAGGCCCAGATGAGCTAGGTCTCGAACTTGATCTTGATGTTGACGACTTCGAGCCTGCCTTGGAACTTTGTCTGGAGCTTGAACTTGTTGATGGCCCCGAGCTGGATTTTGAGTCCTGGTCATAGGCATTGGTGCGGGGCCCATTATGAAGACTAGAATGGAACAGTTCAATCTTTTCCTTGCCGTCCATAGAACGATCTTCGGATAGAGATCGGGATTGATCCCTCTCGTCAACTGCAACAGCGCCCGCATTGGCAGCTCGACGATGAAGGAGTCTGACCTTCCCAGATCCGTCCGTCGATGGATCTGCAGAAGGTGGGCGTATGCGTTCTTGATGGCCATTGAATCGCCGAGCACCACTCGCAACACTTTCAGGTGGGGATCTAGGCGTGTTCACCGGGGCGAAGGGGCTAAGGTTGTTGCCATGATTCATAGGTTCTGGAGCCCCCAGCCTACTGTTCGAGCCAGGCATGCAGTAAGTGGGGTTGGGCAACGGTGGTGATGGAAGTTTCCGTTCCAGTTTTCCGATCAGACTTCTAGCTGTGTTGAAGTCCTGTTGCTCGATTATCTTGACCAACCTCTCCCGTAACAGCTCAAACCCGTTTTGAATGCACGAACTTGCTTCGGGTAGTTCATAGGCTAGTTTGCTCAGGTCCTGCATGAGTAAGACTGCGGAGTCGTAGTCTCGATCCTCGATCATCTTTTCGAACTTCTCTTCGAGCACTTCGAAGCCAAGCTGGACCCCATCTTCAGCCTCTGAGAGTGCATGTGCCAATGACCCCAAATACTGCAATATCCCAACTGCCTCGCTGTACTTCTTGGCAGATATTCGGTCTTCAAATAATGCCCAGAACTTGAATAGACCTTGTCGAATACAGTCCATAGTTTCAGGGCGCTCTTTGGCTAATCCAGCCAATTCCTCCATCAGACTCAACGCATCAGTAAAGTCAGATCTATCAACTAGTCTAGAAAGTGCATCTGACAGTGCGGACAGCCCAACAATGAATAGCTCGGTAACTTCAGGAAGGTTCTCTGTAACGCTTGACAAGTTTCTCATTTGCTCTACAACCTTGCTGTAGTTTTTCTCTTCGATCGTTTTCTCGAGTCTCTCTTGCAAGGCTTCGAATCCAAACTGAGCGCATTCGAATGCTTCCGGGAGTTCTTCAGCTAGGGTGCTTAGTTGTTGAAGCAAAACAATTGCAGTTTCATAACGTTGCTTGTCAATCGCCTTCACCAACCTGACCCGAAGAGCCACGAAAGCAAGCTGTACGCAGTCCCCAGCCTCAGGTATCTCAGCTGCGAGCCTCCTCATGTGGCGCATCAGGCTGATTGCAGTGCCGTAGTCTTGATCTTCAATGGATTGCTTTGTAGTCTTCCAAAACCCCTTCAATCCGCGTCTGGCGCATTCATTTCCTCTGGGAATCGAAGCATTGTTTAACTTTCGCACTAGCTCTGCCATCGCATCTTGTTTGTCGTGGTGAATGGGTTTCTCGATTGCTTTCCCCAACAATATTACTCCATACTGAACTACATCGTGCAGTCGCAAGAGGCTTTGGGACTTCGCATGCAACGTTTCGATTTGAAGCAGGGTATCCGAGAAATCGTTTCGTTCCACTGATTTCTCCAGCGTTTGCCGAAGCAATTGCAGCGCGCGTTGCAGACATTGAGACGCCTCGGGAAGCACTGTTTCCAACTTTGCAAAGTCTTTCAGCACAGAGAAGATAAGGGCAGTGTCCCTCGTTGCGGCCGCATTTTCCATCTGTTGTTCGGTGAGGCGCAAGCCACTGCGGGCATATTCGATGGCCTGCGGTAGGTTCTTTGACATCTCCACGCATAACTTCTGCATTGCGTCCGCTGCCCCGTCGTAATCATGGGTGCGGATCCTTTGCTCCATCTGATCCCGGAGTCTGTCGCCTCCTTTCCGAAATGTTTCATCCGCTTCGGCAACGTCATTGTCAATCTTGACAAGCATTTTCGACAGTTCAACCCCTATCATAAAGTCGTCACCATCCATTGTACTATCTGCAATGCGTTTCATGTGCTTCTTGCCTTTGGTAAAGTAGCGTTCGGCCAACGGAGATACGGTGGAAAAGGAACCAATTTCTTGAAGCATCCCGATTGCCGCTTTAAACGCTCTTTCGTCAGCAGCAGCTTCAAACCCTTGCCACATTCGTTGCACTCCAACGTTTACAAATTCTCGAGCTTCCGGAAAGTCATCAACGAGTTTGCTCAGTCTTCCCATTAACTCAATAATTTCGTTCAGGTCTGATGAATCGAATATTCTCTGAGCTGCCGCGACCAGGTTTTCCAGGCCCTTCTGGTGTTTGCCGTCCATTCCGAGAGTTCGCCTCGCTTGAGCCAGGCGTTCAAGCCTAGCAGCGCCTTCAGAGCACTTCACTTGCTCGAAGCTGCACACTGCTCTTTGCAAGAGACATTCGAATGCGGCATCAACGCCTTCGCTCGCCTCTGGGTACGACTTGGCTAAGTCGTTCAAATCCTGTGTGAATTTCAACGCAGTGCTAAACTGAAGTTGTTCGACATTTTTCTTAACTGAGCCGACAAGACTTTGCAGAACGGCCCGTCGGCTCTCTTTCAGCGAGCTGTCGTCAACCTCCAAATGCTGCTTCAGCTGGCCTAGTTGATGAAGCTGGCTGATTCCTTGGCCATATCCACTTTCTGAGAAGGTAGCAGCTGTCTTTTCAAGGAGTTCCCCGAAGCCAGCTTCAATGGTTTGAGATACTTCTGGAAAAATGTGGACAAGCTCATTTATCATGCCAAGAAGCTCAACTGCAGCTTCAAATTCAAGCGGTTTCATGGCCCCCAGGACACTGCCTTGCAAGATGTGGTTTCCCCTGCTATCGTGAACAGATCGATCGTCCATTTCCAGAAGCTGCCTTAGACGGCCCAGGCTTTGAAGATGGCCTATGCCTTGATGGTATCCATCCTTCTCGAATGACATGGCCGTTCGTGACAGAAGCTGCTTGTATCCGGCCACGACGATTTCTTCTGTTTCTGGGTACACGTGTACGCCTTTGTTGACCCTTCCCACCAGCTCAATAGCGGTGTCGAACTTAAGATCTTTCATTGTGTCCAGGACTTTGAGCTTCAGCAATTCGTTCCCTTTACTGTCTTTGGAAACGCTTTCTTCCAATGCCAAGACTTGCCGAAGCTGGCCCAATTGATGAAGCTGTTTGATCCCTTCGTGGTAGCTGTTCTTTTCAAATGACATTGCTGTTCTTGCTGAGAGCTGCCTGTAACCCGCCACCACCATCTCTTCCGCTGTTGGAAACATGTGGGACATCTTGTGGATCCGTTCGATTACTTCGGCAGCCAGCTCAAATTCAAGGTTCTTGATTGTGTCGATGACTTTGAGTTTGAGCATCTCTGTGCTTTTGCTCTCCCTCACGCTTCGGTCATCCAGTTGCAGAACCTGCTTGAGTTGCCCCAGCTGCTGCATCTGATTTATTCCGCGATAGCAATCGTTTGTTGCAAAGTTGATGGCTGCTTTCTCTGTGAGTTGATTGAAACCAAGCTGAACAAGAACAGCAGCCTCGGGGTATTGATGTTTCATGCCATGAAAATCTTTCAAGAGATCTCGGCTGCTTTCGAAGTCTAGTTCCTGTATGACTCCCGATACGGTATCCAAAAGATTATGCAGGCCGCGGCTTCGACTCGCTTCTGTGTCTGGGACTGGCTCGATGATAGCAGCCACGGTTTTTAATACTTCCAGTGGTTTCTGGAAGTTGTCGGCGCTAATTTCGCTGCTTGCCTTCTTCAAGAGTGTTTCGTATCCAGCATGTATACACTCGATGATTTCTGGCATCAGACGGAGCAAAGAAGTAAACTCTCGTAGAATATCCAGGCCGTCATCGAAACTCGCATCGTTCAAAGACCCAGGAACTATCGTTGCTAGGTATTTGATATTACCACGGTTGCATTCTTGAGGCAAAGAAAACTGCTGGTATAACTGACCCAGTTGTATCATTTCTTTGAGTGCCTGAGAGTAGCATCGGTGCTCGTACACATCTATGGCCTTCTCCAGGAGCAGTTCGTAGCCCAGTCGAACGCATTGGAATGCTTCTGGAAACGCTCGAGCGACCTTGTGGAGATGATGCAACACATCGACGGCCTTGATGAAGTCCATGAACTGAAGGAACTTGTTGAGAGTTAGACTAAATTCCGTGAGACCACGCTGTACACAGCCTTCTGCGAGGGGAAACTTGTGCTTGATCGCCCCCAGAGCTTCCAGCTGTGCCAGCGACTCAGTGTAGTCGTGTACGGTCATTAACTGTGCAGCCTTCTGTATGAGCTTTTCGAATCCTTCGCTGGTGCAGCGACCGATGTCGGCGTGTAGGTCAATCAGTTTGCCCAGGCGCTGCAGGAGATCCAAGCCAGATTCGAAGTCCGCGGTCTCCAGGACTTGTTGCACTCTGTCAGGGAGGTCCGAGATTCCTCTTTGGACTATTTGGCTGGGTAAAGAAAACTTGCGCACCAGCTTGGAAATGAGAGAAAGTTGGTCAAGGGCGGTAGGGAAATCCTTCTCACCAATCAATCTTGTTGTGTCCTGCAAGAGATTCTCGACCGAAGTTTCAATCGAATCCTTGATCTCGGGGTAAACTGGTGTTACGCTATGAAGATCTTCAAGCAACATTATCGCTTCACCAACTCTTAAGCTCTGAACAGTTCTCAAGAAGCTCTTGTGGAACGGTTTCAGCCCTCGCTTGACAATGTCACCCGAAAATGGAAGACCTGGGAGCAATTGTCCCAATTTCATCAATTTATCTGCAGTCTGATCACATTGCTCCGTATTGACCGTTGCAACAGCCTGGGTTAACAAACTCTCAAAGCCAAGACGAACAATCTCCGTTGCATCTGGAAAGAGTTCTTGCAAGTTTTGAAGCTTCAGCATCACTTCAACCGCAGCGCTGAAATCCTTGCCGCTGACGATCTCCATGGTGGTTTCTTGTAGTAAGGCAGCTCCGCGATTGGCAAATGGATGGGAAGCTGGCAGATGGGGTGCCAATTCACTTAAATGGCGGATCTGTGTAATGAATCGACCGTAGTTCTTGTCTTCAAAGAGTCTAGCTGCCTTCTTCCGAAGACTGTCGAATCCAATTTGAATACACTCCCGTGCATCCGAGAAGACAGGTGCCATTTTGCTGAGTTTCTGCATCAGGTGGAAGAGTTCTTCAAAATCGTGACTTTCTGAATATGTCGTAACAACATCCTTGAGAACCTTGAGAGCGTGCCAAGCGCACTCTCCTGCTTCTGGAATCCTATGAGCCACTTTACTGAGCTCCTCGAGCTGGAAGATCGTTGCGTCAATATCTCTTTCTTCCATCGTGCGCAACACCCGCTTCAGAATGGAATCAAACCCAACCTGGACCAGCTCTTTGGCTAGGTCTAGTTGTGTCGCCAGCTTTCGCATATTCTCCAATCTGTTTAAGACCGCCACAATTGGAACCGAACCTTCTTCGACCATGACCTTCAGGCGCTTGCGCAGTTTCTTGATTGTCCGCTCCTTCAAGGGTGTCACTTCAGGAATGTGCTTTTCCAGCTTGCTCAATTCGTTCAGCTGAAAAGCCGCCGACACAAAGTCGTGTTCTTCCACCATCTCCTTGATCAAATCAGAAACTACGGTCACATGTCGGATGCCTACTCGGCGGGCCTTGTCTGCACTGTCTACAGCGTCGGGCAGAATCATGCCGAGGTCTCGCAGCTGGTGAAGTCGATGCAACGCCAACGGATAGTCACCCTTCGCCAGCAAGTTGGCAAAGTCATACACAGTAAGCTGAAGCTGCAACTTGAGCTTCTGTGTTGCAGACTTGGAAGCAAAGGGCACCATCAAGTCCTTGCCGTCTCTGCTCCAAGCATGGTCCCACAGATCTTGTAAACACCGTTTTGGGTCATCTTCCATTGGGAGCGCCAGGTTTGCCTTGGGTGTGGTCTTCTTGATGATATCCTTCACAAAAGCCTTGTAGATGACACGGTCTTCCTCAGGGACGTCGGCTGGGATGTTTTCCAAAACAGAAACCTGTTTGCAAATTCGTGTTCGGTGTTTTCCTTCGTACTTTGTGAATATATAATTCAATGCCACCAGATCGACTTTGGATTCCAAGACGAACTGATCCCGCATCGCATGAATAATCTCCATCAAGTTTCCGAACCGAGATCCCAGAGTTTCTCGACTGAGCACGAGCACAGGATGAATCGATTTGGCCCGTTGAAGCTCATTGATCATTCCCAGCCCGTTACTGATTTCTTCTTCAACAGAATCGACATGCCCCAATCCTGGAGTATCACAGACGACAATCTCTTCTTCTTGTTCATCGACAGCAGAAGATGCATCATCTCTACCCATTTGCACTTTTACAGTGGTGCCCTGCAAGGTTCGTGTCATGTGTTTGCGACAACACGAGGTCTCATAGTCCTTGAGCTGCGGATCTCCAAAGGAAATGGGCTTGAGATGAAAGAAACCCTGCTCGTCAACCTCTTCCAACGTGGTACCACCCAAATAGTGCAGCGTGGTTGTCTTTCCTGCACCTGTCGGCCCGCAGAGCAGTACCACGCTTTTGCCTTCGATCAAGTTGCCGATTTTGTGGTTCTCGTGCAACAGTCTCAAGAGCTTGTCCAGATCCACCATGCGAATGGAATGAAGAGTCTTGGTAAGGTTTTGCAGAATGGGATCGTCTCGTCGGAGTCCGTCCTTTTCGACAACCGCTTGGATGCTACTGACAACCTTTTGCACACTGCGCTTGGGCAGCCGTTGTTGCTGCAAGCTCCCATCACCAAAGAATTCCAATTGCATCAATAAATTGTCTGTTTCCTGCTCGGTCCATCGCAGTGGCTTTACGTTATTCAAGTGAGCACCAGAGGATCCCGTAACCGAGGATGCAGCGGCACTCACATCGTCACTAGTGGAAACCGCCGACGAGGATGGTTCTTGTCGGGATAGATTCTTGGCGGGTGGTGGTGCTGCTATTCTCTTGTTGTACCGTGCCGTGGGTGTCGGTGGTAAAGGTCCCGTCGCCACCGAGGATTCACCCGTACCGCTAGACGACGACCGATTCTCACTGGCATCCGGTGCCGAAAAGGCTTTGGCACGGTGTTGCAGATACGCTCGTTGGCTGTTGCTTCTGCTTCTGGTCCGCCTATGCGCAGGAGATGCAGGCTGATCGCGTCGTCCAACGCGTTCGGAACCGGAAGGATTCATCGTCGAAGACGACTGTTCGGCCGAGTCTTCTTCCGGCACGGGTAGCTTGGGCTTTGCCGCCTTTTTGTGTACCCGATATTTGAGAGCACCCGCTGCAGTGCTCATGCTACCCTTCTTTTTGTTGTTGTTCGTATTGTTGCTGGAGATGGAACGTGAATTCCTGGGCGTTAGCGGATCAAAGTCTAGATCCAAATCTAGAATCCCCGAGGAATCGTCAATCGAACTGGCCATGGACGCCTCATCCCGGGGTGTTGGGGCTGATGGCCTGTAATAAGTATTCTTTCTGCTCTTTGAAGGGCTTTGTCGTAGCTGTTGTTGCTGCTGTTGCTGCTGCTGTTGTCTCCTACTAATAATCACATTGTCGTATTCGGAAACTGCTGTTTTCACCGAGGGAGATCGTCCATACCCGCGCTGCTGGTGCTTTGGCGAACTCCGGGGACGCTGCAGCAAATGCGGCAATGGGGATCTTTCGGCGGGTTCCCTCGACGACTCTTCAATGCCACTACTCTCGCTGACCCAATCGGTGCTGCTACTCCCGCTCGTGTCGTTGCGCTGTTCATCGGAATGAATGGATCCTTCCGGATCAGAGCCCGAATGCCGACTGTTATTGTCGCCTTCCGGATCCATCGGCCTATGTTTGTTGCTGCGACGCTGCAGCTTGCCACCACCAAACAGAGACGACGGCGTGAGCTCCGAGTCGCGTTGCTGCTTCTTGTGGCGACGAGCCGGTGTCGGGGGTTGTTGTTTTCTCATGATGATCGACTATTATACTGCCACTGCTATTGCTAAGGCTTATGGATGCTACTACGGTACCAACTGACTGACCTGCCACTACGGTACAAGGTTTCCTTTCTTTCAGCGTTTCAAAGAGAAATCCTATGGCTTCATGGGCTGCTAGCTAGAAACCTTGTTGCGAGCCTTGCTTGCTGCTGCCTCCAGAATTGTTTGCTGCGGCTCGATCGATCGATACTAGCAAGGTTGGCAAAGGATGCTCCTTCGTGGATGGGTGCAGTGGTACCTGGTAGGTGGTAGTAGTGCAGCTGATACTGCCAATAGCTCTAGCGGGCCAGGCCAGCCACGCAGCCATGCAAGAGAAAGTTGGATAAAGGGCTCGTCCGATGCTGCCACAGGCGATGATGCATCGGCGACACCGCGGTCGCTAACTTGAGAGACAGCAGCATAAAGCTTCGCGCAAAGGGTTGCACCTCTGCCGGCGTGTTAGAGGAGAGAACGTCTTCCTCTAAGTAACCTTACTTGTAAGTACCAAACCCACCAGACGCAGAGTTGCTCACATCACTAATTGAACCCATTTGTGGGGATAGGGTTACCAAATGAGACTGACCGACACTGAAAACGACGAAAGAAGACAACCGTTTCTCCTCCATTGCACTCTCCGCTCTCTGGAACCCATCCTCACCATAGTCCACTCTAACAATAGTAACCTCTTCTTGAGTATCGTTATGGTCTATGTATACCGCAATAATAATACCATGACGAATCTTACGGAATGGGAGCAGCATTTGGAGGCTTTGAAAGAATACAAAGCAAAGCACAACGACCTGATCGTTCCACATGCATTTGTGCAAGGGAACATTGCGCTGGGGGCATGGGTGGCAACGCAACGGCGATACTGGAGCAAGGGGAAATTGTCGCAAGAGCGAATCAAAGATCTCGAGGCGATGGATTTCATTTGGTGTCCGCGCACCAAGCGGTGGAACGATCGATACGAAGAGCTCAAGGCGTTTGTACGCGAACATAAGCACATGAAGCCACCACGAGAGACTCCCTTGGAAACATGGATTCGCAATCAGAGAAGCCGACCCGAGTCCCTTTCCAAGGAACAAACCGAAAAGCTCGACGAGCTGGGTTTTGAGTGGGGTTCCAAGGGACGACCGCCGCAAGCAGGAAGTAATAATAATAAGAGAAAGATGGAGGAATCATCATCACCCGCGGGAAACAATAAAATGGCCAAGGTCGGAGCAGAAAGTGACCAAGGACGAGTGCCAACAAAAGTTATCCCAAACACTGAATTCAACAACGTGGATGCACTCCAGAAAGAGCTGGCTGCAGTGGATGAGGAAAACTTGCGACTCAAGAAGGAAAACTCTGAATGGAAAATGAAAGACTTTCGCAGTCAAAAGACAATTCTCAAGTTGCAAGAAAGAGCGACAGAACTCACGGAAGAATTGGAGCAAACAAACAAACGGGTCGCTGAGGAGAACGATGCTTTCAAAAAGAATGGTGATATTCCGGTGCAAGTTGCCGCTCTACAAAACCTTCGAAGAGTGGACAAGGCGAGTCTGGAGGAAGCGCACGCAAGGATCGATCGGCTTGAAGCCCTGATTCGGCGCCAGAATAGTAGTCGACAACAAGGAAGCGTCAACGAGGCTGAAAATGAAGCTGACAAAGAGGACGACAAGCAGGACGACAAGGGCGATGCGAGTGAGAACGTAGGGACTGCAGGGCAAGGCCCATCATTATTTTTGTAAACGGAGAAAGTGCTGGGCTGAAATGTTGGGTTATGATTTCCTGCTAATGCTGGGTTATGATTTCTTGCTATACCATCAGGAGTAGTAGAGCAAGGGCTATCATTGTATGTTGCCAAAGAAGAACGACGAAACACGGCTAGCCTGACACGTACAGTAGGGACCACCTTATGGCCAGTCTTCAATTCTCAGCTCAGATACCCGCGAAAAGAAAGGAAGTACTGGTGGCTACTAGACAAGCAACAACACTTTCACATTTGCTTCACCACAGCAGACACCTGCCTGCATGGACTGCCTTATCGTATCGGCAAGATATACTGGTACTGGTTCTATGGGCAGCAAATGGTTGCAGGAGGACGAACAACATCTCATGGCTCCACGGCAGCCAGTGCCCCAATTCCACGTCATGTCCATCTTCACGCCCCTTTCCCGGAACAACCCCCCAAAAGGAATACACACCCAGACAACTCCTGAATCACTATTGCATGTGCTGGTTCCAGACGAATTTAACATATCAACTCAACGTGCAACCCAATGCTTATTGTAGAGACCACTCTTCAGCCAGGTCAATTTCACAACCAGAGCCCCTCAGTCTTGGGAACACCTGCAGAGGAGACAATCAGTGCAAGAGACGATGTTTTCTCTTCTTCTTGGATTAGATGATGCCATTTTCCTATCTACTGATGTGGAAGATACTGAACTATCTAGCTAGGCAAAACCAACCCAACTACTAGCCAAACAGATACTCGAGCATGAAGACTCCAATTCCCTAAAGATATGTAGTACAGGATGATCGGTGGATCCATTATTTCTCAACCTCTGGCTACCGGTATGATGCATCGATAACTGCAAGGGCTCACCCCGCACCCCACACTTTGCCTCCGTACCATTGCCAATGTGGATGACGGCATTAGCCTTCCGAAACATGGGCAATAGGTGGCAGTTTCATCTCCAGCGAGCATCAATAAAAGGCAGCCCGAAGAATAGGAAGGTTTCCTCCCATGACGGTCTTTTGGAAAAAAGGGAATTCAATTTGTTCATTTTGGATGTAAAATAGAACTAAAAGGAGTCCAATTAAGAAATTTCCTGTTAAATTGGAGGAGTACGTGTTTTTTTTGGAAGTCAGAACTGAAAATGCTGATGACGTTCATGGGTGCGTTGGCGTCCCCAGGAAATGGTTTCGAGAATGAGATGGTGAAAGACGGCGGTCATTCATCGATCATCGATCATCCATTCCAGCCTGTCGGTGTCTGCATCATCTTTTAGCAGTTGACTGGGTACGGTAGGCTGAAGTTACAATTGACTTGACTTGGCACCTTGAAATTTAGAGCACCTCGCAAATCCATCTATCGTTGTGACTGTCAGGCAGCAACCTGATCCTGCCTGTAATGCCTCCTGTAGATACCACCAAACGTCGCACTTCTAACAGAGATAGCCTCCCTCCTTTGATTGACATTGGTACTTCCCGTAAATCGAAAAGCACCATGCCGACCAAGAGCAAGAGCGGCGCCGGTGTTCGCCTCGTGCATTCCAAAGACACTGACACCTCCTCCGTCGGTGACGACTCTGCCCATCACACCGGAATGGAGATCAATCCCGAGGCCGCCTTTATGAAAGGTCTGGATGCAAGTCTATTGAGTGCCTACGATGATGACTCCTCGGAGAGCTCTTACTGGTCTGATTCCGATGAGTCTTCGGACGATGACTCCTCTGATGATGATGATGATGACGACGATGATGATGACCAACAAAGTGGATACACCAGTGGCGGTCAAGGCGTGGAATCCGATACGGGTGGGAATGACACGGAAAATGAAAAGGAAGAAAAACCCCGCCCCACCATGAAGGCCAAACGAAATAATTCGGTCTTGTCCCTGGATGCCCTGCTCAAGGTGTCGCTGCAGGTGAGCGATGCCGCACAGCCACAGCCCAAAGACCGAGACGCCAGACGTCGTGGACGTCGTTTGGGCCGGGATCACACCCCCACTTCTTTGGGAGCCTTGGCACGTAAGGTCGGGTCCAGTACCAACAATGACCTCAAAGATGTTGCGGCTACCATTCGTCGTTGTGACTCTGCCTTGAACCTCAAAGTCAGAAAAGGCTCTGGAGGTGGCTTGACCAACCGGGAAAGTACCACTAGTAGGACCTCCACCACTACCGGTACCAGCAGGACCTCCACCACCGCCAGGACAACCCCCACGAGGACAACCCCCACGAGGAAGTCCTCCAAGGACACTATGCCTTCTCTCTCCAGCGCTCCAAAAACGTTCATGCATGTTCAACAAGAAGGATACTCCAGTTCTGCTTCGGGTACTTCTAGTAAAAGAACTGCTGGACGTCGTCGTTCTGGTTCGGGGGCCACTGCCACTGCCAGTGTGCAGCCAAAGGCGCCCACTCCCGCTTTTAGTGGCGGACGCAAAACCGGAGCTGTCAAAAAGTACGGAGAACACGCCAAAAAAATGGTCAATCCCCGCGAACATTACTTGGCCATTTTGCACCAAATGGGCGTCGAAGCACCCTTGGTCCCCTACGATGCTTTGGAAGACTTTTTCGTGCCCATGACAATGGAAGATCGGGCTGCCTTTGATTGGGAATTGGTCCAATCCATTCGTGATCACAACATGGGCAAACTCAAGAGATTGCACAAGGCGGGTCATCACATGTCGGCTCGTGCGCAGTTTGGAGAATCCATTGTCCACATTTGTGCGCGTCGTGGAACTCCGGAAATGCTACGATACTTGTTGGAAGATGCCACCGTGTCAGCGCGGGTCTGCTGCGACTATGGACGTACTCCCCTCCACGATGCTGCCTGGTCGACCGATGCCAAGTCCCTCAAGATGATGCAAATCCTCATTACAGCCTGCCCCGATCTCTTGTTGATTCAGGATAAGCGTGGTTTCATGCCGTTGGATTATATCCCCAAGGATCGATGGCCACATTGTTGCGCCTTTTTGGACAAGCACAAGAGTAGCCTCATGCCCACGGGAGTGTTGTTTGGAGAAAGTAGCGGAGATGAAGACAGCGACTACGAAGAGGAAGAGAGCGGCGAGGAGTTGGATTTCTAAATCATTAGGAGACAAGCGAGAGGGTTTGGTCTAAAAAACAAAAAGAAAGGAAAGTGGTTGCCCAACCATGGAACCAGTTGTTGGCTGGTTGGCTGGCCGACAATAGCCATCACTGGTTCAAGCTATGCTGCGCCGGCTGCCAGGCAATATGATCCACAGAGTTACTACATCTTTTATAGTGAATTTTGTATGCGTTTGTTACTTGTCGATCAAGCGATAGAAAGGACAGAATGTCGTCCGATTGATAGACTTGGGTCGTCCGATTGTAAAGACTCTCCTACAGTACTATAGTTTAGTGCGTAGGTCCATTTAGAAGGGATAGCAAGGGCATCATGGCACCAAGTTTAAAAGAACTACCGGTACATTTCCCCCGAAGGCCGAATGGTATACGCTCTCGAATACAGTAGAAGATTTTAGAGACGACTTGTGGCTCCTCATACTCTAGCTACCAGATTGGATAGCAGGGCATCGTGGCAGATACAAACATGGCACCGTACTGTACGGATTTCCTCCTCGGCACTGCATAACTCTGGCTACATCATCAAAGTCGAGCTAGCTAGCTAGGTTGAGCCAACCCTTGGTCTTCCACCAAAGGGCTTTGTTTGGGTCCACGGGCATGCTACGGTCTGCCGCAATGCTAGTCCATTCCCGAACCCGTGTCCCAGGCGCACCATCTATCGAGCTAGCAACCAGCAAAAGCCCAACAAGAGGCACCACGGACTGTACGGCAGCCGCACCGCAACGATTGATTATGAATCGAATCGAATCATTCACGCCGTCAAATACACGTGGAGCAACAAGAAGAAGAACAGACTCCAAAAATTTATCATAGTTATGATGTTTGTTTGTTTGTTGGTCTTGGTTGCGAAGGGGTTTCATCAGGTGGTAGATTGTTCAGTAGTATGGATAGACACCAGTGTTCTGTACAATAGCAAATTTATAAACACCCCCGTCCGTGACCGTATGAATGTCATTTCTCCTTTGTTTCGTGTCCCTTTTTGTTTCTATTATTGTTGTCGAATTGTTGCGTTGTTTGTTTATGAAATCAAAATCAATCTACTCCCCATACTTGTCGCGAAAGGTGGAGATGGCATCGCCCGTCTTGACACATGCCGCACTCGGCTTACTGCTCCAATTCTCGTCGTTCTGTCGAACATACTTGTCTTGCTTCAAGAGCGCGACATTCTTTTCGCGGTGGGCTTTGGCCGCTTCACGATCCTTTCGTTCCTTTTCTTCCAACAAGATGCGTGCCTTTTGTTTTTCCGACAATTTGCCAGACGTCGAAGAAGAAGAAGTAATAGAGTTGCTGGGATTCAATTTGGGTTTTTTGTTTTGCAGGTTGGATTGATCGAGGTTGTTCAACGTGGAGACAATCTCGTTCATCATGGTGGTCATGATGGCATGATCAATGGCTTTGGACGCGTCAACACGCAAGACAGGAGAACCCTCTTCTTGCACTTCGGCAAACCCCAACGCCACCAACAGAGGAACCGCCGATGGACACGTCACAATTTTGGAACGCACTTTCTCATTGTCCAGCTTCAATTGACGGTACTTGGGGTCCGACGATTTCGCAGGATCACTCAAATTCTTGGTCACTACCTTGAGTAATTTGAGCTGTGCGGCAGAAGAAGAGGAAAAGGACATCGTGAGCAAAAAGCACCAACAACCGCCACGTTTCACCGAGTAAAAACGCCAACTGCCAATGACGACTACTCCATCAACTACTAGTAACCCGCAACAGAACAAAGTATGTACTCACACAGTCGATTTTCTGTTGGACCGTGGTCGATCCATCCAACAGAAGAGCGTCTAGGTGCTTGGTTGCGGCGGCCATGGTTGTTTATTTTATGTTTTCCTGGGTTTGAAGAGGCAATTGCGCTGGTCGGAATTTTTGCTTGCGTCTGTGCCAAATTGTGAAGAATTCAAGCAAGGTTGGTTTGACCAGCGTCACCGCCCCGTGCCGATGACTTTGAAAAAAATAAGACTCGAATGACCAGTGGCGGGAAAGTCCAGAGAAACCCAAGGAACTTGTGAGAGATAACTGACAAATATATTGCACTAGACCCTCACTTGCCCTTCGAACAAGTCTTTGCGTGAACCGTGCATGGTGCTGGTTGATACCGTGGCTACGTTAATGCTCGGCTCAGCCTTGCCATTCTTCGAGCCCGCCACCTCTGCATGTGTGGCTCTCATGTCCCTGCTTGCACAATGAGCTACCGCCGTCCTCTCTGGGATGCCGATGGTGCACTTGCACTTTTCCGCTAATCTTGCCCCCTCTTACTCCCTCTCCCTTTCCTCAATGCCCCCCCCCCAGCCCCTTTGCCCTGCTCCTCCTCCCTGCTCTCCCAGTCTACCCACTACCGATACCACCGCTTCCTAGCTTAGCCCCCCCCCCCTCTAGTAGTGATGGACCTGAGGTGGCACCTGGGGTCATGAGGTTGGAGGTTGGTCCAGGAGAGGGAAAGGAGTTGTTCAAGGGGGAAGCCCAGGCCGGGCCCAGGAATTGAATAAGGGCATAGCATCGGCCTGCCTTTGGTCCTGGTCGGCTGACATGACATGCAAACTTCATCTTTGAACTTTATGAATTTTTATCGATCTGTGTGTGGGGCGTAGAAAAGGACGGCATACTCGGCACACCCTGATTCGAGTTGCACGCCTCCACACAAGGTACCAATGCAATCTTTCTACCAACTTTCCCGCCGGAAGGATCAACTTTGCTTTGTTAGGTAGCCATCCAGCATTGATTTCGCTTGTTGTTCAGCGCGCCGCTGCAGATCCTATACAAGCCATTCAAGAGCTTTCGAATCACATCGTCGTTCCGAAGACCAGGATCAAAGTACACCAACGGAAGAGCCCTTTGCTCACGTGGAATCCTATACACCGTGGCGGACAGGCTGGAAACATGCACCGCCCTACCATCGGGACTGCCCTCGGGGCTCTCCAACGTGGCCACAATCCAACCCCGGTGGCCCTTGGGTAACGCAGAGTCGTCTTCGTCAATGGGTTTCAACGTGGCCGAGATCGTCTTTTGTCGCTGTCTCCGTGTCGTAGTAGGACGATCGAGTCCAGGATTCGTGTAGGCGGCCTCCAAGTTGCGACTCACAATGGCACTTGGATGCAGCCCTTCCTTTTGCATTGTGACAATGTCGCGACCGCCAAAATGATAGACCAGTACCAGGTTGGTCCTGCCATCCAAGCGAGCCTTGTCGACATATTGTTGCAAGAAGCCCTCGAGAAAGTTTTGATATGCCGTGCCGCTGCAGGCTTGTACCTTGGAACCACCACGATGCACCTCAAGGACAAAGCCCGCCAAGGACTCCATGAACCACTCAGTCCGCGTCATTGGAACATCCACCAAGGACGAATCCATGAACAACTCATCCGAGTGGCAGTACAAATCTGCACCACAGCATTCGCAGAGCTTGGATGTGGCTCGATTGAGAAAGGTGCATTGAGGACACCCACGGGTATCCATTTCTTGTAGTTGTAACATTTGTGCGAGTTGTGGATCGTCCTCGGAATATGGGTCGCTTTCCTGCATCTGCAGCTGTAGCGCCAGTTCTTCGTCGGGCGACGACGTTGGGGTTGTAACAACACTCTGGACGGATCCACCACAGCACTCGCAGATTGCCGCATGAAGAGGATTGCAAAAGGTGCAGTGCGGACAAGGAAGGAGTTCCATTCGGACCTGCTCCAATATCTTGTCGACCATGGATCCACCGCACGCACGGCAACGGACCATGCCATTTCCCGAGCTGATTAAATAACATTTGGGACAGGCCAATGGCTTGGGCTCGCTGTCTTTTTCCACCGCAATCAGATTGGTGGTCAGCTCCGAGACAACCGAACTCTCGTCACTGCATCCATGTCCCACCATTCGACACACTGCATTTGTATCATCGAGGGACACCATGTCTTGTAGAATGATCTTGGATCCAGCGCTGGGTACCCCAATATTATTAACACGGATCTCACTGACCAGGCTATTGATGTGAGACCAAGAGGCGAAGCTCTTCTCGTCACCACCATCATCTGTTGACATGTCCTTCTCGAATTTTTGTGGACAGTGATCGTCGTTGTGGTTGTGGTTTCCACGGGACCCCTCTACCGGTACAACAGATGAAATCATGGAGAAAGATCCATCATCGTCATCAGCAACATCTAAAGTAGCCATTTCAGATGACATCTGGTTGACCAGCTGATCCTTCCCCGGACTTTCACACACCAAAGCATCAATCATTTCAAAGTCGTTGTCGTTCATTGCGGTTGTTGTTGTTGTTGTTGTTCTGGTGGTGGTGGACGTATCTTACACTTTGCTCACTTCCAATTTCCGTTTGTGGAGGGTTATGTGCTTTTGTTCCGTGGGACGCACAAAAGCACGACTGCGTGTCATCCACGGATGGCAAGATTGGATCTTTGTGGTTTTTTGAAACTCTCAATGGGATTTGTGTTTTTCCCGTGCCGTAGCTCCAGCTGGTTCTGAAGCTCGTAGCTAGCTAGCTTGGCTTGTAGCTTATTAGATTAGGGAAGTTATATACGAAAGGGGGCGAGGCTTAGGGTAGGCAAAGAGGAGACGAAATTTGGGACTTGAACTGCAGACCAACACTGGCAACACAGGCAAAAGGCTTGACTTTGTGGGATCCGCGAAGACTAAAGAATGAGTGGCTTTATTAAAAGGGAGTTGAGAGTTGTAGCTATCCTGATGTGCCATAGAACATCATTTGGGAGAATATTGAGTTCTTGTTTTTTTTTTTGCAGTAGAGAGTTGGATTGGTTAGGGGGGCGAGCATGCCATCCACCGGAAACAAAGGGAAGAGAGTGGTGAGATGTGGGCTTTCTGCTTCGAAAGGTCCTCGTGTTACTCAGGGGATTCCTGTAGGGAGGTAGAGGAGGTGTTGTGGAAGTCGCTTGACAAGGAGGGATTGTGCGTGCTGGGATTGTTGGGAGTGGCTGGTGGTTCCACCTGAACAACAAATGGACTAAAGCATTCACAGGCAATGGCTCCAGGTTCACAACTAAAGCTCCATAGTTGCACCTAACTGCAACTGTAGTCTACTGTCAAGATCATCAAAACCATGGTCCCGGTTGGTAGAGTATGTATGGAAGCCAGCGAGGGACAGTTTTTTTAAGCAAAGAAGAGTGGAAATTCAGGACTAGTTAGTTTCTGTGAGATCGATCATGGGCAATAACTTGAGGACCAGTACAGGGGCCGAACTGCTTGGCTTTGCGGGATCCTCAGAGACATAAATGTGTAGCTTTGGCAAGGTCAATAGAGATGCGGGTTTGCATGAAGAACATCATTGGAGCGGTAGAGCACTCAGTTTTGTCGGCATTGACACCCATCAGGGAAACAATGGAAGACTCGACTCGATTCGATTCTCACAGCCCTACTAGCTTATTGGAGAGTCCAAACGCAACAACCCACAACACCACAACATCATGTTGGCCATGGCAAGTGTCGGCGACAGCACATACAGTAGAACATCCCAAGCAGTATGGCTGCCAAGGCTCTCCCCAACACCTTTTCGTACCGGGGAATCCCGGAAGTGCACTATGAGTACCCAATCTTGAGCGAATTTGAAATGGTCAAGGAGGGAATCGGGCGGGGGGCACGAACAAGTGAAGAACAGCATGCCCTGGCAACCGCCAGTTTTCTGGTGCGTTTGGACAACTTCCAACTAAGAATGGAACTAGAATTGACGCGAGCTCTTCAGAGCTCCTTCTTATTGCTCGAGTTAGAACAGGATGCGACCGAGGAACAACGAGAACTTCATCGGTACTGTTGCCGACGATTCGTCCGAGCCGTGAAACTCATGCTCCAGACGCTTCAAAAATCTCATCGGGAGCTCGGCATAACAACAACGTCATCTGTCCACAAACACCCACGTAGTTCTGAAAAAGAAGAAACACCATTCTACAGTACCCAATCATTTCACGCACTGCTCCGGCGACCCGAACACTTGGCATGCTTGCTGAGGATGTCCGTGTCGGCTTGGTGTCCCATCCGATGTACCGCCATTGGGTGGCTTTCAGACATTTTTGATGGCAATGGGCTGATGCAAGTCCAGTTGGCAGATGGGAAACCCTTTGTCTACCACGCCATTGCATTCATTACTGCGGCACTTTCTAATCACGCCATATCGACTCACCCTTGTTACAACGATGACCCCCCACAGGAGCCCCATGAACCAGAATTTTGCAGTGGATGCTGGCAAATTACCATGACCAAACTAACTGATGCATTGGAACGGAGTCGATCCATCATCAGTCCAAAGGTTATTGTGGAGGAGGTTCTCCCCAAGTACGGAGCATGCTGGAGTAGCACATTCGATGCGGCAAACTCAGCAGATGCCGATAAACTCTATACCATGAACGTGAACTTGTGGCTCCAACTCCATCGAATGGCTCATTTGGTGGTGCTGGTCGAAGGGGGAACACAAACGCGGACAACAAGTTCCCCCGCTTTGTATCTCTTGCAAATTCAACTGGGTCAAGCCTGCCTCCAGTTGTTTCACAATACCCTCGAACAAACTTTGCTGGATGGGGGGCTGTTTGTCCAACAATCATCCAACAATGATCCTACCCACTTGGCGGTGAAATTCAATTGGAAGAGTCGGTTCGTCATGTGGTACTACAATTGTCTCATCCCTCGAGAACGAGATCCTCAACTGGTGGGTCTTCGGCGTCGGGTCCGAGCCCATTTGCTGGATCTTCTTGCGAACAACGTCTCTACGTGGCCCAAAGCAACCATCAATGCCTGTCACGTACTGTCTTGTTGGCTCAAAGATTCGACCTGGAATCATTTTCACGAAACGCTTCCCGCGAATCCCGAGCAACAATGGAGTACGTTTGAAATTCTCCTCTTCGGGCCTGATCAAGTGTACGACAAACAAAAGCAAAGACTGCTTCGCATCATGTTGATGCAGACCATTGGTGTCGACGAGCCTCGTTGTTCCACGTGCTGGAGAACACAAGAGGATCTATTGTTGGCATCCAAAAAGGACAGACGGCGCAACGGTGTTCCCTATGATTTGAGAGTCAAAGCATCGCGGCATTGGGTGTGTGGTTTGTGCGAGTTCAAGAGAATCGAGAACATGATGATAACGCAAGCGCACATGCGCGAACAAGCACAAGGTGTTGAGGGACAGACATTGTAAGGGGGAGCTAACACTTTCGGCACTGTATCTACCTAGCCTACAGTACCAGGTAGCGGGTAATTAGCAATGGACGCGGAGAAAGAGTGACGCGACCTTGTGCTTTCACATGGGCTCTCAATGCATTCTTCGTGGGGACATGGAAAACCGGGAAGACACGGTAATTGATTATTTTTGCTGAAACTGGATTCAGCAAATTCAGCATTTGTCAGCATCAATTCAGCAATTTCAGCATCATTCAGCATCAGTCAGCATCTGTCAGCATTTTTCAGCAATGGATTCAGCAAGTTCAGCAAGATTCAGCAGAATTCAGCAATTACTAGTAAATAACCATGGTTGGATTCAGCATCTGTCAGCATTTTTCAGCAATGGATTCAGCAAGTTCAGCAAAATTCAGCATCAGTCAGCATATTTCAGCATCAGTCAGCAAACATCATCAAAAATTCAGCAAAATTCAGCATTCAAGACTGAAAAATGCTGAAATTGCAGAATGACCTTGTCTTCCTGTAGATAAACTAACTGCCGGAGACTTGTTGTTCATACCAGGGTTGAGCCAGGGCCCGAGACTGGGACGGGTTTTGACACAAGCCGCTCTGCTGGCTTATCACATTGAGAACCGTTGATTTCGCGAAAACTCCAAGTTAACCAAACCAACCACTCGTCCTCGTCGCATTCTTCATTCTTCTAGAGACTTGACGATGGTCGTCACTCGAGGCCGCAAGGCGGAAGCAGCCTCATTGATGCAGGTGCTGCAAGACAGCGGATGCGTCACCAATGTTTTCGAGTACTTGGAGCTGGAAGAGCTTGGACGCTTCTCGTTGTGCAATCGAACGCTTCACGAGCTTTGTCAATCCAACGACCGCATTCAGCTTGTTCAACAGTTTTGCAAGTCATATTCTCGAAGCTGGACCTATCAAAATGGAAAGAATCGTATCCTCCGCTATGCAGATGATAGTGTCTCCTTTGCAGCTGCTCGGCGTGGCCTCGATCCTGCGTTTGCACAGCTTTTCGCCAAGACCGAAGGACGGATGTTGAGTAGCATTGCCTCCTGGTGTGGAGGCTGGGAAGCTTCTTGAAAGCTCGGACCCATGGCGCTCCACCAGTCCAGTCAAATGGTGCGAGCATTGGAGATGATGCGTTCGTCACTCCATGCATGCCAGTGTTTCTATTCGACATCCAACGCGACAACACTTGGCTCTGGACTGGAATTCATCCAACGGGCCCAAGTAAAAGCCAAGACGGAATTGACTACTCGTTCAGATTCCCGACAGTTTACCCTTTATCGACTATATGTCCAGGAGATCAGACCTCAAAAGAGACTTCGTTTAGCCTTGGACATGACAACAAGCCTGGGGGCTACCTCCTTTCCACAGACGCTTCGGATGCCAGCACCTACCAGTTGTCTGTGAGTGTCGTCAGCCCAAACTTTGCGGAGACAGAGCTGTGCTCTATTCAGATTGTACCACAAGAAGTCTGTCAGAATAAGGCCTATGGCCTTGGACGTATACTTGCCCACAATCCATCACTTGTTGGTGAACCCGGCGTCGATCAAAGGAGCTCCAAAACAGGCCGTATCCAACAAGAAGCGGCGTATCTGCTTGCCAACAGCACAGCATGCCGATATGGCAGGATATTAGATCAGCAGCTGTCAAGCCGATCACCGCCAAGCCATCTTGTCGCGATTCTTGTGATGATCGTTGCCTCGGACGCTTTCCCAGAAGTCAAACATTACGTCAACGAAGCTGATTATATTCGCGCGGTGAAGTACACAAATATATCTTTACTAAAGAACAGTTGTTTGTTATCTACTCTTATGAATCATTTGGTTGGTACCTGTCAGAGCATGCTTCCATTTCAGGGAGCACGGTGAAGCAGATCATCCTTGCGTTTGTGGATGCCTGAATTTAGCAAAGTTGCCTATCCACCGGTTTGTTTTGGCTATTCCGCCTCCACCCAGATTAGAACCCATCTTTCGACTCTCCATAAGCAACTAGGGCTTCACGGCTCCTCATCCCAATCTATTAAGATTGGATAATACTTCTCCTGACTGTAAGTCTTAGTTGATGGTTTGGTGTCATCCTCAGTTTGAGAAGACCCCGCCCTGGAAATAGCAACCGTACCATTGCCCGCAATATTGCCGAAGATAGGAATGATTGGGACGCTCTCGGTGCCAGTGGCGTCATCCTCAGACCTGGAAACAGCCACCGTTCCATTACCAGTAGCATTCCCAACAACGGGATTAATTGTAATTGTGCCTTCATCTGTTCCTTCTGTTGTGGCGTTCAAGGCTCGGAAATTGCAGGTTGGCGGATTGTCGCAAGGATCTGTGGCCTCCCATCCCTTGGACCGAACTCCTCCCAGGTCAGCGCATGGTACCATGATGATTCGTGTCTCCCCCCATACAGGCTCTGCTCCAAAGTGAACCATGCAAAGGTCAGGCCTGGCTTCCAACGTCATGATACCTTCCCCGTTCCAGGAATCGTCAATTATTTGAAAGTCTTCTCTGGCGCTGTTCGGACTGGCACATTTCTTGACAAAGACACGACTACCACGCCGCAAGGCTTCTGTGCCTTCTAACACCTGAATGTTTTCACCAGCTTGCAGGCATTCTGTATCGTCCACTCTGTTTCTGAGCCGTCCTTGGTTGTCAAATCGCCATTGAATGGCATCGTCATCTGACCGACACGTCTTGTACAGAAGTTCATCGCTGCCATCGAGGTTTCGTCCCATGCAGCCAGCCCGGCCATTTCCTGGTTCAGAATCCAGAACAAAGTAGTCCTCTTCAAAGTCCACTGCAACAATCGCCCATCCCAAGGCCCGTTCACCCATCAATTCAGCACATGGGATCATCATGATGCGAGATTCTCCTACACTAGGATCAGCACCAAAATGAGTGACACAGAGGTCGGGGCGGTCCATCAAAGTTAGTGGACCTCCTTCGAAGAATAAATCGAATGCTTGAAATGGGTCTCGGGCGCTTCCTGCGATGGCACAGGGTTTGCTATAGACGCGAGTTCCGCGCTGGAGAGCTCCTGTTCCAGTACTTATTTTGGGTAGTTGTCCCACCTGCATACAACTGGCATCATCCGTGTAGGAGCGAAATTGATTGACATCCCATCTCCAAAAAATGTGTTCATCTGTAGGATCACAAGTTTTGAGCACAAGATCATCGCTGCCGTCTCGTCTTCTGCCAATGCAGCCATTGTCGTTTTGTAGCATAAAGTAATTGGAGGTGCTTTGGGCGTTTGCTTGCTCTGCAACCTCACCGCCAAAGAGAACGATTGATATTGCTATCAAGAGGGATTTGGATCTCATCATGTTTCCTTGGGTTTTCTTGGGACTCTTCCGCAATCAATGCAGATTGCTTTATCATCAGAAGGCAGAGGCAAAAAGTTTCGGTTTCTGAACAAAAAATGAGCTCGCTAAAATCCACTCGCTCCTTCTGGATTGTTGCGAGTAAGTCACGATCACTCGTCAGTCATGTCATCAAATAGCGACTGAATACGAATAGGGACTCAGCACTCCCTTAACCAAGCATCCACGCCACGGTACAGTATCAGAAACAAGGCAACTTCGGAGGAGCATGGTTGGCAAGCAGACGGCCTCTTGAAACAAGCAAGGCTCGAAGTGCGAGTGAACACTTTGTTGGCACTGGTAGGTTGATTGGGATATTGCTGGAGATCGCCGAGATAAAGCAGGAGAACGAGGACCTGAAGAGAGGCGAAGACCAGCTTCCGTTGTCTGATTGAAAAGCCGCCCAAATTGTCGCTGTTGCAATGGTCGTCGAACAAAATACGACAAGCTCGCACCCTTGATAGTTTTCGCATTGCAGCTGAAGCCGCTCCCTCCAATCGAGTGCCAATGGAAATTGAACTTCCGATTCCCGCAGCAGGCGATCATACTATTCTGCACGTTGGTTTCAATGTTGCAGACGAGGACAAGGACAAGGACAAGGACAAGGACAAGGACAAGGACAAGGACAAGGACAAGGAAAATAAGCTGACAAATACCTACTACGAGACAAAACAAGCCGTCGCCGGCATAGTCTTTGGGCATTGCGTGATGTTGTTTTTAAAGTTGGCTTGCACAAGCTGCCGCCAAAAGAGACTTTGGCATTCGCAACGAATTTAGCTTGTTCTCGAGTTGCCCCCGATCACTCGTTGTATTCGATAGGACTTCAGAAGTCCCTATCTATATTCTTTAGATAGTACGAGCCATGGCTTTCCATCAAAAGATGACCTTCCCCTTCGTGTGTCTTTGTCTATATCAACAATCCTGTCGAACCACTACGCCTACTGCTGGTTGTCGACTCGATCTTCCAACCAATTCAGCAACTCTTGGCATCTCGGTGGTTCTGCAATGTACATGTATCCAATGAGGCATTCAAAAGCAGTAGAGTCTTGATATGCTGCAGGGTTTCTTCGATTCTTGGATCTGGTGACAGCATTGCGTCCACGCATCATGACTCTAGTTTCCGCTTCAGATAGAGGGAATTCCTCTTTGATTTGTTGCAACAAATGGGATTGATGTTCCGCTGCAAACAATACAGGAGGGGAAAGCAGTTAGTTGTGTTGAGATAGAGACAGTCTGGCTCACGCACACGCTTCGCTGTTGGCACATACCTCTCACAGTGGACACTACTGTGTCCTGTAAGTCGGAGGTTCTCTGGGAAGGCCACACATGCCTTGATCGAATAAAAAGTTCAAAAACAGCGTCACCGATGTAGGCTAATACAACAGATACATAGAGCAGGGAAAAGAATTAGTTGAACAAACAGCCAAAACAGCATCCCCAATATGTGCCGTTTTATCTCACCCAATTCTGTCCCACTCATTTGACTCGGCTGTGCGTCTTTGGATGGAGTGAGTAGCTCTGCCAGTGACTTGCTACCATTTGGACTTGTTTCTGATGAATCAGCAGAGTTCTTTCCAGAGGTCTGATGCATTGATTTCGAATAAGGGGCCCAAGCCGATTTGGTCCGTAGCTGTGCCTTGTGAGACCTCACATGCTTATAGTATACACAGTGTATGCTTGGAAATGATGCAACTCTACTGATGCTCAGATCAAGCGCTAGGAAGACGAGAATCACTTCCCATATCAGCTGCCGTCCCATGGTTGTGATGTCGAGTGATACAACAGATGTCAAGACAGAGACGAATGAGAGGTTGGTTGGAATTGGGTCATGAGCTGCTCGTGTTTAACTCTCAAACATGGATATTTTCAAAGATAAGATCTTCGCAAACCCAAAACCATCAAAGAACATGTTCGGAAACTGAAACATCAGGGGAGCACACAATATTTAAGCAATCGGACCTATAGGTTCAAGTGAAACACAAAAACAGTCATCCATGTCCTCCAGTGTCCTAAGATTCTCCTCCTCCTCCATTCTCCCTCGCTCTCACAATTTCCACTTTCTCACTCAGCTGAGCTCACTCACCTCTTTGAAATCTTGCAATGACGAGCTCACCACAACAGTTGCTGTTCACCGCGACGGTATGGCTTCACCTCTTGTTGCTGGTGAATGGCCTTTGCGTACAATATCAGTACCGTGATGTCAACTGCGCTCATGTTGGCCATTTCCAAGATTGGTGCACCAGTTTTGACGGATGCCACCGGGCCAACCTCCAATGCGTGGGACAGCGTCCTCCCTGCAGTGCCTACAATACCAGTACTGCCTGCCAACTTGAGTCTGGATGTTCCTGGGATCTGGATCTTGATGCAGAAGAAGAGGGTATAGATGCCAGCACTCGTGCACACTACAAGGCCGATCAAAGCATGGTCGGGATCATGGTGGGGGCTACGCTGATTCTCATCGTCGTTGCGTGTGGTTTGTACTCGTTGCACAGTTGCAACAATGAAGCCAAGACACGTGAATGCGAGACCATTTCAAACTGGTCCGTTAGCAGCCTCCAAGGTACGATTATTCGAACAAGATTGGTGGAAGAAATTGAAGCTCATGGACGAGGAAAGCTCGACAACGTCAAGAAGAACAAACAACATCCTCCAAACCAACAACGACGAGACTCTCCTGGAACAGCAACAACGCTGACGCCTGAATGCACGGAGGCGTCTGCTGGTAGTCAAGGCTCAGCCGACATGGTGTAAATGGAACCAACGGGAGGGAAATGCATGTTCAGCCCTTTGCCAAGCGTGTACAGTTTGTTGAGAGAACATGGGCTGTCACCAGAATAGCAGGCTGACCCGCAAATCATTGACCAAACCGCATACGTTCTTTTCGAAGTTAAGCACGGTACAGACGTACCCCACTTTGTTCAGAGGCAGCCAGTGTTTCTGTCTGCATCCAATCGTGTTCGCTAGCTAGCTTCTAAAGATGCTTCAAAGAAACGAAAAGATAGACAGCTGCTAATGACAAGCAGGTGGATGAGCCGGCAGTACAACTGCAAAACAGAGTAGACTGGGTCGTCTAGAGCGGCACAAGTAGTTTATGATAATATCTACTATAGTATGTTACAAGTTGATGTTTGCCAGGTCAGGGCGTGCACCCCCGAGACTGTCATTTTTGGCATTGTAAATTTTTAATCGGCGGCTGTGGCGCTTTGCATCCCCAAGTCAAGTGGAGAGCTAGCTAGCACACAAACCGCTGCTGTGAATTGGCTTTGGCAATTATGGCCGCCTTACTTCTCGCATCTGTGCTTGGAATAGAACTCTTCGCATCTGTACTGGGAGTCTTGTTCTGTGTTGCAACCTTGTAGTCGTCGTCGTGTAGAGTAATGAAGTATTCTGGCTCACCCGAGTCAGAACACGAGCTTCGGATGGTTTGCACCCGAAGCTCCCATCGTTCTTTGCTGTAGTAAGATAGAACATCCTCCACAGCGCTCTTCAGGCAGTTTGCGCTCTTGATCAGATCTGTATCGTCCTCTTCAGAGCTGCTGTCTGCATTCTTTAGTTTGCTAATCCTTTCCTCCATCTTGTTCTGAAACGCCTCGAGGTCGCGGTGAAATCTCGGCAGCCGCTTTTGACAATGGTGTCTCTCGCGATGGTTTTGCCTTAAGCCCACTTCTAGCGACTTGTGCTCTCTAAGAGCAACTTCGAGACGATTCTCTGCTTGTACCTTCACCACGTCGTCTTTTTCAAACTGCACTTGAAGATGGGAAAGGTTCTCTTTGAGGAGCGAAATCTCACTTATCAAAGTGCGTGATTCAAGCTTGTCTCGTTGCTGCAGAACGACCAGTTCCTCGGTCAGCGTGTCTATCACTTCTCCTTGTCGCCTTAAAACAACGCTCTTTTCTGCAATGATGGCTTTGGCCTCTTTCACATAGTCAGCATTAGTTTGATAGAGTGCCTTCATCTTGTGTTCGATTTTCTTTTTGTCTGCAAGCAACACATCTAGCATAGTAGCCATTTGAGTAACATCTGCAAGACGACATTCGAGGTCGAACTCAAGAGTCATAGGGTCGGTTGCCGAGAGGAAGAAGTCGACACTTCCACTGAGAGCAGACGTGTCGTCGAGCAATGAGCGAGTTACGTCTGGCCCACAAAGCTTTGATATTTCCTTCATCAAAAGGTTCAGTTTCCGTTCGACTGTTCTTGACACTTCGGCTTCTCTCTCAGAAGCAAGGCCTAGTTGCTTGTTGACCTTCTTGGCGTACATGGTGTGTTTTTCAACGATATCAGGAGTTGCGAAACTACTCGCTACACTCATTGCAACGTTGCTGCTGACGCTCATGTCTCCTAACGTTGGACGTGTGCCATCACAGAGTGAGTGGTCTTCGTCGGGCTCGAGCATAGAGATAGATGTGCTATCCACTTTTGGCTGTATGATTGCTGGAATCGGTGCCGCGGCAGCGACAGGTTTCTCTGTTCGTTTCGGTGCGCTTTCCGTCTTCAGTGGAGTTCCTGCGCTGCTCTTATCTTTTAGAGTTGACAGCTCTTGTCGAAGCTCTTCAATTTCATGAGCATGTTTCTGTTTTTCAGATGCGACCTTTTCAAGGTTACATTCGAGCTCAGTAATGCGACCTGCGTGGCTGTCCTTGTCGTCATCGCTGTGTCGAAGACTTGAATCTGCTGGCATTTCTGCATCTCTCTTCGCGTTCTGCATATTAGCCAACTCGTCTTGCAGCATGTGAATTTGGTTGACATAACTGTCTTGCTCAGTGAGTGTTTTAGTTAGATAGGCTTCAAGTTGATTGATGCGGGCTTTGTTCTTTTCCAGTGTCGCTACCGTTTCGTTGAGTTGAGACGACAAGAAGTGGCTCTCTTCGTCAACTGCGTCGTTTTGCTTCGCGGAAGTACTTCCGCCCTCTGTTCTGTTGGAGTTCCCGAATCCTTCGGCGTTTTCTGCTTCCACGGTGGTATCTTTGCGTCCTTGAGAGGAGTCCAATTCATTGAAAGTCTTGCTGTAGTTGTCTCGAATCTGTTCCAACTCTATCTCCTTCTCCTGGAGATCGCTTTGGTGTTTTGACAGGAGTGTTCGGTTGTCCTTAATGATCCGCTTGCGTTCTTCTTCCACAGCCAAAATATCAGTTTGCAAAGTGGATACGTGTTCTCGTAGCAAAAGAAGTTCATCCCTGTCACGTTCTTGAGCCCAGTCCATTTCTCGGCGCATGGAAGCCTCCTGTTCCCGAGATTCAGCAAGCGCGGTGGTTAAGCTTCTAATTTTGTCCTCAGCCTTCTTCAGCTGTACTTTGTATCGTCGTTCCTCGCTAACCTCGTCGTGGTGTTTCTGGGCCTTTTCTCTTGCTTTGACCCGAAGCCCCGCACGAAGACCCTCTATCTCAGATCGAAGACCCATGACGTCTGCTTTCGCTGCGTCTATTTCCTTGTCCTTTTCGGCAAGTTCTGCTTCAACAAGCTGACACTTCACAGAGAGTTTTTCACGCTCGGTCTCTTCGGCCTTAAGTTTTCCCATGGCGCCATTGAAAGAGTCTTCTGTGCTACAGAGCTTTTTCTCCATATCTGAAATCTGTAGTTTTAGGTGACTCGCCTCTGTCTCGGCAGTGGCAATTTTCCTTTCAACACGCTTCAGGTCCGCGGTGATAACTTGCTTTTCTTGTTCCTCGCACTGCAGCTTCTCAAGCGTTTCCCTGCTTAACTGGCAATAAACCATTCAACATGTCAGCTCTTTCGTGTTTTTCGCCTCACACGTACCCGGCCTCCTAAGTGTTCGCTGCTTACCTCTTCAGATGACTGCAATTCCTTTTCCAACGCTGAAAGACGGCTTCGAAGACGCGTTGCCTCTTCTTTGTGAGAGTGCAGGGTTGCCTCTAGGGCATGCTTCCTAAGAAGCTCACATTTCAGTTCTGAGACTTCAGTTCTAGCAGCGTCTAGGGATGCATGTTGATTGGATATCTTTGTGTGGGAAGATATTTGAAGTTCCTCTAGACGGCGAATTTCGTCCATAAGAGCCCGCTTCTCTGATGCAGAAAAGAGACTTTCCTTTGCTCTTTCTTCTGCTTCAGTTCTGGCAGCATCGATGGATGCCTTTTGGCTAGATATCTTGGCATTCGCACTGATCTGCGACTCCTCGAGGCGCCGAATTTCATCCATGAGTGCCCGCTTTTCTGATGGTGAAAAGAGACTCTCCTTTGCTCTTTCTGCTTCGGCTCTGGCAGCTTCGAGGGATGCTTTTTGACTTGATATCTTCGCATTGGCAGTGATCTGCGACTCCTCGAGGCGCCGAATTTCGTCCATGAGAGCCCGTTTCTCGGAGACTGTTGCCAGATCTTCCTTTGCCTTTTTGAGGGCTTCCTTTTCTAAGGTCCTGATTCTGCCGAGTAGATCCTGCTTGTCTTTTTTGAGTTGTAAGCAAGATTCTTTCATTTCCCGCGATCCCGATTCCAACAGTCTTATTCTACCCATTAGCAGTTCGTTGTCTTGGTTGAACTTGGCATTGGATTGATTCTCCACATTTTCGGCTTTGGACCTTGAAGCTTTGTTCTCCGCGAGTGCGAGCTCCAATTTCTTGGAGAGCTCATCGTTCTGCTTGGATAAAAATGAGATGCTCTCTGTCTTCTCGGAGTCGTACGACTTTGATGCTGATAGGCTTCCAAGTCCCTTCGAAGCATCGTCTAGGTCCATTTCAAGTCTTGCGATTTCAATAATGCTTTGGCTCAAGTCATTTCGCGTGACTTCCAGCATGGCAGATATATTCTCGTTTTCTTTGGAGAGGTAAGCGCACTTGGCGGCAGCCTCCTGCTTTTCTCGGTTCAGCTTGTATACATCATCTGAAATGTGGTAGTCTGAAAATGCATCGTCTTCCTTGGCCTTGGCTTGTTCACGGAGCTCCTCGACCTCACTTTGTAGCGTTGAAATTCTCATCTTTGCCATAAAGAATGCCTCCTCCTTGTTGTTGGACCATTCGGTGCCATCAACATGATTTTCTATTGAGGTCTTGCTGGCAGCACAACCCTCCAACGAAGCGATCTTCTCTTCGCACTCCTCCTTGGCGGCGAACAGCTGCTCTACTCTCAACGACAGCTCCGTGTTGTCCAAGATTCGGCTCTCCAAATCGAGCTTGGCGCGTTCGAGTTCAAATGTAACGGCGTCGCAAGTTGACGAGATCGCGTCTCGCTCTCCTTCAACTCGGAACACATCCTTTTGAAGTTCCAAAATGCGTTTTTCTTTCGAATCAATCATCATTGTCGCCTTCTCTGCGTCCTCGTCCATGCGTTTTCGGCATTCCTGAATGGTCTCCTCCTTTGAGGCGACCATTTGTCGGGATTCTTCCAGCGCAATTCTGTCGCTTTCAAGCTCCTTTCGCAAACTTGACATGCATTCTTGGTGGGCGGCTGATACCCTTTGAGTTTCCTCAACAGCCTGTGCGTGGCGATCGTTCATAGTCTTGACACTTGCTTCGAGTCCTTTGATTTGAGTCCTGTACTGCTCTATGGATAGCTTGTTTTCTTCGATGAATCTCTTTCTGTCATCGTGAGTAGAAGTCAAAGCGGATCGAAGAGTGGCGAGACGCCCCTCAAAGTCCTCTTTCGTCACGAGAAGTTGCTGGACTTCGCAAGAGAGCCGTTCTTTCTCGCGCCTCGCCTTTTCCAGGTCACGCTCTAGCCTCTGCTTCTCTTCCCGGCTCTTGTCGAGATCTTGTGAGATCTGTGACAATTTGTCTGACAGCGCCTTTAGCTCAGAGGCGGTCGCGTCCCTATCCTTTGAGACGACGCTGAGTTCGTCCTGAAGATGCACTATTTCACTCTTTAAGGAAGAAACCTCGTTCGAAGCTTTCTCCGTCTTAACCATTTCGTGTTCCTTCAGAGTTGCCAGCTCATTTTCGAGTTTTTGGACACTTAGCTTGAATAGTTCGATATCCCCATCACTCTGCAAAGATTTCCTCTTCGTTTCCAACTTCAATTGGGCTGCTTTCGTCTCCAACGAAGCTATCTTCGTTTCCAAGGCTTCCTTCTCTGCGTGTAACTGTTTGGCCTTGGCAGCAATGTCTTGATTCTCCAGTTTGCTGTTCTGCAATTCAAGCTTGAGATGGTTGCGTTGGCTCTCCACGTCCCTCACCTTTTCTGTTGCTCCATCACTCGCATGCTTTGCCTCGCTGTAGTCCCGTCGAAGCTGCTCGACGAGCCCACGTAGGGAACAAATCTCGACTCGAGTCTTTTCAGCTGATTCTTTTTCGCTCTCCCGCAGCATTGAGATCTCTTGCTCGAGTTTAGCGACGCTGCGCTTGTAATGCTTGAGGAATTCATCATCGTTGGTTCGTTTCTCGTTACTTGATCGATGGCCCTCAATCAGCAGTATCTTCTCGTCGCTTTCTAATTTGGCCGAAAAGAGCTGTTCAGTCTTCTTTAAAAGATCGTCATTATCAAGGATTTTGCTCTCCAGATCACGTTTTGTCCGCTTCAGTTCCAAATCAACTGCTTCATACTTTGAAGTCGCTTCCACTCGACGCCGCTCCGCTTCAGCGTAGTCCTTTTGAAGAGAGTCGACGAGGTTGCGCATTGACTTTCTTTCATGCTTAGTATCATCAGAAGTGACTGATTTCTCTTCTATTGAAAGCGCATTCTGCTTGTAATACTGGAGCTGCCTCTCGGAATGATCCAGAGCCTTCGCCGAACTCTCCTTGAGCGACAGAATCTCTTCTTCTTTGAGCGCCAGTTTCTCTTTGTAACCCTGACACTCTCCCCGAGATGCTCGAAGTTCTTGCTTCAGAACCTCTTTTTCGGTGGACAACTCCTTGAGGGCATGAATTGCTTTTTCGAGCCGCCTGGAGACTCCTTCTAGGAGGCTTGGATCAGAACCCCCCGGAGTCATCGCCATGCCAACGACATTTCCATCACGATCATGCTGCTTCGAAGAGATGCTCACGGAATGCTCGGGGGAATCACCATCCGGTTCTTGGGGTGGTATTCTTCGGTCGTGCGTTTCGGAACGTATGGCTAGTTGCTCCTCCAAAGAAGCCACCTTTTCCTGGAGGAAGGCGGTTTCATTGGCAACAATCTTTTCGATAGCAGCATGAATTTCGTGGTCTGCGCTCGTCGAGGAATCGTCGTCGTCTCTCTTGTCGTCACGATCTTGAAATGGAGCCTCGTGCACTTGACTGACCTGGAGAGTGGTAACCTCGTTGCATTTCAGCTCGAATATGCAGTGATCGATTTCAAGGAACTCAGATGAAACGTTGCGTTCCGACCTGTAGAGTCGTGAAGCAACATTCTCTTTGGCCTCTCGATCCAGTTGCTCCTGGTCCACCACAACTCCGTTTGCATCTAGTTCATGTAGCTTTTCAGTCAACTGTTTCACTTGATTGTGATTCTCGGGTGCCACTTCTGGGGTAATTTTAGTGGTCTTTACTTGTGCCACTTGTACTCGCAGGATCCTATTCGCACGTCGCAAACCTTCAATTTCGTGGTCCTTGCTGGAAAGAAGACCGGAGCATGCTGTCAATTTATACTTTGCCGTGGAGGCGGTGGCATTTGCCCCATTTCTTTCCGCGACCAATCTCGTTAGTAGTTGGCGTTGCGAAGAACTCGTTTCTTTCAACTGGCGAATGCTTTCGTGCGTCGATTGCCACATAAGGTCCGGAGAAGAAAACTGATTTTCCTTGTTGTCCGCTTGATCGCATTTGCCGAAAGCATGATCAGAACACTCATCCACAGGTGGAAGGTCTATTTGCTCTAGAATTGTATCGTGGAATGGGGCAGCTTGATGGCTGCAAGGTACATCTTCGCTTCTGGTACGTCGAATGAGACGCTGCGTGTGTCCTGAGGTATTTTCCGTTGCAAGCAGAGTCAAAGCTGTTTCCAGTTGTTGATTCTTCAACGCCGCCTTGTTACCGTGAATTTCATCCAGTTTCATCCGCAGCTCGCCTTGTGCAGATGAAGGGGTCTCATGGAAGAAATGAGACGGCTTCGACCGGACGTTCATAGACAAGACAACTGGTTCAAGCGGTTTCGAATGCGATCTTTGGTCATGTTGAGCGGCTCGAGGTGTAGGTTCATAGTCATCAAAATGCGAGTCCTCATCTTCGTCAGATGCAGCCGAGACTCCATCAGGTGGAGCCGGAATTGGATCCTCTGAGTCATAAGATAGGGTGGCTGTGATCGGAGGAATAGAAGAATAGCTGGAGCTTGCATCGGCGGAAACTGGTGTCGTCGAAACACTGTAGTTCTCGGCTTTCTCGATTTGCAAGTTCTCCAAATCTCGTTCGTAGCTGGAATGAGAACTGGTCTCCGTTACAGCAGTTGGTATAGTGCCCAGATTGGTGCTTTGGGGGCTTTCCACTAGGATTACCTCGAGCTCTTCTGGCTTCCAGCCTCGATATTTGGGTGATACCACCTGGATCGTTGTGGAGAAGAGAATCTTTCGTAAATTGTTCACAAATTGCTCTGGCGGAAGCTCTGCCTCAGTCGGTGCTGATTCTTCACAAAGTTGTTCTGCTGAAGGGGGCTCAACAACCAAGGATGTTTCTGTTTCGGTAACCTCGATGCCCTCCTCGCTCAAATCGGAAGCTCGCTTGGAATACGATTCTGCTTGGTTCGTGACTTGAGTATCCAAACTCCGAGGACCAGGCTCTGAGCCCTTATCTTGGGTCATGCCGCTTGAGCCGTTGCTGTCCTGCTGCATAGAACTAGAGTTTCCGCGCTCCGAAGGTCCGTTTTGTTCAGATGCTTTGGGAGTTTTGGACTTGCGTTCTTTCTTTTTCTCATCTCCAGCGGGATCGTACGACTCCTCTGTCAATGCCAGTTCGTTGACGAAGCGGAGAGGGTGCGACGTACTAGTCGAGGACACCTTGGAAAAATGGTCAAATGTACTGCCATCCACACTCGTAAAGGTGGGTATGTACTGATCAAACACAGAATTCAAGGGACCCTCGCTCAGATCATCTGGAAGATACTGTTCCAACATGGCCATGATACCATGAGCACCGGTATTATTGTTAGCATTCGCTGGCCGTGGAGAGATTCGACTCACTTCGCTCATGGGCGATAATGGCTCTACCGAAAAGTTGCACGCTAGCCGATCTGATCCCCTTTTCTTTTTCCTCTTGATCTCCTCTCCTTTGCTTGGCGCAGACGTAGTAATACCTGACCCAGAACCCTTTGATTTGGTTTGTTGACTACTGGTGCTCCCCTCGACAAACTGGTCCACAATCGTCCCCCGTGACTCATTGATGATGTAACCTTTAGAACGTTTCACATCAGTAGCGGTACCAGCAACGGAAGCTGGTTCTACGGATAGGATGCAATCTTCGTCACGTGGTTCCTTCAACTGTACTACTGTGTCGCAGTCATCCTCATCGTCGCCATCATCGTTGTCGTCATCATCTTCATCACTTCCAATCACGTCGTCAACTCGAGCCAGAATACTACTCAGGTTTTCCGAGCCCCCGTTTTGTGGTTCAGACTCTTCGTCAAAGCGTGTTCGGTTCACCGGGGTTGTTGCCACAGCCTTCAATCCCGGCGGTGAGAGAGGTCTTTTACTCGAAGGAACTCTGTCAGAAGAATGATCATGTTTGGATTGCTGCTGTCTCTCTCTTTGAGGCAACTGATGGGACCCTTGTTTTTCTTGTTGTAAAGACGACTGGGACAAGGAACACTGTCTTTTTGTGGGCGGAGGAAGCCGGGAAGGAGGTTTTTTGTCTTTGTCCGAAGGTTGACGGGACGACGAATGCTGTCTCGCTTTATGAGACGGATGGGACACGGAATTCTGTCTCTCTTTCTGAGAAGATGGATGATGGGAAGTGGAATGTTGTTGTCTCTTCTTTTGAGATGAAGGAGGGGCCGTGGGGTGCTGTCGCTCCTTCTTCGGGGAGCGCCGGGATCTTGACTGAGACCTTGGCTGCTGCCTGTCCGAGTGTTGGGACGAACCATTGGATGTAGACTGATGGGCACGTATGTCTTTGTGAGGGGATCGCGAATGTATTCGATGGCCACGTTTGATTTCGTATCGATCCTGCAACCGACTGTCATCCTTGGATCCATTTTCCGTCGACAGAGCTACACTGAGATCTATGGGCGCTGACTCTAATACTTGCCCCACACTTTCTGAATGAACAACTGTGGAATCTTCTGTGAGGGAAGCTGCTGTTCTTATGTGGCTTTCCTCCGCTTCATCCACATCATCTTCCTCGTCAAAGTCATCCATCGTGAATGAAAGGTCGTGTTCGTCGTCGTCACGGTAGTCTTTGGTGGAGCCATCCTGGCTCAGAAACGGGCGATGCGATCGAACAGTGCCTCGTTCTTGCAGTCGCCGCGTTCGTCTACGTACACGATCTTGCAGAGTGCTCGTCGAGCTAGCAGTTGCAAGACTCTCATCGTCGTCTCGTCCACCCCGGTGACTTTCCCCCACGCCCTTTTCCCAGAGTTTGTCATCTTGGTCTTGTTTTGGTGTACTGCTATTGTTGTTATGCCTCTCTCCTCGAGTCCGCACGTGGACTCGACTAACTTGTTGCTTTGCTCGTTTTCGTATGCGATGCTGCAGTGATGATGCTTCCGTCGAGTCGCCAGTCAGGTTCGATATAATCGTCTCGTCTTCTGCACAATCGCCCTCTTTTGCAAGTTGTTGCCGCCGGTCGCGGAGCGAGTTCTGCACCTTTCGTCTTGCTCTTTGCCGTCTTCGGTCATTGAGAGACGTGGAGAATTCACTCATACTGACATGTGCGGTTTCGTCACCGTCGTCGTCCTGATGGCGGTGCTGTTGTTGTGGTGGACTGTATTGTCGTGTGTCTGCTTGGCTATTTCTTGTTATCAGAGTGTCTTCATCATTGTCAATTTCATCTTCGATAACCTGATGTTCCTTCTGTGATGGTGGCTCCTCCTTACGCCGTCTTGTTCTGGATTCTGATCGCTGCGAGGGGACACTGGCTTTGGCCGGTCGACCAGTACGACCGTAGAGACGTTCTCTCCTTCCAGTGGTGGTGGTCGTCATGTTCATGGAATCACTATCACTCCGACTACTACTACTATCGTTATCATGCGACGAACCTCTGGAGTCAGATTGTCTTTGCTCGAGAGGTGATGATACGGGTATTTGCTTTTTGCCCTTGGGGTGTTGTTCATATCGTTTCAGCCGCTTCGATTTTTGGGCCGGCCTCATGGTGGAACAATGCCAGTATCTCTGGATCGGCAATGAAGCGTACAAAGAGGTTGGGGCCGTCCTTTCCTGGTTATTGTTGCCATTAACGTTTGCCTTGGGTAGCCGCAACAAGGATTTATTCTCTCTAGTTTGAGATGCTGGGACGGATACCGGTAACAGCGGGGGATTGGGATACGGCGCACGGCTAAGCTACAGCACTGACTGACTCCTGAACCAGCCCAGCCCGTAAGCGGCTCCTTGCTTGCTACCACAGATAGATGGAGATTTACCAGTAACCCACGGATGAGCGATCCGAATGACTTCCTCTCGCGGTGCGACCAGAAGGCAAAAATAACGAAAAAATGGCCCATGTAAGTAACCTTATCCTCTTACTAATTACCAAAACGCAAGCTTCAGATTGTATAAACCAAAAAACACTTCTCCTCCCGCTCGAATAGCCTTCTCTAAGAACAAGATGTGCAACGATAAATTGACTGACACTCGACTCTGCACTGCAGAAGAATCAGAAGCGCAGGCGAACACGGTCCTTACGAACAGTATGCCCGGTACTGTACGAACTAACTACGGAAGAGCCAGGCGGCAAATCCGGTCCTCCATTCTACAACGTAGTATGGTACTATAGTTCGCAGTCGAGGATTTGGTGGGTGGTTGTCGCATTGTCTTTTGCAGTAGAGACCTTCAAACGTTGGATGGTTCTAGCAAGGATGCATGATCATGAGGTCGCTAAGAACAAAGGTCTTCGGGCTGGTAGCTACCGTACCGGTACGGTAACGGAGGGAACAACCCGAGAGGTGCAAAACTGCCTATTAATTAATACGATGTACTGGTATTCAGTTGAAAGGGATATTGCTACCTTTTACCATGCGGTGCCAATTGCTCGTTCCTGGGCTGGTAGTACTGTATGGAACTACGATGGTACTGTTTCTACTAACCCAAATATCTACTGAGCTACATGTACATACGGCTTGCAAATCCCCTGTTCCTGGTGACCAATTTTGCTCAACAGGCAGGCTCATCGTCTCCGTTTGGACTCGAGCCACATTCCTCTTGTGAAGAGGATAAGGAGATCTGCTTAAAAAAAGAGCCCCGTACGGATCAGGCATTCATTCTCCAATTTATTAGACTACGGCACCCACAAACAACTTAATTTTCCACTTTCGACTTCATACCAATACAGCACATGAAGCAGACGCAAAAGCTGTGAAACTAGTCCAATCAATATTATTTGGAATCAACCTTTGGCACCACCAGTTTTGGGCACAGACTACAGCAACTGTGACCGTAGACACGCTGATTTTGATTTATTTGGCACTGAACGAAGCACTGCCGTAAAAAGTGATTGAACCATCAATCTGAAACTGCCAAATCGTTGTTGGACAGAAACGTTTTGCCTTTGTGGCAACGCTGGGTTGTTTTGGCTATGACTCTTTCAGTACCATCTGCACCCTCTGTTTCCCGGTTGGTAGGTGCCAGCTAGCTAGGACCATAACCTGCTGTTTCTTAAAAGAATGTTAATTTCATACTCTTGACTACCTTGCTGACTTTGTTGGTCCGCTCCAGTGGCCAGGTGGCAAAAGCGGTTGGAATACTTTCCGGTTGTTCGACCCACCAATGAAATGTCTGCTCTCCAAAGGCTTGTTGACTCCATTTGTCTCGTACTGCTTCCAATTCTTGCAGAGTATCCACTCCATAGACGTACTTGGTCATGTGAGGTAAATTGGAAGGACTAATGTAGGTTTGGGTTGCTTCATGATTGGCTTCCAGTGCTTGTGCCACTGCTGCCAGGGAAGCATGGGCTGCTTGGGCTGCCATGGCCCCTGCCGGCCAATCCAAATCTCTGCGAAGCACAATGTACTGTACAATGGGTTGTTGCTTTTTCGTTGTCGTAGCAGTGGTGTCATCGGTGGACATGTTTCTTCTGGTAGCAGTACTTGAGGACAACAGTTGCTTTCGAGTTGGGTGATGGAGTGTGGCCGGTCGAAATGCAGCAACAACCGAATGTGACAAGCCAATCAGGGATACAAGCGTGGTGGAAGCAGTTGTGGCAGAAAGCAACGGAGCCCACAACAACCGCCGTGACAGTATCTTCATGGTCGGTAATTTCTGACGACTTTGTTGGCTCGGATCCTTGGGTAGATCCAATCCCGTGAAACTCGGGGCTGAAGCTGAGCCACCCGAACCATTCGCAAATCCAAGAATTCTCAAGATCCACAATGGCGGCAAAAGCGTCGACTGAGCATCCTTTGGACAGGAGCAAGATGGTGAGTGCCTACCAGTTAATACTGGTAATACTGTACTGCATTTCCAGTGCAATGCCTTTGTTAACTGTTGAAGCTACGCTACCAGCACCGCACTCGACTCGTCACTCGTCACTCGTTCTGATCGAATTGTACGGTATAGGCCGTGAAGAAACAGCAGATTTTTTTGCTGGACTCTCGCAAGGGATGATAGATTACATCTTACCCATTTCCTAGCCTACAAGTACTGTACCTGCCTTGTTGTTTTGTTGTTTGTAATGTTTCTTTCCCCCCTTGTGTTTTGCTGGGATGGCATCCTCTTAATAACGACCATCTTCCTTCCTTCCCACGGATTGGCTTCGTCGCTAAGGATGCAACATACAATTTATGGAATGTAGAACTTTTTCTTTGGTTACGCCTTTTCACCTTGCCGTGCAGCCAAATGTTTTGTATTCTGACAATTCTTCCTCTTCTGCAGTCACCACTGAACCCGATCTCTGGCTAGTAGATAGCTACTACTGGTTGTGGCCACGGTACTAGCGATCGTACTAGTGATCTTTGGCTGCCAATGAAGCAAGCACTCCGTTGGTTGGCAACCTGGTTCAACATGGCAGAGCTATGGCAGTTACCAGCCAGACGAAAACACATGCGAAGAAGCTCCGGAAGACTGTAGATGCAGGACAGTAGGCACCGGTACTGTACGGCGATACCTTGGGACCCTAGAAAGCTCATCAGAAATTTTACATGAGATTTCCACAAGAGCACTGGGCAAATCAGAAGAACCAGGAATTTTCGGGTGGTCGCAGGAGCGGCCCGATGCAGCACACGCGCCTTGTTCAAAACCAAGTCCAGGGATTCCTGTAGTACTGTAGCCAGACCAACGGTATGAAGCAATACGCCACGAGGATGCGAGCCATTACTTCTTTTCTGATTTCGGATTCGTTGGATCCGATCAAGTTTGCTATCCAGCCTCTTCGAACCGGCAAAAAAATTGGGACTCTGCGCGAGAGTGAATGGTGCAGGAGATAGCCCTCGCAAAAATTGTTTTCTGAGTTGGTTTATTGTTTCTTCTCTCTCCCTTTGCTTTTAAAAGAGGAGACCGATGCTCCAGCTATCATAGAACTGTGTTTGTGTGGCGATGCTGTGGCAACCAACCAACCGGACCGGCACAGAGATGGTACAATATGCGACGTACTGGATGATAAAAGAGGCTTTCCCTTGATGAGTGACGAGTCCCATCAAGTGCCACATTAACCTACCAGTACCGGTTTAGCCTATCGACCTATCAATAGGGTATTTAATACCGGTACAGCTCCGGTACGTACTCCATTAGTTTTTTAGTTAATTAATGCTGCTTTTCCCTAATAAATAGATTGGCAACGTCCTGGACACCCGGTCACCGGTCACCATCACGGTTCCATCAGCGATCAGACTTTCTACCGGTACGGCGTAAGCAGGGTCTCAATATGTCATATTAATTATTACTGTACATACAACTCACAGTAGTCTAGGATTTCTTAATGTTCTGCTGATGACTACGGTAGTACTTACACGCACGCTTGCACAGACGCTGAAGATCCACCTCTCAATCATCGTCTGAAAACTTAGGATGACAGGGTAAAACAAATTTGTTTCAACCATTTATTTACCTCAAAAACCCTTATAAAATCGGGGCCAGACTACCGGTCTGTCCATTTCCCGTCAAAGCTTGACATCCTTGCTGTCGGGCTATGCTTGCTCGTAAAAAGAGTGCTGACACGTCGTTGAGTCATACCTGTGTGACAATTCTGTGACATTTATTTAACTTTAACCCTTTTACTTAAGAGAAAATTTGCTTTGCCAAAGGTGTTTCGTGACGCAAAGACTCAAATCTTGCTCGAACCTTGGCCAAGCGTCTGTCCGTCATCCGTGCATCCTTTGGGGATCGAAATATTAATATCTCGCAATTTTTGCGTAGGCAGGCGGCCAGATTTATGTGACTTTGGGTTTCCAAATAAAGTTTGCGTTTGCCTTTGAGTGCTCTGTCTAAACCTGGCAGCACAGCGACGCTCTCTTCAATGCGTTCCTATGTACAGTCGTACTGTATCATGGACACCGCTGAAAGATTGCTTCTCCCTTTGCTTGTGTTGGAGAAGAGGACCTTTCAGGACAAGGAATCTAGATAGCTTTGGCTACGGACGACAGGAAACAAGGGCAGGCCAACCAAGCTCTCCACCTGATACTACTATTGGCTGCTAGAGCTCGTAGCGTTGTAGTTGAGCATGTAACATTTAACTAATATTCAGTAGATTGATTTGATTACTCTGAGAACGGCGTCATGACGCAACTCTTCAATTTATAGAAGAAAGTCAACAGGCCCACTCGCCGGTTGATTTCCAGAAAGGAAAGCATTGAGGCGGTAAGAGTGCGGTGCTTGAATCAGGCTCCATTGGATGTGTTGTCTGCGCAAGCCCTCTCCAGCTTCAGCTGAGAACTCTAGTAGCAGGAGCAAAGATATCCAACGGACACGATGTATTGGTAAGCTCAAAAGCACTGGGAAGCCAGGAAATGGGAAAGTAGTCCGCTGTGTCCACCAAGGACTCGATAGAATCATGATCGGAATCATCAGGAAGGGGACCACGTAGTAAATCTTCCTCCTCCGCGTCCTCCTCTTTGGGGCTTGCCGTGGGAGTAACTTCAGGGATCAGGACTTCCGTCGTCGGCAGGCTCTTGACAATGGGAGAAACCTGGCGGCCACCCTGGGTGGTTTCAAATACTATCTCTCGGAGACGCTGGCTGATCTTCTTTCGACAAGCATCATCGGAAGCCTCTGTCCAGTATTGACTTCCGTTGTCTCTCTTGAGGAAACGGAAACCCTCGTTCCGGAGTTGGTAGTAGATTTCCCAGGCGAGCTGGGTCTTGGCCTTGCGCCCCGCTAGGGTGCTGTAGTGGCTACCCCACTGTTCAATTACCTTCTGATACCTTCTGTTTCCTTCTGCATTGTTCGACATTCCGCCGCGGCCAAACAAGATATCATTGTCTCGTGGGATTTCGATCTTCAGGGACTTCCGGCAGCTTTTCTTCTCTCTGTGCTGGCGTATGACAGAAATTAGCGTTGTGGTGCGCTGTGGTGGAACCTTGCCAGTCAGCTTGTTCAGTGTCTTCGTCTTGCGCGCCATGGTCAACACTGTTGTGTGTAGTTGTGTGTTTGTCTGTACCGGTATGGAAAGGGTCGGGGTGTGGTGGCAAACTCTTTCAGACAAAGTGAGACGACGATGAACTAAAAGCAAAAGCGATGGGGACTTGGTTTTCAATCCTTGACCAGCAACGAGCAATGAGCAACGTGCTGAGCGACGAGCGATGAGGAGACGATGCCCGAGCAAATGCACAACTTCTGCAAGAAAGTGCGGTACCGGTACCAGTACTATTAATACTAGCTAGTAGTAGCCGTACAGTACAAGTACAGAGTTGCCGAGTGTGGGTCCTCTGACCACTGTCCTTTAAATAAACAGATGCTGTCAACTGATAAATACTCAGTAAGTAAGGAGTGCATGCGTGCATGCACCTCTTCCTGCATGCAGTTAGTACATGTAGAGGTGTTGTTGTTGCAGTTCTGAAGCCACCATTTGCCTGATCTGCTAACGACAACATTCAATAAATAGATTTTGACACCCTTCTTCCGAGAATAAAGCGAGAAAAAAGAACCCAAACGAGGAATCAAGTACACTGTATGCATACATGTAATTAAGAACGATGAGGGCAGAAGAAATAGAACAACAGAGTGCAATCCGCAAAGAGCGTCAATTCAACTGGCTCGATCGTTAATTCTTTGCTACAGTAAGATCATTGAAAATGGTTGTGTTCTCTGCTGCGAGTGCTAGCTACTAGATCTCGTTTGGACATAAGAGCTCATACATACCGGTACGATGTATTAATACCTGGAAGAGGAATGAGACTGCTGTTCTGTACCAGTCCCGCATTGAAGATACGAAGATACAATGTCCTTACCTAGCAGCGGGAATTGAGGCATTTGAAGTGAAATTGACATTTTGATGACAATCATGGAATAAACACTCAATTTTGAAACGTTTTGACTATTTTTGACATCAAAATGGCTCAAACCTGAGTCCAACTCTCCGTAATTGCCATTGAATCATTTATTACCGCACCTATCTATTTCCACAGCAGGGGGTCCAGGCCCAGGTGGGGGCAGGGGCACAGGCCGACAAGCTCTTGACAACTACTTGTACTCGAGTACAGTACTCCCTTGCTTCCCAAGTATCTTAAGAAGCAGCGAAGATTACACATTACATTTATTTCTTGAAAAAGTCAGGCCACTGTCGCACCACCGTACCCTCTCGTCAAGCTCGTACAAAACTATTCGTGTACTTTAACTTCTATAGTAAAGCTTATGGGGTAAACTTTGCGATTTTGGGGGATCCCCTCTTTATTTTCTCACCCCACAACTCAAACAAAGGAAAACACAACAACGAAATGACAAGAAGGGATGGCCAACGTACAAGATGAGTTATGGACAAACAGCGGACCGACTCAAGAAGATGAGGGGTCAGTGGTCTTGAAGAGGATGGTGGAGTAGATACCAACAATTGGTTGTGCTACGGCCCCATCCATGATGGTCTTGAGTGTTGTCGTGTTGTTTCGCCTGTTGTTGTTGTTGTTGTTGTTGTTCATTTGAAGGGGTAACCCAAATTCTGGTTTTCATGGGAAAATCCCCTTCTACAAGAGCGCCGGATGTTTGGGGTTGGCGGGAAGTACAGCTGTATGTCATAGGAGACAGAATAGCCAATCTTGAATTGCCACTGTTGTTGCTTTTGGACTGTATGTACTACTAGTAGCTACTCAGTAGCTGACTTTAAATTTGTACTCTGAGTACTACTAGTACTAGTACGGCGCTTTAGAAGAGTGTATGGTAAAAAGGTTGGATCGTTAATGATTCTACACATTGAGTGGCCAAAGAAAGCTAAAGCGGCGCCTGAGACGTTAATCAATTGAATCGAATCGAATCTTCCTTCATGCCACTTTTGGGCTTTCTTTGTGCTTACCGGTAAGACAAATCCTCGATAGCAAATGCAATCGCTCGGGTTTCATTATTGATATGTATCCAAAAGTGCTGTTTTCCTTTGCGCGATGGTTTGAAGAACACTGCCCAAGACCACAGGAAGAAGAAATTTAATGGTTGAGACCACTGGAAAAGGACACAAGGGCTTTAGTAGTCGGGGCAAGTGAGGCCGGCTGCGAGGACAGGACAGGTGGTGGGTTAGTTGCGGGCCCAAGATAGCGGTGTTGAAAATTTGCATGAAAAGCATGGCGAAGCCCTTTTACAGAGAGCTTCTGCCCAGACTGAAAGGATCTCAAATGTGCATGCCCTTTTAGCGCTGGGTGTTACGGTGGACGTTGTGTGATATATTCTGCTCTACCTCTCCTAACTTTGGCGTCGCATCGTGCCATTCAAGAGAGTTTCACGAAAGTAAGCAAAAGAAATAACTCAAAGTCTATTGACGGACTCAAACGAGCGAGAAGTCGAGTCTGCTCACCCGCCACGCTGGCCTCCTTGGAGGGTGTTATGCCAATTTGCTCTCTGAGGATTTATACACTGAAACTGATCTATGGATGCCCTGCCAATGGACACTGCTCCGTGTTGAAGAGCGGAAGACGTGCAGGAGCTTGGAGATGAGAGGAGATAGGAAAGGAAGCATGATAGAAGGTAGGAGTGGATTGAGGACCATATCCCAATGTAACTACTCTGTTTCCAGGGCTTTGACGTAGTGCCTCTCTTGCACCACAGGTTCCCATGCTAACAGGCATCTTGGGCTTGCTTCAGAGTCTCCCATGAGGGATCCTCTTGACTTGTTGTCGGGTCTTGGTGTGATGGGACACACTCTGAGGCCCTATCGGAGAAGTCCCTGAGTTTTTGGTGATGTGTCTATCACGTAGTAAGTATAGCAATTCCACTATCAGGCAGCTCCACCCTTGCCAACCTTGTCATCGTTGGAGAACTTTCCAGGTCCACGAAGGTCGAAGTCTCTGGGCACTCGCCAGCTCTTTCGCCCATAGCTCTCCCTGAATGTGCGGTAATCATCGTCTCTTTTCTGGCTTTGTACCCCAGGCAATATGTTCAAGCAAAGTTGCACTTCGATCGCACCGTAACGCTTCCTACGAGGCGCACTTCGATCCCGATATGCCGGCCAACTACAAATGGACACAAAACGCAACGAATATGCTCAGCCTCTACGACAATACGACAATACGCTCCAGTGTTGAGCACGTTCAGGACTATGCCCCCGCTCCCTGGGTGCGCATCCAGTTTCAAATGGGTCAAGGACAAATGAATTGATCGACCCATTCGGGGGATTTGTGCGTGGCTCCGTTGAATTTCTGGTCAGCTGCATCCCGCTAACCCAGTGTTCTAGCCGCGAGAGGTGTTGCTTGAGAGCTGCTCAAGTACCGAAAGAAGAAGGGCAGGAAGAAACAGCGATTCGGCAGTTTGTGAATTAAGTTCAGTCACTTTTTGCGGATCGAATGATCAATCGTACAATAGAATCGAATCGAATCAGACGCCCTCGTCTGACATGAAGCAGTCTCAAAGGTTCAAGAGGGTAAGTAGCGGACGTCTAGCTATCAATAGAAACTCTGCATTCAAACAACACTATCTATCCGCTGGACTCTCCATTAGCGTCTTCGGCGGTGCTGCGATACGGTAGTGTACTCACCCATGCATTTCAGTCACAGAACAAACTTCCCACGTGGGAGTCAAGTTGTCGACGACGTCGTCGAGTCGAGTCAGAGTCGAGTCACATCAGCACAGGTACAGTAACTCGACTCCCCGATTTTCAAACATTTGCAAACAAACAAAAACAATAAGCCAGCGGAGCTGTGTAACCTCGGCAGAAAGGTTTCAGTGTTTACATGTAGAAGCAGATTCCCCGAGCTTGCTAGCTAGAAGCAGATACCTCTAGTGCTTAGCTAGTGCTTAAAACTTGCGCTTAGCTAGCTAGAAGCAGATCCCCCCTAGCTAGAAGCAGATTCCCATAGCAAGCTAGAAGCAGATACCCCTAGCTAGCTAGAATACAAGTTATATAGCTTTCGCTGGCTTTAGAGTTTTTCCTGGTAGAAGCAGATCCCCCTACTAGGATGCATGTAAATAGCTTTAGCTGGTTTAAAGCACCATCCTAGGATACTTATTTAGTTTTTGCTGACTTCTTTGTATTCTAACCCTACCCTTATACCTGCAGGGACCACCGTAGCAGGAAAAACAATTAAAGGGGTTGAGGGCTCTGGCAGCAAGACTGCCGAGGTAAAAAATACAAAATGAGGACTGCGTACAAGTGATGTTCATCGTGGATACGAGACCAGACAATCAACCACATTGGATTCATCTTGCAGCTACTAGTCGACGAAACTTCCGTTTTACTAAAATTATATCACACACACACAGCACAGCAGAATGGTGCGCACTGGCGCAAGGTGGGTTCTCCGTACAGTTGCCTTCGTTGTCGTTTCCCTCGCACCATTCCTTCCAATTGACCAGCCACAACACAGGTATCGCAGGAAGAACCGCCAGGAATATAATATGTCGCGAGGTGTAGGTGCTAGTTGTCCTCGTTATCCACATTTCAATTGGGGAACCTAATGGAGACAAAACCAGGGACAGAGAGGCTTTTCGCGTGGCTACGCTGCACGATTTTCTGGACGATGCCGCGGAACTGCGCATCCTTGTGCATCTCATCGATCAGCTTGTACAAACTGTCGTGATCTGTCGCAAATACCGACATGTGGGCATGATTTCCACCGTAGTATAAAAGTTTGTAGTGAATATTACTGTTGATCACAATGCCTGTCAAGAATGTCGGGATCTCACGAAAGATGTATTCCTTGCATAGAGCCAACCTCCGCTTGTTCTTGGCAGATGCGCCAAGTCGTCCTTGTCCTCGGTGTTCCTGGGACGTTCGGGGAAAGCAAAAAGTGAGAATTGAATGACCAAACAATCAGGCCGAATGATTCAATCTATTTCGTCAGTTACCAGGAATTCTTTGGCAATAACTTCCACACGTCGGTCAAGAGATTCATCCTTTTTGAGCAGCTCCAAGAACTCGTCGTTGATCCAGCCGTGGTTGTGGTCATCACCAAAGCGGCAAACTTGTACTCGCTTGTTGGCTCCTACTCCAAGAGCCTCGATACTCTTGTTGAACATGTCCTCAAATCGATCGCCAAGCTTTGTGGCCTCTGTCTGGGCCCTGTGCAATCCGTGGTTTTCGAACGCCTGGTAGTTGAGGCGGGCAATTGCATCACAAAGGGAAACGGTGGCGGGGTATTCTTCGCCGTTGGCGATGGAGCGAAGACACAGATGCCTCACAACCGCCGCCACTTTGTTTTCGCCGTCCTCTTTATCCAAAAATGGTGATCGTTCGTTGATGCTCACTGCCATGAAGGCTGGCACTGTCCTGTCTTGGAGCCCAGTGCACCCGTGATACTCTTTGTGAAGAGCCGGCGAGAGCCAGACCCGATGCTTCGGGCCCGGAGTCGAGAAAAACGGATTACTTGGATCACTGGTCACGTCCGAAAGCTTCAACGGTACAGAGCCGTCAAAACTTTCCGGAGTGAGGTCCCAAGTTCGGGACAAGTACGAAAGAAGCGGGCGAAACAAGTGGTTCTTGGCCAAGTTCTGCCCGGGACACCTGCGTCCACCAAATCCAAACTGAATGGACCTGCTGTTCTGCTCCTCGGACCAGTTAAACCCATGAACATCAATCACAACGTCCGTACTGCGACAATACCATTGTGGATTGTCTAATCTAACGATCTAAGAGATGTAAAGTTTGTATTTCCAAATAAGTTGTAGCAGTTATTGATTATTTTCTGAATAAGCCTGCTATTGTAAAGCTGTAAAGCTGAATTGTAGCTGTATCCCGTCACCCCTTACAGCTTGAAATGAACTGTAGCAAGAAACGATAGGAGAGAGTCCCCAGCAATTGCTGAGGTAATTACCATTCCATGAGGAGTTTCCGAATGACGCAAACTGTGGAGCCGGAAGACCCTTAGTAAAAAATGTCGGCCCGTTTTCCAGAGTCGGAAATACTAGCCACTGATGCCCTTCGACTCCCGTATTGGACCTGAAGAAGTGATACTTCAATGCCAAATACTTTTGCGCGCAGACATTTTTGGGAACATTCACAAGAGACAGGCAACCTTGGTTACTTCGAACACTGTAGAGCGCACGAGACTGTCAGTAATTACCGCATATTCAGTTTGCTACCAATTTCTTTGAGCAAAGCTCGCATAGGAAGCAGCTCCTCATTGACATGCTGAAGGCACATACTCAGCAGCAGTGGAGCTCAAAGTAATACTCGCGTCAGTTTGTAGCTTGCTGGACCAGATAAAAGGCACCCAAACAGAGTCAGGACAAATCCAGTGCGAGACTTGACGGACACAGGATCCTGTTCATCTCATATACATACAATCCGGAAAGTCAGATCGACCAACAGTCAAGCCCCTGATCAAGTTTAGGGCAAAACAAATGCCTTTGTCACTTGTCCAATCAATACCGAATGATACGTTTTTTGCTTGAGCATGGGAAGCCTGGGATTGTGACTGAATCGTGCCACCTGGTGCACACTAAATGTGATGTCTGGGCGAGTGTTGACGCAATATAAAGAAGCATCCCAACTGCAGGGATAGCTCCACTCTTCTTCAAATGGGCCCCCAGTTTGTCACTCCGAGAGGATCGGTGGGGCAGGAGAAAGCTTCTTGCCAGCGTCAGACATACCAGTATATTCGTATGACTTTATTGATGACCCTTTTTGAGTAAGTCAACATTGTCTCCCTGTCTTTCAAAATTAACCGGGAATCCAAAGATGTCACTTTTTTCTTCCATGGTTAGGTCATATCCAGTTTCTGGAGCTTGCCCAACATAGGACTCAATCAGAATATTGTCTGGACTGAGCCCAATTAGGTCATCACATAATTTAATACCATGAGTTTATGTCCTTATGAATAAACAAACATGGTCTGCTGCCGAGGTTTCGAAAACAAGGTCTAGCGATCGATCCAACGCGACATAAGATGACTCATAAAAAAATTTAGGTGAATCGGTCTGCACAATAGATGGACTTGATCAAGATTCAAAACACAGTACTGCCCTTCATAGCCTTTGGTCGATAGTATTGCAGTCGAATGATTGAGAAGGTGGATGTTTGATGCAGCATGCAACTTGCCAGGACTTGCAAAGGTAGGTTTACCAAAGCGAGGTATGACTGACCACGAATAATTCGTCAAGTGCAGATCTGAGTCGAAGCAGGATTAAGAAAGCTGGGGGCCCTGACAGGAATGCAATTGCAGTCGGACTTTTATTAGGGTAATAAGTCAACGGCTGGTGCTCAATACGCGAATTTCACTCATCCATTGTGACAGGTCTGCTCAAGAAGCGTATGGCAATTGTCTTGTAGC